ACACACACACACACACACCAGACAAGCTTCGAGAGTTGCCATAGAGGTAAAGCTACTGTTCTGCTTCACGTTCACGTTTACTAAGACACACAAGAGAATGTGTGTAGAGACAGAGTGCTCAACACCACCACTACCGGTAGTAGTACGATACAAGTTAGTAGTAACTGTTCAACCTTTATGGTTCTTATGCAGTATTCTTCACCTGCCTGTAATTCTTCTGATGAGAACGCTGTGGAAACGTTCAAGAATACATTCATTAGAAAAGTGCCATGGTCCCTGTTGTCGGTGCAACTCTTGCTCCTTCCATCGCGATCATTCAATTCATTTTCTTTGTTGAGATTCTGACTGTCTGACACTGCAAACAAGTGTCACCAATGTTAAACTATCACACAATAATGAATGGTGCAATGTGCAGAGTGTGAGTATGAAAGATGCATAATGTGATCATTTCAGACCAAACTTAGACCAGGCTTACCATGCATAGTTGCTGCAAAAGGCAGGTGGCAAGTCTTGGCAGCTGCCTGTCGTGCCGATGGTGAATGAATGAAGCAATGACCGCCACCAGGTGCAAATGCTCTGCACACAGACACACACACACACCCACAGCACAGTGCAGAACAACACATCACATGATCAAGAAAACGGTCAAGAACCAACTCGTTGCCTGTCCTATCTTGTATTCATTCATCTCTTCATCAACCCATGCCCTACCAGTTGGTGACATTCATGCAAACAAAACAAGCCATGAGCTGACCGCTTTAATGCACTTCCCAACCCCCCTCTCCCCATTTTCATGATTCCCTGACGCAGATATTTTGTTACTCAGAGACTTATGTTTCGCGTTAAGAATCCACCAGTGACGGGAATGCAACACAGTCAACCAACATACCTCCGAACAATGCTGTTGTTGCTGACGACGGCGACTGTGCTATTGTCTTTACTGCCAAGTGCTTCTCCAGGGGGCTGATTTGCTGAGCAATAGGCAACACACACGTTCACGACACACCGAATGTTAGTTCACACCTCAGCGTACTCAGGGAAGAAAGATCCAATTAGTATTATAGGCGCTGCCACAGAGAAAGCAAAGTAAGATCCGGCTGCAGCTTTTTCAAATACATGTACTCGTCATGTAGTAATTAATACCGGAGGATGTAGCCAGTGTGCTGACAGTGCTCAACACCACGGAGGCAGAGCGTAATACAAAACAACAAGGACAATCCAGGCTTGTTTGCTGCTACTTCAAGTTTCATGCTCTCGCAATCGTCAGGCAACAACCTGATGATTGCGAGAGCATGACACTTGAGTTGAAGTAGCAGCAAACAAGCCTTGATTGTCCTTGTTGCTTTGTTTTGTAGTACCGTAAAGTACCGCCAGAGCGCCCCACCATCTCGTCCTTTCGTGGTCGCCTTGTGGAGGTGGATTCCTGTCTGCAGGTCATACGACACGGACCTTGTACAAACATTGCACATTGTGCAGTCAATCCGTACCCAGTTTACCTCCGAGCTCCACATAAAAGCATACCAAGTGTGACCTTAGTACACGAAGGTTCTCACATCGTACAAACTTAGTAGCATTCTGCCATACGATTTTCTCCCCTTGGCTATAAAATCAAGGTGGGGCGCTCTCGCGAGACGGGGCGCTCTGGCAGTACTTTACGGTAATTGATACAAATTGACAATGGTGGCAAGCTTTTAAATTCAGTTGTTACTTAGATTTTAGGGGCAAGACAAGGGCACATTACATGCTTGTAGCTTTGTGTAGTAAGTAATTGACATTACGTTTGGGACATCAGAAAATAAAGAGTGCAAAGGACAACTGGCAGTGTCCAACACCAGGGGACACGATAAGATTTCGAAATTGCTCTGACACAATGTCCTGCCACTTCTGGAACCGATCGGACATGGCCGGACACTGTGATTGTTTTTACAAGTCTGGTACTCAGCACTCATAATAAAAAATAATTATTATTGTCTTCACCAATTTCACACACGACACCACTGCATAATGCACACATGCAATGCATGGATGATCATCACACTGATCTCAAGTATTGTAACTCTGATTCAAATCGCTGTGCGTTTTTCAGCAAGCATAGTAACTGTGATATGAGCGTGCAGTGTTTCTGCACATTTCGGATTTGACCTGGTTTTTCAGCGGCAGATTAAAGACATTCATTTTTACGCAGTCGACAAAAGACAAAGTGGGCATCTGCTTGCCCATTCTAACTTCTTGTTGCCAGCTCCAAGATCGACAACATGTCACTACTCGAGTTGGCTGAAGACTCCCATCTTTGCAAACGCGATGTGCTCTTTGAACAGCACGTAGTTTCTACGCGACGTTGAATTTCTGACTTATTTCGCTGCTGCTGCTGCTCCGTCGATCTTGCACAGCGCCTGTGCAACAGGAGCGTAGATCTACTTGACTGGATTTGCAGAAGCCTGCTCCTTTCGATAGAGGCATATCGCAAGCTGGCACACATTTCTGACGCCTTGTTTCCCTGGAACAGGGACGTTTTCAATATTTCGGAGTGTACAAGCGCCTCGCGGAATAGTTCCTATTGTAGCGAGAAAGCGAAGAAATTTCATTTCAAATCCTCGATCGTTTGCTACGCTCAAACTGGAGCTACACTGAAGTGGACAGCTACCGGTCTTGCTGTAAAACCCTGTTGTGACAGGTTGCTGCTCCGACTTCGTGAGACTTCTTCCCAGGCAGAGCGCCATTGTCCTCAGCCGTTCTCTTTCCCAGCGACGCTATTTTGTGAATTTCGATCGGACAGATTGTCCGTTCAAGAAAAAAAGCGCCGGATTCGAATCGAAAATGGTCGGAAAATGTCCGATGTCCGACCGTTATCGTGTGCCCTGCAACACCCATGTAACTCAATGCACTGATCGTGGGCAAGTCGACCGACTAGTAGCATACCTCTCCCTTTGCTTGCAGCAACAGCGTTAGCACGCTCACTCCACACTTGGTCAGGTTCAGCAACTGACTTCTCTTATCATCACCCCTGTGAAACAAACAAACAGACCGGCAGGCAGACAAGCAGGCAGGCAGGCACGCAGGCAGGCAGGCACGCACGCACGCAGGCACGCACGCAGGCACGCATGCAGGCAGTCAGTCAGTCAGTCAGGCAGACAAATAGATCACATTAATCCAAGCATGCATAATGCATGAAACATGTACATGTACATGACATTGTATGTCTGAACGTCACACAAAAAAGAACAAACGGTCAGAATGGTATTTCTTATCAAAGTACTCATCCAACAACCGAAGTACTGAGAACTATTCCCGAAGTTACTGTCTGATTTCAATGTTACAGAGAGATTGTCTGCTGCTGATATCACAGTGAAGTGTGCACCACTGGTCTTAGTGGGTCAGAACGAGGATTAGAAGGGTGAGCATACACACACACACGCGACAGCAAAGACAGTATTGGCAGACTCTGATGTGCTCTCACCCACTGTCTACATCCACAGCATCAATATCAGCTGAGAGCAGGTTGAGAAGAGCAACACTGGCTTCACCGTACAGCAGACTTTCCACCAGGAACTGAGAGAGCGAAAAGGAGCTAGAAGCAGAATCAATCACAGCAGCGGTATCAACATTAAATGACACACACCGGTATCTGTTTGCTACTTCAAAAAAGAAGTATCCGTATCATTTAAGAAGCTTGAAATAAGGAAGGTGATGCGAACAAGTGATGAATGAACGAGAAAGTAACGAAAGAAGAAAGAATAGCAAGTGGAGACCTGGACAGAGGAATGAATGAAGATAGATGTATAAGAACCTAAGAAGTAACATGCATGCACGCACACACCCATATGTGTTTCCAAGCAGTTTGCTCACCTATCAGAGGAGGCAGTGGTGGACGTCAATGGTGCTGGGCTTGACTTCTGGTCCTTGCCAGACTTGCTTGCTGGTGAAGCTGCTGCTGCTGCTGCTGTGGGTGATGACTGCTCCCCCTTGGATTGTTGCAATACCACTTCAAAAATACTCAGTGTGTAGAAGCCTGAGATAAGAAGAGAGACAAAGCAGATAGACCAGTGTTGTGTTGTGCAACAGATAACTACCGGTACTGTAGAACGACTAATTTTAGAGGGTACAATTTGTTAGCGTTTTCTCAACTTTTCTGAATCTGGACCAATTCGCGGTGAAATATTTTAGCGATCCAAGTTTCAGAGTAAAACAGATGACTAAAAGTACTGTACTGCACCTGAACATTTTTGATTGGCTTGGCAAAACTCTAGCGAAAACACTCTTTTCGCTACAATCGCTAAAATATCACCAGCGCTAAAATTAGCCGTTTTACAGTACATGTACATGAGTCTACTTTTACTTGTGGCAACTGGTGCACTATAGCTTGCTATTGGTGGCATATTCATTGACAATGGGTTCCAATGTATTAATTTACCCTCTATCACAGAGCGCAGTAACCGCGCTTATAAACAGAACAGATAGGAAAGAAGATACTGCATTGGACGGATTTATAACAAGGAAGTAAATCTAACACATTCAAAATGTGCAACCCGTATACTATTTTCTCACAGTAAAAGCTTTTCACCGCCAGGGTCTAAGACGCTGCCACTTGAAATTTACCCGATCTCGAAATGTTCGCCTTGGCTGTGATGCACATGTACAACCAAAATCGAAGAACTACAGCACACCAACAGTGCATGCCACAAGACTCGTAACTATTACTAATACTATTATCATCTGATCATCAGCTGGAATACCTACCGATTTTGTTGCAAATGTCTGCACTGCGATATCTCCACTTGTAGAAGTCCATGAAGACCTCATGAACCACAAACGCTAAGCATGCTGCCCAGTCTGATGGGATAGGCCAAGACTGTCCATTGATCGGAGAGCATAAACCCTGACAACCAGAGTAAATGACATCAAACAAACGGAAAGGTCACACTTTTGGTACAGGTACTAGTGTTCTCTATTTTACTTCATCAAGCAAACAGGCAGTGATGCCTTCTCACCAACCAAGGGCTGGCTTCTACAGAATGATGAAAATGTTCTGAGTACTTCAGAAGTATCAAGATGAACATCCACAGAGAGTGAGTGCATACTGCACACCAAGCCATAATAAGCATAATCAAATATCAGTCAACACCATCAGGTGCATATAATATTGCCATCTCAAAACCAATTCCACGTTGCAAGGATAGTCAAACTACATGTACTTGAGCAAACAAAATATTAAGAAAAGATACGTACAAACAATACAGCATATGCCCAGTTGATCTGACTGGCCAAAGTACTAGTACATGCTCCAGCATTTCAAGAAGCCAATGCCTGATTCTTGCAACAGCACCGGACACATACCTTCATCAAGTGTTGCAGAAGATTTAGACTAGCTAGGGTGATTGGGTAGTGACCTTGTGCCCGCTCAACGTCTGACAACAACTGACCAAGATGACCGGATGCCATGTGACGACTGCCAGAATGCAAACAACACACACACACACACACAGACACACATACACATACACACGAACACATACACACAGACACAGATGCAGACATACACACAAACACACAGACACACACGCGCACACACACACACAACCATGCACACACACACACACACACACACACACACACACACACACACACACACACACACACACACACACACACACACACACACACATCGTTACTACGTTGCAATACAGGACCTGACAATAGGAGGTCAGTCAAAGCGGTATTCACATAGCGGAGAAAAAAGAAGCATCCACTTGCTATAGCCATGTGTGTGCCTAAACATCAATCCATGTATGTACTTAAATAGGTGATCATATGGCTAAATCAAAAGAACCACAGGGTCAATTGCTACCAGACTGGCAATATCCAGTACTGTCACTGGTGATCTTCCATTAGCACTTTCCACCTGTTTGCAGGTGGCAAGCATGAGTGTTTTGAAACGCAACACACACACAACACACATGGCCCGTACCCGTCCACAGATGGAATAGTACTGCTGCTTAGTGTTGGCATAGTGGTGCTGTGTGGTAGAAATCCTGTCTGCTGTAGGTTCAACCAAACCTACAACAACAACAACAACAACAACAACAACAACAACAACAACAACAACAACAACAACAACAACAACAACAACAACAACAACAACAACAACAACAATTCTCTTATTGGCCACTGGCTATCGTGAGAATAAAGATTTGAAACAACAACAACAACAACAACCTGTCATCGGCCACTGGCCATCGTGAGAATAAAGACTTCAAACAACAACAACAAAACAAGCAAAAGACATGTAAACTCCCCATTGGAACAATCAGGTAAGAAAGCGGAAGCGACAATCATTTTCAATACACGGATAAACTTGGCAAACTATATACGCAGATATTGACAAGAAAGGTATACTGTAAAAGCAGAAATTTTCGGTGGTGTTTTATTTTCGGTAACTTCGGTGCCGACAATTTTTACCGAAAATAAAACGCACCGAAAATTTCGGTACAACCGATATTGTATACATGTAGTACTAGTACACTTACCTGGAGAACGGGTTTTACCGAAAATTTCCCTCTACCGAACCGCCGATTTTGGAGAATACCGAAAATATTACACCACCGAAAATTTCTGCTTTTACAGTATTACACGTGGTAGTAACCGTTATACCTGTTGTACCCAAAGTAATCATATCATTACGAACACATACAGCAGGGTGTAGCAGCACAAGCATGAACACAAGCAGCAGCAGCAGCAGCAGCAACAACAGCAGCAGCAGCAGCAGCAGCAGCAGCAGCAACAGCAGCAGCAGCAGCAGCAGCAGCAGCAGCAACAGCAGCAGCAGCAGCAGCAGCAGCAGCAGCAGCAGCAGCAGCGGCAACAACAACGGCGGCGGTGGAGGCGGCGGCAATTTCAAGTATCTTACCTGATGAGCATCATGCTGTGCTAGAACAGTGATGCACTGCACACAGGCACTGATTAGCTCCTGTGATGGACTGGCACTGACAACACTCCTGTATACCCCACATGCAGTAAACACACACACACACACACGCGCGCGCGCGCACGCACACACACGCGCGCACGCACGCACACAACAGACAGCAGCCACGGATTTTCATACATGGAGTACAGTTGCTAATTCTTAGCGTACGACAGTCTGCTCTACAAACACAGAGCAGGGCATCTATACACTCTCTTGTAGGGATATTCGTGATCCCAATACTTGTGTAGACTTGTGAATGCTGAACACCTCGTACACAAGTACATGACGCTTCGATCGCACAAGTTTGAGGCTAATCATGAGTGCGTGAGTTAAAACGATGTGACTTTTGCAAATACCGTAAAGTCTTGTATAAAAGCCGCAGCTTCTATGACTTTCTTGGTGAAATTTTGCAGGCTTCTATATGAGACAGGCTTCTATATGAGACAGGCTTCTATATGAGACAGGCTTCTATATGAGACAGGCTTCTATACAAGACAGGTATTTCTCAAGACAGGTATTTCTCAAGACAGGTATTTCTATGTATGTCAACACTAAAACCAGGCTTATGTGTGATTTGATGGGCCCAAAATTGCGGCTTCTATTCGAGGGCGGCTTCTATTCAAGTGCGGCTTTTATACAAGACTTTACGGTAGGCTGTAGTCCTTGTGACACTCAGCCAGAGGCAGAAGGAAGCTTGGCACCTGAAACGATCGCACAAGTTTGAGGCTAATCATGAGTGCGTGAGTTAAAACGATGTGACTTTTGCAAATACCGTAAAGTCTTGTATAAAAGCCGCAGCTTCTATGACTTTCTTGGTGAAATTTTGCAGGCTTCTATATGAGACAGGCTTCTATATGAGACAGGCTTCTATATGAGACAGGCTTCTATATGAGACAGGCTTCTATACAAGACAGGTATTTCTCAAGACAGGTATTTCTCAAGACAGGTATTTCTATGTATGTCAACACTAAAACCAGGCTTATGTGTGATTTGATGGGCCCAAAATTGCGGCTTCTATTCGAGGGCGGCTTCTATTCAAGTGCGGCTTTTATACAAGACTTTACGGTAGGCTGTAGTCCTTGTGACACTCAGCCAGAGGCAGAAGGAAGCTTGGCACCTGAAAACAACACTGGGTTGCATTACATGAATGCACAGTGTGATGTGTTTGCTACAGTGTCCAGGACAGCATATGTGCATGCTGTCATTGCTTACTAGAATAGCACAAGTCATGACTATGTGGCCGCCATTGCTTGCTTACCGTTGGAGCAGCAGATACACCCGCTCAATGACTGGTTGTAAGTCTGACGACAATGACCAGTTGTGCTTCAAGAGCTGCGTGACCAGAGTCACCACTGAGGCAAGGTTGACGTCCAGTAACTGCATTTTCGCATCTGTGTGTATGTCGACAGGGAAAGCAAGAGTATGCAGTAGTACCAACAGTGTACACCGAGTAAGAAAACTCAAATTGCCATCCACAGAATGCTACACCAAACTCTGCCAGAAACTTTGCTCTCAGGCCTGGCCATGAGCACGAACAAGAACAAGGAGAGAGAGAGAGAGAGAGAGAGAGAGAGAGAGAGAGAGAGAGAGAGAGAGAGAGAGAGTGTGTGTGTGTGTGTGTGTGTATTTACCTGACACAGCCACAGTTGCAGGTGTACTGTGAATATACTGGTCCATCATTAACAGGAACAGGTGCCAAGCTTCATAGACAAAGTCCCATACAACAAATGGGTTGCCTATACACATATTAGTACACACACACACACACACACACACACACACATGCGCACACACACACATACACACACACACACACACACACACACACACAAGCAAGCAAGGGATACAGCAAATGAAGGATGTGGTAAGCACCGGTAGTTCCCACAAGCAACATACACCCCAGTACCACTAACGTCTGTAAAGAAGTTATCCTTCAATGATGAGACTTCTGTGCACCCTGTAAATAAGAACCAAGATAGTTTCCTCTGCCAGTGTACACAGTACCGCGTCGACAGCCCAGCAAACTCATACTAGTACATAATTGTGTCGACAGCCCAGCAAACTCATACACTAGCCTCTGCAATGCCGGCTCACAGAAGTGACATACATGCAGGGAATAATTTAACCGGTATCGCATCGCAGTTTGGTACGCAATTCTTCTGAGGTGCGAAGCAACTTCAGAAATGTGTCGCAGAAAACTGCGATGCATGTTGATTTTTCACTGTACCCTACCGGTATGATGACCAGTGTACATGCCGGGTGTGTCTCTTACGGATAAAATAGATGCCCGGAACTTCGAAAGTGCTGAGCTATGCATCCTGACACCAGGCTAGGTTTGGAACTAAGGTGTTACGGTGCACTTGTGGTCTGAGCTTACACTCTGATCAGCTCTCCAGAAGGACGGTGGTCAAGCGTTGAAGAGAATTGCTACGCAGCATTTTTTGAATTGCTATTCAAGTTTGATTTTGCGTAGCAAAATTGCTATGCAAAAGATGGAAAGTAAATTAGTCCCTGCACATGGCATTGTACAATTCACGGTACATGTACTGGTGTATGAGTACACGTACCTGCACATTGCTGATCAGTGAGACCACTACGATCAGCTGGTAGGACCAAGTGAGCTACACTGCTCGGGTCTAACAAGAGAAAGGCACACAAACAAACACACACACCTATGAGTCAGATATTGCACATGATACGCATGCTGTCTCTAACACACACACACACATACACACACACACACATACACACACACACACACACACACACACACACACACACACACACACACACACACACACACACACACACACACGCACATTTACTCACATACACCCACAAGATAGAAGGCTGCTCCACCTCTTTTCCTTTCTGTCCTTTCCATGTACAGTCTACTGCATACAATGCATGATGAATCACCCAGTCTGCCACCACCCAGTCTGCATGCATATTCAAGTAGCATTTCACTTGAGACTTCGACGTGCATATTAGAATTGTACACGTTGTAGTTCACACTACCACCAACCTGCAGACTTGCATAGATGATGTGGAACTTGACTGTAGCAAGCGCCATCGGTCAGCTCACACTCGGAGAACTTCAGGTCGGACAGTGACTCAGCATAAGTACGCAGTTGCCGCAGAAATCCAAACACCTACGATAAACGGGACATCGGAGAACGGCGGATTAGCTGCATTGATCAATACACACTTTTAAAATGACAGTCTGTTATCAAGTTGGTTAGCGGCAACCGTGCATCGTAATACTGAATACACTAACCAACAGCCACACATGAAGACTGGGTGCACAAAGCCTCGCTATGAAGTGAAATAATTACATGTACTTCAAAGGATGAGCCAGTGCAGTTGTTTTAGTCAAATGTACATAGGTGCTATGTACAGTACAGTCACAACATACAAACCAGCACAAACCAGCACAAACCAGCACAAACCAGCACAAACCAGCACAAACCAGCACAAACCGGTAACAACTGGAAACTAAAGGTACACATTTCAAAGAAATTCACTGCTTACCCGTGTTGCTGGCATTTCGCCTTTGCACAACACTGCCAGCAGGTCAACAAGCGGGCGGAAATCATGAGGAAACCTGTAGAAGCAAGGAGCAGTGCAAAATCAGCAGCAGTGAGATGCAAGCTCAGGCAACGTACATACTCATGCTCACATAGTAAATCACATTGGTGGATAGCGGATACCAATAGAACATACAAGGAAACAGTGCACTTTCAGAATAATATAGTACAGAGCGCTGGCACCCATCCTGCGTTACTAGTACCACTACTGCAAAAATCAGGCAAAGAGAACAAAACACTACGACCACACACACAACTTACCGATGCGTACAGACTTGTAGGAGGCTGTTGAAATGTGACATGGACACCTAATCAACAACACCACAGAAAGATAAGAATCTGGCTGCAAACTTCAACATCACACATCGGCAAAAAGGACTTTGTGCAGAATAAATTACAACCACAGCAGAACAGCATTTATATATAATACGACTCAGGGATTTCAAAACCAGTTTTTTGTGCTTTCTCCTCAAGTGAAATACAAGCAACTAGAACCAATGAACTGTGTGGATAAATAGATAAAGGGTGGTAGGTTGGTAACATTAGAACTAACTTCAACTAAGTGATGGATTAAAAATTTTTAAAGCGAAGAAATAGCATGCAAAAAGGAAAGGAAGAAGAGGTGAGAGATGAGACAAGAGTAATAGTACTCACGTCATTCCAGAAATCCACGCATAGCGCAGGACTGCTGATCGACTTGCCGGTGACGTTAACAAGAATCTACACGCACGGAGATGCGAGAACAGTTACAGTTCACACAATGCTCGATGATCTCACACAGCACATATGTATCACACCATAAGTAGCAAGCAGTACAATCATGCACATGTATGCATGCATAATAGCAATCAGCTGGGGAATGTGAGGGCCATTGCTCTGGACAAGCCTACATGGAGAAATCTGGCCGACAATCCATGATCTGGCGTCACAGGTCATCAGTGCACCGTATTAATAATTATCTTGATAATTTAATTTGATCATAGGAGATAGGACAGAAGCGGAACGTATAATTATACCCACATAATTATATTATTACGCGTGCTGTGGTATTATTATTATTATATTTTATTATTATGCATGCATGCATAATATGGTATTAGTGTGAAAAGGATAACTTGACTGACAGATAATTTTTTACATGAAACTTTTAACAGGCAGCAATATTCGTCCTCAAGTTGTCCTTTTTTCATGTATAATGTTCTGATTGAGCAATGAACGCACATAAGGAATTTAAAGGTTTGGTATTAGACTATTTAATAGTATGTGTGTAGCTTTACTTGTATCGGTGGTGGCTCCTCATTTGCGTAATGCAACGAGCAGAAGCAGCACATGAAGCTGCTTATTATGCGGAAAGGAGTACCAGGAAATTTACGGAGCAGTGGCCGATACTTGAGGAAATAGTGGCTGCTTCCCCATATTAGGGTGACACAAACATAAGTACAGCTAACTTTAAACTCGGATGGAGAGCCAAGGATTATAATTGAAAAAAAGAGAGGACCAAAAGCTTACAAGTCGTCCATTTTGTCCAACATTAACGATTACAAGCAGCTAACTTTCTTTCTATTTTGAAAGTGCTAGCTCCCACGTAGGGAGTAGCCAACATTTTCTCAGGGAAACACAGAATGAAATGAAGAAAAATTTCAAAAAAAAGACCCAAAACAATGTTGCTACCTTCATGTCACCAAGAGATGACTCCGAGAAATGTTGCAGGACCAGAGACAGCAATATGTTCACAGTCGAACGAACAACAGCACCGACACCCTGGAACAACCAGCAAGCAAACACATACATGTAATTCGGAAGTACATAATAATGCCAACTGCCTTGTCATGCTATTCTCCATTCTACTCAAACACAAGGTGCCTGGTCACACACGTATCAGACAAGACAATACCAGTCAAAACGCTACAAAAGTTTGTTGTCTGCATAGGTCTGTTGCAACTACAACACAAAGCAAGAAAGGAAGTTCAAGCTGAGCCATGGTCCGCCACTGACGGGCGTGCACACACACACTCCAGTTGTTGTCATGCATTGCATTCAACAATACATGTAGCACCCATTACTTACTGGACGTGCCTCCAGGCATGGTGAGCTCACCAGGCCGTCCAAATAGGACATGACACCACGGCGTAGAGCCTTGGAGCCCATCAGCTGCGCATCCTGAAGCACACAATAAACAATCAAAATCATAAACTGGGTGATCGCTGCTGCTGCTCTTTACTACAAACCAGGGCAAAGGATCTGAGTTTAAGATCAGCTCAGGAAGACTCAAACAGATGCTTAAACCGTACTACAAGAAATTCAACCCAAAATATCTTGGTGAAGTCTACACATGCGTCTGCATTGCCTCGTTGACACCAACAGTTCAGCCAGCCACAATGAGCACTGGTGATGAAACCGTACTGCCTTTGCTGCCCTTCAGATTTAGTCATCCCGTGATTGAATACTATGTGTGAAATTCAGTGGCAGTCACAAAGATAGCATTGCTCCATCTTGTCCTCGTTTAGAGAAAATGTATTATCAATGTTGAGTACTATGCAGAACTTACTTTCATACTGGATGCCGCTGAACCAGTAGCTGTATCACCAGATGAGTGCATGAAGAGAAGCACAGCCCAGGCAAACATGAGAGGCAGCTGGTGGGGCAAATCACCCCAACCCAGCATGACCGTGGAGATCTCCTGTACAGGAATACATGCAAACGCACGCACGCACGCACACACACAAATACCAGTATGCATGTAACTAGACAGCAGACATCCAGTAAAAAGCAACACTTTACTAGGACAGGAGAAGCAAGTCTCCATTCAAGCCTGCCCACAAAACATAGGATTATTAGAAGAGAGGGTGCAAGACGAGAAAGCAACCCAGTGCTGCAACTCAATTAAAGTCTTAACAAAAATGTATTCTGTGCCTCGTTTGTTACTGTGTCGGTTGATTGCATGTATAATTCAATTGCGTTACCCTAGCACCACCCTCAGTAATACACTATGCCTCCGAACACTCTTGGTATTCCCCATCATCACGCGAAACGTCGCCGCTCCGATGCTACTGATACTGATGGTCAGTTCGACGCCTCAGACGGCCCGCCAACAACAGACGTTGACACCGCTAATGATGCCCACAACCATTCAACTGCCGATGATGCTGCCGATGATGCTGAAGAACATACTTCCATCATGTCAGGAGCATCGCCACTACCTGCTGTCAAAATCGAACGGTACGGTAAGGCTATTGTGAACCGTCTATTCACAAGCTGCAAAGTCCTAGCTGACGAAAGTAAGAAAGTAACTTCCTGGCAAGTAGCTTTTGATTCGGAAACTTTTCCAGATTTCTTAAGAAAGAAATTCAACAAGCTTTCAACAGCCTCAGCATTAATCGAGTCTTGTGAATTTGCTCAAGCCCAAATTGATTTACACAAGAAGAAGAAAGAACAAGCTGAAGAACTCCTTGATAAGGCCCATTGTGACTTTGACCTACTCGTTGATACACTTGCACATAATACTGATACTGGCGACATGTCCCAGCTGACAGCGGACGATTTCACTGGTCGAAAAGGAAATAACGATTGGTGTTCCTGCCAGAAATGTGGGGTGATGCAGAGGGCAGTCGATTACCTTCGCTGTCGAGAGAGCGCTGCAGCTGTTAGCATTGACAGCCCTTTGACATGCGTTACACATCACCCCGACTTCGCGTCAGCTTGTCTAAACAAAACTGTTCTGACCATATGCCCCACGGCGTATAGAGAATTTCGGGATCCTCGTACTCGGACCAGTGAAGTCGTCCGCTCCGATCTCCTGGCCCTCATCAGGCTGCGCTTCTACCAGGGGCACCTCAGGGGGTCCTTCAGTATGTCCGCAGTTGTGAAGCTTGGGAACATCGTTCTTCATCACCAGAAAATTCAAACAACTAAGATCTTCAAGTGCAGAGAATTTGAATACTAATCACACGTGACGTCATCAAAACCATCAAAAGAGGAGACAAACTTGGCCCTCCCTGGCTTCATATATCGACTTTTTGGGTCTAGTTTTCGCGATTCCCCATTCCTTGGGGGCCATATAAGGCCCCCATGAAGAGAACACACCACCGAAAAAATTCCCAGAGTGCCCCTTTAACTTGGTCCAATGCAGAAGACACATGCATTTTTCTCGATTTAGAAATTTACAAATCATCCTGTGATACTGAGCTCTGTCAGTTCTGTTATAGAACATACCAGAAACCACGAAACGCATATCTCTACATTCCTTTCAAATCAGACCACCCCAGATCAAACTTTCGTTCATTTATCATAGCTGAATTGCAGCGATACAATAGAACTAATACATTGTTAGACGATATTCTACATGTTCGTCGTCTGTTCTGGTCTCGACTCAGATTGCGCGGCTACCCATTCAGTCTTAACAAAATGTAATCTGTGCCTCGTTTGTTACTATGTCGGTTGGTTGCATGCATAATTCAATTCGACTTCACTTACTCTGACGTCAAATGCAGGAGGAAGCAAGGGATGGCTTTGCAATCTAAAAACACAAAGAGAAAAGAAACGAAGAGAAATCATTAAGAAATATTTCAAACAAATCGAAACAATCGATTGCTCATGCACACAGCAACAAAATTCCTCTCGACGGGAAGTCATTTGCATCCCAGAGCCGAATCGCCCGCACATGCATGGGGTCAGCGCCGGTTTGGCAGCTTCGGAACATCGTCAAATGATCATGCTCACCTTGTGCTGGGATCATGCAGGAGACCTGGCAAGTCGAACCCTTCCAGCAGCAAACAGCACCAGATTTTCCTGAGGGAAATGCCAGAAAATTAGAGAATCTAAATACAAGTAATCCACACAGCATGAACAATTATTAACACAGTTGTGGCGCATGCGAGTAGGCATAATCCCTCCCCCACGGCAGTGCACAAAAGTGCTACTGTTGGCATATGTGCATGCTGGTGATGCACGTGACATGGTTCGCTATGAGAGGGTCTTTGGCTGCAACTTTAAAACATCATCATTCACAATTTTCCCATCATGAGCATACCACGTAGCCAAGCCCCTGCTGGAACAGATTTCAATCAGCTGGACCAACAACAATTGACATGGATAGTGCCTATCCCTCTTTGCCAAAGAAGCAACACTTCTTCTACAGACAAAATGTACAAAAGTACAACAGAAAAAGCCAAGCTAAGCCACTTACCCAATCCACTTTAAGCGCAACTGCATGTCAGGGGACACAATGTGAGCCTGGTTCTGCTGGCGTTGACCAAAGCCCTCAGCCTGAGTTTGCAGGAGCAACAGAAACAGCACAATGGTTGATTACAAACACAGACTTTTTGTTTGCTCTCATACATGTTCACGCACGCACGCACACGCACACACACACACACACACACACACACACACACACACACACACACACACACACACACACACACACACACACACACACACACACACACACACACACACACACACACACACACAACAACAACAACAACAATGTAAAGTGAGGAACACACCATTCACAACAACAATCCAAAAGGGAAATCCAGTCAAGTACCTGCACAAGGTCGAACAGCTCCATGAAACTATCGCGCGTGTGCTCAAACTCTTTGTAGTAGTGCAGCAGTAACTCCAGAAGCAATGCCTGCGTGAAAACAAACATTCAAAGAACAAATCTCAAGACAGTACACGGCACAAACACAACATGAAAGAATACAAGAGCATTAGAAATTGAGAATACGAGCCAATTACATAATCCATTGCATAATATATTGCAATATCCATTGGAGCATCGCCACCCCCTCCCACATCAATAGTGAAACCAGCATGGCATGTCCATGCTGGGGACAGCCAAACATGAACGACATTCATCACAGCGACAGTCCACCGCCAGAAGAGAGAGAGTGAAGACTCACCTGCTCATGAAGGTTGGCGCACACCCACTTACTGACAGCAGGAGATGTCTGTGAAACGAACACCAATGCATCACACAGTCAACAAGGAGGTAAAAGTATCTGCCCAAGTACCGTACACAACCACACACGACAACAGTGGAACAATGTAAGACTACAACTCTGGAGTTTCATGCTCAGTGCAATCATTAGGCAACACTCTGCCTTCACGGCGTGCTAGCACTCTCAGCACACTGGGTACATCCTACTCTGTACTCAAGTACTGTACTCATATAATTATGTCAGGTTTAGGATATGAAGCCACGGGAGGTACAGCATTACTCTTGTCATACACACCACACCATGGGTATAGACAATTCTACTATTGGATGACACGATGAGCAGACTTACAAAGGCATCGTGATACAGACTCAACACAGTTTCATGTACAGAGACTCAAAGAGCCACCAGAAGGTGCCCAGAGTTGACACGCACATTATGTACAGTCAACACATATCACTCACCAACAATGAGTCCCTGGAGCCAGATGTAGGAACCTTCCAAGAGCACGCTGCTCTGTATTGATCAAGGATCTACACAAACACAATCGATGCAAGGACAAGACATCTCCTATAATGTTGCTTATCCATAATGGGCCGATGTAGAAGTACACGCAGTCACGCACACACGCACGTGCGCGCACACACACACATACACACACACACACACACACACACACACATATACACACACATATACACACACATACACACATACACAAGCACACACGTACACGCACAAAACTAACAAAAGAGGCAACAGAAAACACCCCATGCTTCCCAGCACTGAGTTAATGCACTACCTTTACCTGCTTTGTGAAGTGTCCACTCTTGTTCATCTTTGCCACAACAGAGGCAAATTGTTCCTAAGCACACAAGGAGACATAAGCATGAAACATACAATCAGAATACAAACAGAGAATAGAATCAATGTCAATGGGCCACGCAGACTTATGCAAATACAGGAGGATAAGCAGCAGCTTTCGGCCTGGTCAGTACGTATTCCAAACTGCCCACCACATGCGCTCTGTGATCAACCTTGCTCACCGCACCGGCAAACTGCCCACCACATGCGCTCTCTGATCGACCTTGCTCACCGCGGCACCGGCAAAGCGACTCAAAGCTATAGCAGATACTGGTATCAATTCTTCCATGCTGTGCTGTTTTGATCAAACAGATCTCATCAGTCAAGGTTGAGATGTTCTGAATGGCTAGAATGTGTGAATTGCACTCTACTATACAGAGAGCCGCTGTGAACATGAAGTAGCGCAATCGCAGGCTTTGAGGTAGCCGTAGTGCTAATCGACTACATGTACACTCAAACGCCTCTTATCCGGACGCCTCAGATACGGGCACGTCTCTCTACCAGGCACCTTTAGCTTCAGTTCCTATAGCACAAATACTTCGAATTTGGGGGTTTTGAACTTTGTCCGTATTCGGAAGTGCTTATTTTTCAATTTTCACAGCCAACCTATGTAATCCACACAGTTTTATCAACGGGTTCCTTTTGTATCCTGAACATGTGCAATACGTTCCAAATAAACTTCTTCAAAAAGTGATACGATACATGGTAGATGAGTTATTCTGAGATACGGGCACATCTGAGATACGGGCAGTGCCCGGTCCCAAGGTGCCCGGATAAGAGACGTCCGAGTGTACTTCTTATAACTTATATATAAGTATATCATTGTCACGGTAGTTCTCTGTATGATAAAGTGCTATTCACACGTTCCAGCCATTCAGAACCTCACAACCTTGACTGATGAGATCTGTGTGATCGAAAATCCGATACCCTTGTCTAGCCTCTAGAGTATCTAGTATCTACTACAACCTAGACAACAACCTACGAGAGTCGAAATGTGAAGTACCTGAAATGGATGATTATCATCTTGCCAGTGCGTCAGGAGATGGGCTTGGCATTTCAAGATATAAGAACGTTCCTCAAGGTAGTAGACCAGCACCTGCACAATGCAGAACAAAGGATGCAAGGGAGTACATGTAGTCAGAAAAAAAGAGTCTAATCTGGGACATTATTATATGTACATGTTGGCCTGAATCTGTTCAGGAACAGAGCACACACGGCTACATGACAGAGGTGCCGCTTTTCTGTCCATGTGCTACACAAAACATATCTGGATTTGCAAGTGGAAACAACCAATTTACCTCAATGTTCCACTGGCACATTACTACACTGTACTTAGAAGTATCACACTCATCAGGGAACTGAACACACGTACTAAAATCAAGAGTACATAACTACCGAGAGTGTGCAGCTCTACATAACCTTCGCCACGACACGGTTGGAGAAAATAAAACACAATACATCTACAAAACCATGCATACAATCTCCTGCATGGTAGCGAATCCAAGCACGGGTAGACAAAAGTTACAAAATGATAAGTTCTTCTAGCCCTAGTACAGGGCAGTGCACACACGATAAGGACAACTACACACGACTAATATGTTGACTTGCAGAGGACAGTCATGATCTTACCATGGAAAGCAAGCTGGGGTAGTGTTTGCTCTGCGTGAGAAGCGTCTGCAGGGCGATTGAGAAGGGACAGGCAAACGCAACACAAAACAGATGCGATGCTTAAAATGCATTAGGTAAAGGCACACATAGCCATTGAACAATCCTATACAGTTCACGATACCCAATAACCCGACGTGCATTACAACTGTGTCGCACTGTACACGCATATAACAACCCAGAGTGAGTAAAGTCCAAACAGAATACAAAAATAGCTGCCAAAAATAAAGTTAGAAAACAGTAGTATTAGTCGCACATACCTTGAGTTGATTGCGAGACGCCCGCAACGCATGTTCCAAGTAGCTTTGAAACAGTTCAAACGACTGCCACTCATCAAGGTTCTATATTATATACGTCAAAGACAGGAGGAATGCATGGGTACAGCCAAGAGAAGTGCATCAATGATAGTGTCAAAGCACTGTATCAATCCAATACACATTACAGTATCACATACAATTTGCAAGTTGTTCTCACAAAGAGTTTGATTACAGAGTACAGTACCAGTTACCAATACAGTAACATAGACAGCATGCTTTTGTTGCACGATATTCTTCCTCTCAGTTCACGGTGGTAAACCGGTGGTGAACTAGAAAACCCACAGGAATACTAACACGTAAGAAGGTCAGATCTACTTACGAGCACTTTGCTGATCTGCAATATGAAGTTGCGCTGGTACTCCTTTAGCGACTCGCCTTGCAGCTTCTTCAATGACTCAGCACTGGACAGGAACAGGGATCAGAAAAAAAACCATTCGGTGAGCCCACCCAGTGCAAGGCGTAGTGGTGGTGGTGGGGGTCCTTTCTATCATGTGCACCAGTTTTAAATAAACAGCGAGGAGACATGTTACAAGTACAGTAGAACGAGTTACACCGTCACCATGGGCACACACACCATCGCAAGGTAGACTTATCTGTCCATCCAAGAGTGTTTTTTCTCGAGCACACAGTGGCAACTTGCCTACGGAAACCTTTAGCCTTGTAAATAAGTGTATGGTAAACAGTAAACAGTATGCACTGGTATGTCAACTCACCATGGAGACTTATAGCGAGATAATCCATCAATAAGTAGGTGATTGTGGAGGCTGAGCTCCTCGTCAATTTGCGCCTAGACAACAAGGAAAGCAAGAGATCACACAACACAGGCATGGGTAAATGCTACACTTCAAAGATCAAATCACAGGATTCGGACTAAGGCCTAAGGGCGCGTTCGATTGGTGCAACCTAGAACAGGATTCACCAGAACAGCGCGTTAGGTTGGGACTGCACCTGTTCTGGTTCGACCAGAACATGTTCTGCTTGCCCCGGTCTCGAGACTGGAGAAGACCGAGCAGTTTCACTTTTTTCACAGCGAAACCTGGCGGGAACATCAAGTTTGATCCCAAATGATCACATGCATATGCCTTCGTGTTGGACTTGGCATGCACTCGTTGTACGGTACAAAGTGACCATGGTGACTTGTACACATTTTGAAGAATGCAACCAAGTTTGGCACACTTTTCCCCAAAAAGCGCTGTTTCTGGAGTACTGTTTGCTTGGCATGAGGCTGCTCCATGTGCATTAGCTGTTCGATCCTGTTCTAGATTTTACCAACCAAACACACCCTAAGATATCATACAGGCGTAAGAGAAAAAATGCTGATGACTTTACTGGTCAGCCTATTGTCTTGTACCATACAAAGTCTAAGAAAACAAATGAATTATGCACTAGTAAAACACCTGTCTCTCTCACAGGTCCTTTGACAAGCTTATTGGCCAAATGCTACAATGTGAACAACAAAATAAGACCAAACACGGCCTCGCAGCCTTACCGGTTGTGAAAGCGGAGAGCTACCACTGACAATATGCCATAGCCGACATGCAGACCTGTTCATACACACACACACACACACACACACACACACACACACACACACACACACACACACACACACACACAGGCACATTGCAACATCACCACTTCAGCAATGGCAGTGATGATGATCCTGGTGAAAGATACGGCTGACTGGAACCCTCTACCGTGAATTGTAACAGCTCTTTTGGTCCTTCAGCGCTCATCAATAGGTCAAAGATGGATATACAGTCAGACCTCGCTTATCTGGTCCTCTTTTATCCGGACCCCTCGCCATCCAGGAGAAAATAGCTGGTTACATATTTACAGCATACGTGATGCATCCAACATAAACGGTGTTCGGTTATCCGGTTCCCTCCTATCCGGATATTTTTGTGGAAAACGGATGGGAGGTCTGACTGTAGTTGCATAGAAACCGAGAGTTCTACAGCCTATTCAGAAATTAAATGAGTGAGGATTGTGCTAATGCAACAAACACCAACTAGACCAAGTATGCTCTAGTCTTGTGCCAAGCCTGTGCTCATGGATGGATACCTGGCATTCAAATGATAAGCCTAAAAATCCTAAATTGATACGCTTGCCTCTGTTGGAAAGGATTGCTGTTTGTTGGAGATTCTTGTAGCATTGTTAATTTGTACACTTTCAATTCGGCTGATACGGACTTTGTGTTACTCTGTGGCCCGTTCAGCAATGAAATACGAAATACTCAGCCAGTATAGGTTCTCTTTTCATGCAGGCTCCTGCCTGCAACAAGTTACAACTGACTACTATCCAAACTAATAAAATATTGTCGATTACGATGCGTACTTTGATAGTTACGTGTGAACTTGCCAAGCAACGTGATGGAAAGAAAATGGAACAGGAGCCTTTCCTTCAGTGTTAATATTGTGTTGCTACACATCCCATACAACACTTGTGACATTTTACAAAAATTGAAACATGATAATTATGATCACCCCTCTTTCATCGTTGTTCCTTACCCTGGCTCTTTGGCAGCAGGCTTCTTCGACATGGCTGCAAATGTTTTATTATCACCAATTCATTTCCTCATGGAAATCCACTGTCAGGAATCTACCATAGACGTTTCAAAACACGAACAATTCAGTGGTAGTGAAAACTGCTCCACGTTTGTGGCTGATCCGGACAAAACCAGAAACTCAACCGCAAAAATTGAATAACTGGCAAAAACGCGCGGCCTTTCAAACAAAAATAATCATGTTTTATGCACGTCATGGTGACGTCGATGGGATGAGCTACATCAAGACAAGAGTCTTGGCTACATGTACATGTGTACTGTCTGTAGTACTAGTAGACCAGGGAGTAGTACAATACCGTATTGTACTACTCCCTGCTGTAGACCATGGTAGACACCTGCTCTCTACCTGATTTCTCTACGTTTCACATAGCAGAACCTCACTACTTGTAATCATTGTCTGTACCATCTCATGTCTGAGCTGTGTAAACAAAAATTAATGTAATGGTAAATGCAACATGCTTTTCGGAGCACCCTACATCGGAGGTAAGAGGCATACCCCAACCAGGTTTGGATACAATTTCCTGATCTTCATGCGACAAATTCATATTCAAAAACCAACAAGAACTATCCACTAAAATAGAACAAACGAAAAACAAAAACAAGGACACTAGCGTTGCAAGTACAGAGACAATACACATAGCAAGACAATGCACAGGGTTAAAATAATCTCGAACAGCCTTGGCTACCAAACAGAAGCAAAAACAGCAGAGTCATAGTAGTCGATGGAAAAGAGTAAAAAAAACATAACGGCAACACAAAGAACTGAAAGAATGCTCATGATCAGGCTTGCAGATTCTTAAATTGTCATAGCATAGGTGAAGGCAAAGTGATACACTCGGTGGCTGGAGTTGCTATTCATCAATTCTGCCCTTTGCCACTGACGGCATTTGGAAGCAGAACGTCATATGCGCACTGTGCAATGAGTGCTAATAGCTACAACGACCACTCTGAACACCACTAGGCAGTGACGACCGCGCACAGCATACGCAGTCGCCACCAGCTAGTGGAGAGTTAACCTCATCCGCCGCCCGAGCGGAAAGTATGGCGCCCAGATGCGCGGCGGAATCCACCACCGCCGCCGCCACTGCTGTCCCCTGTCAGCGGGTTGTAGTCTGAGTCTCGTAACGTGCGCTTCTTCGCACCTTTGGGAGGCTGCGCACCTGCTTCGTCTGGTTTCTTTACACGGTTTCGATATCCTTCACCTCGCTGGTGACGGTCCCAGTCCTCGATCTTTTCCTGACGCTTGCGTTCTTCATCGGCCTTTTGCTTTTCCGCGTAAAGCTGTGCCTTTTCATCCAGATCACGCTGCATGCGGTCCCTGGCAGCTGCCTGTGCTTCTTGCCTTGCCGCAGCCACTGATGGGTCCATGTTGGCCGCTTCACGCTTCTCCATTGTCCTATCATACAGCTCATAGAAACGTTCTCGAACACGCGTCCAGATGAGGTAGCACACCAAGATTATCCCTACTACAACCCAGCCGTACGCTTGAAGAAAAACAAACGGTGAGGAAATTACAGAGTATATCGATGCCATTGTTGAATCTGCTCCCTCAAGGTCAGGAGCATGTCCGCCATTGGGTGATGGCATGCCAGCAAAACCGCCCGGACGGGAGTCACCGCCTACAGCACCACCGGAACTCATCGTCAACTGATCAGAGCAAGTAAAGGCTTAGATGACTTAGATATCCATGGGTCTGAATACCACAAGTATCACAAAACGGGCACACCACGTTCGGACTTCTTGATGAAATAGTACCTGGTACTGTACTGTACTGACACTAGTTGTACAACGGATGGCTAAGTGAAGCAGCGAGCTGCGCGAGGTGATTGAACATGCAGAGAGTCCTGGTGAACAAGGTTCGTCCTTCAGAAGTCGGAGCCTCGACTTCGACACGACGAGTTCAAGCCAGAGTTGGTTCGAGTGCTTTCTTTCTGGGAACGTAAAAAGCGTTGTTTTTTGGTTTTTGGAAAGTGACGTGTTTCTTTGTATTGGGACTTTCCCATGTTCACGCAACGCCACCACATGCCCACCATGGCATGGGAGTGACCACTGGTGACGACTCCCTGCGTAGATCTACACCACACTGTCTGTACCCTGCACTAACGCACTTTTTTTTTTTGGACAAGCCTTGAGCATGATCCTCTTGTACGGGCAAAGTAACACATTTTGTGAAGAATCAACACACTATAAAACGAATCATCAGATACTGTAATAAAAGTCTGTCACTCAGTAGGATCACTGCAGGTTCACTGGATGCGTGCCTCCGCCGCCACTAGCACAGCAGGGGACTCAGGCACGGCAGGAGCAAACATGCTCCTTGAGCCACGCAGGCATATAGCACCACAACGCACCAGGGCAAACCCAAGGCGGCAGCGCAGCAAGGAGATAATCTGCCCGTATGGCTCCTTACTCTTCTCAGCCAGGAGAGAGGCGATCCGCGTGAAAAGAGCATTGGCATGCTTGCCATAGCCACCAGAGGCAGAAAGCACAACGGGCACGAAGGAGGCATGCTCAACTTCACGTACTCGCTCTTCATACTTCCGGCGCTTTTCCTGTTCATGGCGTCTGTAGCTAGCAGCGAGGGAGGTGGCACGATTCGAAGACGCAAAAGGGTTGAACACCCGTACATCAATAAAGATGCGCTCGAATCGGCCACCCCACACACCACTAGCCGCAACGTCCAGCCGAGCTTGCTCCTCCGTGACAGCTGTGCGATGGCGGAAGGCCTCTCCGGTGACGGGCTGGAGGTGGGGTTCCACTGTCACGTTGTGAGCGACCTGCCTTTAAGGCTTAGAGCTCTGGCGGTGATGTCCCTCACCTCGTTATGTCGCAGCATCGGGAAGCCACCAAACGGGCACGACAGGGCGTGACTCACATTCAGCGGCTTACTGCACACGCAGAGGCTTGGGAGCCGAGGAGATGTCCAGCCGTACCGGAGGCACAGGCCATCCCGGAAATCTCCCTTGCTGAGTGTGAAACCATGGCGGCTGAGGGGGCGGCAGGTCAGCCAGCTGGATGCACCCTTTTCTGAGGCCAGGTCGAGAACAGGGGCCAGCTCCCGGTGATCCGAGCGAAGGGCGTCGGCCATAGACTTGGACGCGCTCCGCTTCTCGGCCCGAACCGTCGCCTTGACCGTCCGGAGCTGAGTCAGAGAGTCACCAAGAGACGACTCCTGCTCCAGCAGGCGAGACACGAGGCTAGCCGTGATCCTTCGGGATGAGGTGTACTGTTCAGCCACTGAACAAGGGTCTGCCATACCCAGTCCCCCAAGCCGGCAAGGTAGAGGGAGTAGGGAGCGAACAGTTGTCCCAGGTGGAGCCTGACCCGTGATGGCCGGGATGAGCCGACCGCTGATTGCGTGTTCCAGCGGTTCAAGCAGGGACGGCGGGATGGAGGAGGTCCGGCAGAGGAAGGACCACTTGTTTTGCAGGCCCTGTGTGAAGGCGGAGTAGGCGGCCTGTGGCTGCGATGCAGCGATGGTCGTGAGCTGCGCAACTTCCTCACACCAGGTGGCGACCTTGGACTGGACAAAATATTGTTCTATAAACTCATCCGTGCCCAAAGGTGCACCAAAAGCACTAGCGCACTGGCTGCATGCAGCGGCCGCCGGCCTGCACCCGTATACGCGTAGTGCACCGCCCACCGCGCCGCCGCGCCCGCGCTACGCATGGTAGACGTCGACATGATGTAGACGTCATGCAGCCAGGTCGCATAGCCTTTTTTCAGAAGGAAGGATCGAAGGAGGAACTGGAAAGAGGTGTTCGTCGGCGCGCGCGCCTTGCTGTAGTTTCACCTGTGCACCAAAGCTGGTGGAGATAAGTTTGAGTTTGAGCTTAGGCTATGTACTACAAGACAAAGCATAGCTCGGAGCTTCCCATCGCCAGTTGGCCGCCCAGGTCCCTACGAACCCTTTCGAGATCAGTGCAGTGGATAGTACAGCAACACATTCTACTTCCGATGGTCGACTGTCGGCATGCCACTTTTCCACTTCCTCTCTTCTCTCTCTTTTGCCTGACAGGTACTATACTAACCTACTACATTACTGTACTAGTCTGACTCTGAGTTTTCATTTGGACTCTCAGTCTGGTAGCACAGTAAGCACACAATCTGGTGTCTGACCGTGTAGGTCCACCGACTGGCCAGCGGAGTTTTACTACGCAACATAGCGGGAAACGATGAGCAGTGCAAGCTAGTGCGACATACCTAGGCCTCTCTTTGCAGCAGCAGCTAGAAGAAAAGTCAACAGACAAGAGACAACAGGGACGTTTAGCAATGCGAAAATTCGAACTTTTGGTGGTGGCGATATTTTGCGAAAATCTATTTCGAAAAAGAAAACTTGTGAGGTTAGCAATATGCGAAACGACTTTTTCTCGAAGCTATTTGAATCTTATAGTACCGTACCGTATATGCAGCTCAGTCTCAAGCAGGGGGCTGTAAAATTACTACTCCCTGTAGTGAAATGCGTACCGAGAAAAGAGAAAGTTACTTTCGCAAATCACTGCAACTTCGCGTCCAAGTTTTCGAAGTAAGTTTCGACCTTTGTTTCTGTACTCATTCCCAGCAGTCCTTTCCCAAACGACCAATCCCGATATAACAGATTTCGAGGGTTTTTTTGCCGGGAAACGTTCTCAAGCTTGAGAAATTTCGAATTTGTCTAGTTTTGGGGTATGTATGAAATAGGGTTATCGGCCTGGTCGAGCAGTGAAGGCTTCTTCCACATCCCTTGAATTATTTCATATGAAAGGTTATCAGTTTGGCAATGCCCTGCCGCCAGGAGAATGCAAACAACGCGATAGAATGCGTTCCGGGTGGTAGGGATCATTTTTCTAAGTGCTAGAAAATAGCCGACATCGATGCGAAAGTCGGCCTCAAAGTCGACATGGACGTCTTGAACAGGTGAGATCTTTCATTATATCAATGGAGAACACCCTAAAGAATATATGTATAGTGTTTCTAAGCTTCTAACCCTTGTGTGCTCAAGTGAAAATTGAACATATTTGGACGTGAATATATCACCACACAAAACCTGATACTGTAGTACATTTATCATTCAATGGGTATACAGTATACAACCACCATACAAACACGAGCAGGAGAATGACTGGACAGGAGAAGAGTTGGTTACCCATTGCTGTTCAACAAAGAGAAGCACATACTAAAAGTTGAATTGGATTAAAAGGTATTTACAATTCACAATTACATGTATCACTTTCTGCGATGTAACACTTGCGGCGAGGAAATGCCTGTCGCAAGCAGTTGTAGGGCCACTGTCCCAGAAGTTGGCAAAAGCATAACTCTTGCCAAGCGCGTTGTACACAAATGGAGTGCAGTTCACTAGGCTGGGTGCACGTGAGGGTACTACGCACTGCACTTGGATGCCGCAGAAACAAAACAGATTGTGAATCGTCTGTCGCGATTGCAGCTCATCGCAGGTGTTGCATGTTGCGCATTGTGGAAAGCAGTTCATGTATTGGGAATCGAGCTTCAGTAATAACAGAAAGAGGATCCCAGAGGATGACCGCCACCGCTGACAAACACTCTTCTGTGCAAAGTTTTGATGACGATGCTTGATTGAGACGTTAACCTGCAATGGAAAATAAACAGCAGATGATACTGATTATATATTAGGTACGGATTATACCATGAGTATGAGGGGTATACGGCGAATATTTTCGAGAGTGCGTTAGGACGAGGGACAATTGGGGGATTCGGTATACACAGAGTGCGAATGGTATAATCCATGTGCATGGTACTTTCCTAAATACAGAGTGTGACCAACACGAAAGCTTAGCTCACATTCGACGGGGCGCAACGGGACGCAACGTAAGGATTGACGAGAACCGACGGAACGGTTATGACGCCGACAGACAGCGTCCAATGTGAACACCAGGAACGGGAACGCAACCGTTCTACCCTACAGATTGGGAAGCGAGGGGAAGAGTTGGATCAGTTCAACTTTTCAGACCGTAGACGGGGACGCAAGCGTACAAAACAACTGCATTCGAGTGTGAACAGGGGATGTGTCGTGCGCTGACCCCTCCCGATGCGAACAACAGCACACTTAGTTTTTTTTAACATTTCAAACACGGTTAACACTACGCTTCCCATGATAACTCGCCGAATGGCTAGCACAACTGATTCAAATTTTAGGAAGATAAGATTTCGTGTCACTTCTTGAAAATTGCAATAGCTGCTACATGTCGTGTCATACTACATGTTGTGTCTTACGAATCGTACAAGATTTTACAGCTCACCCCGGCCGTCCCAACAGGCCCTTACGTCCCATACCGTCAGCGTTACGTCGAATGTGAACTAGGCTAAGTTTCCTTATTCTCGAAGTGACCCATGTGAACCGAGCGGGATATATCGCTGAATATATCCCGCTTAGAACGGCCGCTGATTGGCAAATGGTGTTATATTTGAGACGAGTTCTATATCACTCAACTTTATATCACAAATGCTGGCGCACTTACATGAGGAAGGGACGGATCCATACACGTGCACACATCAAATACTCTGCCAACAGCCAGTCAGCGATGATTACAAATATACAGTGCAGCAACCCTGGACAGCAAGAGAGAATGTACACACCAGAGAGCCTGAAAATGAAGTTATACTCTGATGAACGATTCGCATACAAGAATATTGGTGGACAAAGTGAGAACAAGTCTAGATCACTCTATTAGACAGAACAATCTTGAGTGTACACTTACACGAGAAAAGGACGAATCCATAGGCGTGCATACAATGCATACATGTCATGTTGAATACGCCGCCAGCATCAAGGCGGTGGGAACTACAACTGCATGCATACAGTGCAGCAGCCCTAGGCAACATCTCACTAAATGTAGAAGATATGGCAGGCAGATGATTACGGTTATAGAACAGATGTCACTTTATGGTGCATGCCATTACAAGAACCAGCATTTTTATGGAACGGATGGTACCAATACGGCGAAATGTCTACGGATTCAAGATAAATCACAACAGACTTAAGCAAGAACATGGTAAAACTGAGCAATGGACTGGCACATTCAAGACTGATTCATACTTCATTTCATGAACGCAATGCGCACAGGTGATGGACCAAACAAGTAACTCAACTCAAGATCAAGTCAACTTTCTCGCCGCAAACGGCCGTTGTGACGTGTTTCCCTTACGCAAAGCGAAGTGTGAATGAGGCTTTACTCTACATATCCAAAACTGTAAACCAGTGAAGACTACAGCTTAGAAGACGGTATTATAATGTTGTGCATTGTACTTGCCAAATGTGTGTGATACTCTATGTAACATACATGTAGATAGGGCCGAGCAAGCACAGCAAGTTCTGAATTTTAGGTATTTGGAGCTCGTGAACAGATTAGATTTGTCTTGTAAGTGATAGGTATTGCTTACCTCTATATGTTGCCGCCTTCGTGCTGGCCGAAAACGCTGCGTGCTCTGGCGATAATTCGGCTTGAAATTAGGTGCATAAAAATGCCAATTTCAGCTTCGTTCACAACATTTTCGATATACGTCTCCTCTACGGAACTTCACTAAAAATATATCTGCCGAAAGAGCGTCCCGTCAAGAATACATAGTGTAAAATAAAACGAGGTGGTGCAAAGTAAAACGACGTAGGCCATGTAAAACGGCTTCCATCTCTCAGAACCAATTTAGGACAGTTCTCAAATTTGAGAACATTTTTTCGCTTTCGCGGCAAAAATCAGTCAAGAATCTGTTATATCGGGATTAGTGGGAGAGGTCTTTTTTTTGCGCGTCTGGGGAAGGACTGCAGACTCGAATTTTCTTTCGAACTTTCGCATTGCTAAACATCCTTAAAGGGGAAGTATACCCTAAAATCAAATTTTCACCAGTTGTAGTCTTCGGGGTGCTGAGTCGAATGGTCTTGGTCCGAGGAAGCTGAGACGCTCCCTTCCTACTTGAATCCCAATCGAACTCGCGCACTTCCACCGAAACTGGGTGACTGCGCCCTACTAGATGGGGATTTGTATGCAAAATGTCACTAAAAGCGCCATTTCGTTCTTATAAAAGCACGGATGACCGCGATTGGCCCATATGTTGTAGTCTTTTGGACGCTGAGTCGACTGGTTTTGGTCCGAAAAGGCTGCGATGCAGCGTTCCTCCTTTATTCCCAATCGAACATGGTTGAACAAGCGGTCACGTGCTCCTGCGTACGCCAGTCACCTGGTCACCGTGCCTGCAGGGTACAACTTACTAGCCTGTTTGACCTTTTTTGGGTGCAGTCCTGTCACTCGAGTTGAACTCGAGTTGAACCTTGGTGTGAAAGTTCTCGCCTGCTGGCGCGGTGACCAGGTGATTTGGGCACCCAGGAGCACGTGACCGCTTGTTCAACCATGTTCGATTGGGAATAAAGGAGGAACGCTGCATCGCAGCCTTTTCGGACCAAAACCAGTCGACTCAGCGTCCAAAAGACTACAACATATGGGCCAATCGCGGTCATCCGTGCTTTTATAAGAACGAAATGGCGCTTTTAGTGACATTTTGCATACAAATCCCCATCTAGTAGGGCGCAGTCACCCAGTTTCGGTGGAAGTGCGCGAGTTCGATTGGGATTCAAGTAGGAAGGGAGCGTCGCAGCTTCCTCGGACCAAGACCATTCGACTCAGCACCCAGAAGACTACAACTGGTGAAAATTTGATTTTAGGGTATATACTTCCCCTTTAACACCACAAAAACGGACAGTCGACACCAGGGAGTAGTACAATACCATATTCTACTACTCCCTGGTCGACACAGTACATGTACATGTATACAAGTACACGTACACGAACATGTACATGACTGTACATGTACTATTGGTAACCTGTATCCGGGTACATGACATTGTACATTGTACTACTCTCTGCTTCTCGTGATGAGTTTCGAATTTCATTTTCAAACACATAACACACTGCCACTGGCGAGTCACTGAACTTCGAGTCGATCATCACCACTTGCTCGATCGATCGAGTCTGCATATCGTAGATCTACTTATAAAAATCATGATGATGCATTCTGCTGGTCTGAGCTTGACCGGTTTATTCCGGGGGCTGCGGATACTGGACGGTCGTGGCTATCACCACGGTGTTTGTGCCTGACAGCCTCACACGGTGACACTTGGCAGTGCAACATGCACACTGGCACTGCCAACACGGCAACAGTACGGACTGTCACAATATCAGTGTCACAGACCGTCTCCTCAACAAACTAAAATAAACAAAGCGTAGGCAGCATGCTAGCTAGCAGTTTACTGATGGGCGAATGTGGGGAAGGAGAGAAAATCGGTCCACCAGTGTCTTGCAGACGTGAGCAAGTGTGATCACTCCGGCTTCCCAACCAGTCCGGCACCTCTCAGTCTCAGCCTCTCTACTCTAGTACTAGACTCTAGCCCGGCACACTCTCCTGTGTCAGTGTGTGGTCTGACAGGCAGTAGAGTAACCAGCATAGGCGACGCACACTTCAGCAGATCGCTGCCGGAACTTGGCGGAGGACGTCGACGGGAAGTACAGACTCCGGCAACTAACTACTTGAGCCTTCTGGACAGTAGGACGTCCCCGTCCACCATCCGTGCTCATGGCGACCGTGAACAGAGGATTATCGCTGGTATTGCTTCAGCTCTTCCTCTTGCTGAAAGATTCTGCCGGTAAGCGACGCTAGTTCTAGGCGTACTGACATGCGGCTGGGAAATTGCGACTCTTGGCAGTCTTGCTGGCTTTGCTCTTTCGACCATGGACTCGTGGACTGTGACTCTAGACTAAAGTAAAACTACTTTATGTGGCCCATTGCTCGATCCCGCATGCAATAATATTGAATTCAAGTCTTGTTTTAATACTAAATTATAATAGTGCTTGCAGGCCAGTATGAATCGTAGCGATAAATAAGTGGTTTATACAAACTGTCTTTTCACTCGGTCATCTACTTCCTATGGCTATGACATGCCACTTTGGAATGCTGCGCTAGGAAAATAATTAGCGCGTTTCGACAACCCGCCCCCATGGCCCAGCCGAGCCGATCGAGCATTCCAATCCTGGTTTCCACCGGGCTGTGTGCGTGACGGTGTCATAATCCGCATTGTTTCGCCCCTTCTGCACCCTGCTAAAATACTTCGAAGTACTGATGGAAGAGATCCACTACTACTAGTACTGGAAGGTGGTGCATGCACTAATATTTGATTTCAAGTACATGTACATGTACATGACCAGTAAAAAATTAATGGTTCAGGTATAATCCATGGCATGAGTCAGGTGAGCTTAGCCTACCCAGTAATAATGGCAGTATGCTATGATCCTCCTGTGCCCTGCATGCACGCTGGCCAAAAACAGTCCTCAGGCGCAGGCGCCTGGCGCATGGCTGTGATGAGAGAGAGGCTTTAGAAAACCGTCTTTAGTTCTCCAACCTGTGACTGTGCTGCCACTGCTCCCTGAGCTAGCTACAGCCACAGGCAGGCACTGCTCTGACCACCTACCAAAGGAATAATTTCATGCCCTGCTTGATCAGCCACACCTAGTACCTACATGTAGGTATGTAACAAGATTGTTTGGCACCAAAAAGTTGGAGTACCTGAGTGTATCAGGGGGGGGGGACTGGTCCAGTTTGTCTGGCCATGGCTGGACCAACTTTTTGGCCACCAATGGACCAACTAACGTTACTTTTGGCGACCAACGTGTGTTTACAGCTGAGGAGGTCATGTGTTCCCAACATATCACGCACAAAGCATGAAAGGCTAGGGGATGGGGACCAATCAAAAACTGCTTCCGCCGGTCTTGAGTATGGAGATGTAACACGTTTGTCAATGAAGTATCACTCTGCCTGAAATTTCGATTGCATAATGCTGGGATAATTAAAATGGCATTCTGGGACTACACAAGCTAAAAGTTACCTCCCTCAAGCCAAGACTGAATCAAGTCCACAGTTCAATGAAGGGCAAAAGTGAAGTGCGAGAATGTCTCTATTTTCTACATACTTTACTGTACTGGCTAGCCACTACACATGAACACTGATGAATGATGACCTACATGGTCACATTGTGCATCTCAGCCTGACATCTTGCTGGAGTATCGGAAAGATTTTGGGACTGCTGAGTGCTGGGCATGGGGCCCCTGACTGGGAACAGCATGGGTTTTTGTGGCTAGAACAGTAGACTCTGAGTCCGACACATCAAGGCAGGGAGCCTGTCTTACTCAACTACTTCTCTAGTCACCGTACATTGTAGGTGTTGCTGAGTGCTTTGGCATGCTTACTATGATGCAGGGCCAAACAAGGAGTACATTGTACTTCACTTCATAGCCGTGCACAAGTGGAGTTACTACAACTACAAGTTACGTATGCTTATGCCAACCCCTAGGCCCTCCATGCATCCACACAGAATGTGGCTGAGACACAAACATTCTTCTAGGCTTTGTTTTTGTTTGTTTGGGCCTTGAGCTTGATTACTCAGCAGCACAGAGTCCTAGGATCCTAGGCTTCCTAGCCCTACTGCGTCCGCTGATATGGCTACAAGACAACATGTACAGTCACAAGTGGAAGAGTGTAACTGTAATGCATCGGGCACCACACCTGTGTTGCATGACTTGTAGTATTGTTTTTATGGACCACTTGCTCTGGCAAGTGTAGAGATGCCCATTCTCAGGATAGTGTGCATGCCATTCACTTAGCTTTCACTTGAAACAGGCAGTGTGATAAGAAGAGCCCCACTTGAGGCTCCAGCAAGGACCCCACTTGACCAATATGGCAATAATCATTGCAGTTTATAGCATAAGATTTACTCCTGTGAAGAGAGGCCCAGGGCTGAGAGGTTCTTTTGCCTATAGTTTTGGCTAGTTTGGGGGTGTGGCATGGACTTTTCGTGCATGGTGGTGGTGGGGGGGGGGAGCCACTGTATGGTACAAGCAAGACGGTCCATAAACCAAGAGCATGCAACCTTTTTAAAAGGTTGTAAGTCTCTATCACATGGGCCAGGTGTGTGACACACTGCCTTCCTCGTCCAATGATGAAATGAATCCATGACCAGGTGGAACGGTGGACATGTTCACCCCAGGGTTCTAGCCAGAGGAGGGAAGGGGGTGCAGCCCCCCCCCCCCCTCCTTTGATTGAGCCCTCCCCTCTTCCTCTGATTGAGCCCCCTCCCCCCCCCCCCCGGTGAAAAAATTGCCTGCTCCCTACTCATTTGTCGATTTTTGTGTTTTATCAGGGAATTCAACGAAAATGCAGTCGATAGCATACTCTTGATACTAGTGGCTGACAGAGGGTTCATAATGGCACACTGGTCTGGGGTTAAGTCTGGGCTTCGCTGCCATACGTTGCATTTTGCATCGCAAGACCTTTTTTGGAAAATGGGTTATGGGGTAACTGTTTCCCAGCCCCCGCCCACACACACTATGTTGGCCTGGCTAGAACCCTTTATTACAGCCGTCCCTCTCTAATCCGGCACTTGTTTATCCAGCACCCTAGCAAACCAGCACACTTTCTGGTAAAACGGATTTTTTCAGTTCATTTTCTACACTTTAATCCGGCACTTGAATTCCGCCTCCAGCAGCGATTTTCTGCAACAAATCACTCAAACTGTACATGATTCGATTTTCTAATCCAGCCATTGTACATCGCATACCGTCAGGGAGCATTGTAACGATTACATACACAACACATGTACATGTACCATAGTAACCATGCACTTGGGAATATCCTATGCCGGTGCATAGGATATGTACATGTGATAGACATGCATTCCACAAAGTACTTGGATTGACACAAAAAAATCCCTACGTTTTGACGTACGACACAAACATGTATGTTAGCAGGTGGGCCGGGTTGGAGGACAGGATTTGATAATTCAGCACCCTTGTTTATCCAGCAGAAAATGCCGTTGCAAAAGGTGCCGGATTAGAGAGGGGCGACGGTATTCTTCTTCTTCTTGCACTATTACCTTTCAGTCGCGATATTACACTGACGAACTTGAACAGGACAAGAAAATAGATTCTGCAAAGACTGCAATCCTTGACGCCTTTTGATGATGTGTGTGATGGCAGGCTGCAGCTTTTATACTATTCATTGCTATTCTTAACAAATTGTTGTCCAATCTGTTTGGAGATGCTTCCTAGTCTAGTGATGAAATACAGACACAAACAAATAATGGTGAAAAAAGGAGGACAACATGTTACGAGTTATGACTAACTGCCCACCAACGTAACCAGATCTTATACAGTCAGCAAGTGCGACAAAATGGCACAAAACGGACAAGGAGTGCTGAGACATTCGACGACCTGACACCTGACACCTGACATTATTTTCACCATAATTTAATTGGCTCACCATCAGAGTTAAACAAACAAATAAGCATTTGATTTTGCATGGTTTGATTCCTCTTTGCTTCACAGCCTCCCCCAGAACACTATGTACAGGTGTCAGTCAGGGATGCCACGCCAACGGAGTTGCTACGTATGTGGTCACGTTCCACGGAGAATGGAGAAGGCCACTGCCTCACCCGGCGAATGCAATGTTTTCGCCACTTGTCGGTGCCTCTCACAGTGCGTGTGCATCGTTTTGGCGACCCGGTGGGCTTGCAACACGAGGGGTTGAACAGGTGGCTGAGACGGGAATGACAAATCAGATACACAGCGAGTTTGTGGCATACAACAACCAAGTACTTGACGTTGTGCAGGCAGAGCCACTGTTTGAGATCAGCACTGGGTCGGTGTCAACAAATATCACTGTTGATCGCTATCATCCACTAGTGACCCTCTTGTCCATGGTCGCACCTTCACCAGACTGGTTTGTCGGGATTTACGACCAGACACTCTGCTCTGCTGAAGATACATGGCTACCTAGCCTCTCCATTAACCTGCCAGTGTGGGATGCTGGAACGGACAATGGCTTACACTTCACAGCTGCTGACGAAGAGCCACAGAGCCATGATACCATTGCCTTGCTAACTCCAGACAGCAGCAGGTCATCGGTGGTCCCGGACGCCACTGGCTCAGCAGGTCGAGTTGCACGGCTTGAACTGCGCCTGGTAAATGTGGACAACTACAAGCCAGTCCTGAGCACCAGCTGTCAGACATGTGGTAAGTGCCTGGCAGATGAATGTACAGCGGCGGATCCAGTGATCTCTGCAGGGGGGTTCCAGTATAGTCAAAATCGAATAGCTGATACATGTACATGGACACGCATATGGTTACCAGTAGTGCATTTACGAAATGTAGGGGTTCCCCCCTGGAACCCTTCCAGGATCCGCCACTGATGTATAGACTGGAGATGAGTGATCACCACTGGCAAATTGTATACAGTCAATTTCGCTAATAACGGCTATGGATATAACGACAATTCGTGAATAACGACAGAATTTCCGTGCCCAGAGCAAAGTCCTATCTAACTGCATACATTTAACTTCGGATATACGACTATCTGAGTAACGACAATTCGCGAATAGCGATATGATTTTAGTGCCCCGAGGCCGAGGGTCATGTCCACTGCTTGAGTAATGACTTTCTGGGCTTTTGACAGCTACCAGAACCCATGGTGATGGATAAAAGCACACATGCAGGAAGATGCAGCCAAGGAAAGGGGGGGGGGGGGGGTGCTTTAAGTTTTTTTATATTTTTTATTGTGCTTCAAAATAGTTGGAATGATCAGCACGACTACATGTAGTGTTACATGATTGTACAGTCAGACCTCGCACGATTCTCTTCCAGATGGCGAGGGATCCGGATAGAAGAGGACCGGATAAGCGAGGTCCGACTGTACAGTAATCATCATACTGTCTTCGAAGTGCTCGTGCATGCACATGTCCCTGTAGATTGCTCTAAAAGGCTAATTTTTCAATTTATTTCCATTGCATATTGACTTTATAGTTCCTTTCAATTGCAATATGAAAATAAGTACACATCGACATAGAGCATGAAAAGAGCTTCATTTTGATATGCATGTCATACTATACAAAATATGGGCTCACATACATTCAAATGGGACTTCGGGTGTAAGGACACTTCGCGAATAAGGACACTTTTCTGATACCCCACCGAGTGTTGTCACAGTCAAACCTCGCTTATCCGGTCCTCTTTTATCCGGATCCCTCGCCATCCGGAAGAAAATAACTGGTTACAGATTTACAGCATACGTGATGCAATCAACAAAGCCGGTGTTCGATTATCCGGTTCCCTCGCTTATCCGGATATTTTTGTGGAAAACGGATGTGTGTCGTTAAAAGCGAGGTCTGACTGTATTCGCGAAGTTTACTGTACAGTGAAACTTCATTATTAGGTACTAGTACATGTACCTCCATGGGATATAAAAACCAGTATTGTATACTGAGCCAAGGTATGCTATCTGAAGAAAGAGCTCTGTTATCATCGCATTCATTTTGTCCCATCAACTGCTGCGTTGGTGTGGTCTGTGATTTCATGTAGCATACTGCAATAGTCTAAGTCTAATATTACAGTGCTAGTCCATGCTAGTCCTGACTAGAATATTTATTGCAGTTGATTATATGCTACTGCAGAACTCAGCATAATGCAACTTATGATCTGGTGAGCTACTGGTTGCAAATGGGTCCGTCATGTCCTGCATTTCAACGTTTCCGACTACGTGGGATTCACTAGTGTTGTGCACTTCTCTGTATGACGGGCTTCAGGTCGATCTGGGGCTGGAAATGGCATCCAATTGTGCCAATGTGATGAAGCATGCCATACCGGCGGAGAAGCTACCTATTTTGTCCGAGTGTCGACACATTGGACATCTCCACCTCCGCCACCAAACGGACACTTCTCTCCGCTGACGGTTGTGTCACATTCAGCCTGCTCAATTCTCTGGAGGAACCGGCACCATGCAACTGAAGGCCTGCAGCGAGTTGCAGAAACAGGCAATAGAAGCCTCTTTCTGCAAGAGGCGCGTTCCTTCAAAGGTCACATTGGCGATGTCCTTGAAGGAATGAGCATGCCAGCGGAAGGACTAGTGACTGGCGTGATTCGTGTGGATCGTCTTCACCCAGTGGTATCACTAGCCAGCATGATGGCTCCATCGCCGGACTGGTTCGTTGGACTTGACAGCATCCCGATGTGCTCAGGAAATGGCTTTCACGAATTTCTGCAGTATCGACTGTTTCCATGGGATGCTGGCACTGATGCCGGCCTCACGTTCACATCACCAAACAATGCCAATAACCCTCATGAGCCACTGGTCAGAATCCGCAGTGCAAATGAACCAACAGGCTCCGTGTTCCGCAATCAGGAGGTTGTGCCGGTTGCAACCGTAACTTTCCAACGTATTGCCTTGGACGCATCACCAGTCGATAGCAATCCTAACCAAACACTGTGCCCAGTGTGCAAGGATGATGAGGTCTGCACTCCGTCCTATGATGGTGAGTAGGATGGCGCTGCCAGTACAGCATAGCATGACTGATTGTATCTAAATGCACACTTGCATGGGTATTATGCTCCTCGACATTCGCCTTGTTGAGCACTCTGGGTAGGCTGCTTTAGTGCTGCTGTGTTATGCGGCCCGCTACTTAGCACTCTGGTGCTAAGGCGACAAGCTATCAGAATGTCTGTGGTGCGATTCCTGTGCCATAGCCGGTAGTTTGGCTTACTTAAAAGTTAACATAGCTGTACTGATGAGGCCTGGATGGCCGAAACAGCTAGCTGTCTACAGCATTTGGTGAATGTATACTTGTATGTATGAATACAGCCTGCAGCCAGAAGCTGAGCGTAGAGTGGCTGACCTGGGCGGCATGAATGTTGCTATGCTACACATGACCATATTATTTTAGTTGAATCCTGAGTTGCCAATATGCCTGGTCATACTGAACTGGAGGGGCTAAAGTGAGTTTTTACTGTTATATCCCCACCTCCAGCACCACAGCACTGTAGCGCGACAGGGTGTATGTTAGCAGGGTGTCATCCGTGATGGTGTCATCAGAACACATCCCGCTGGTCTGGTGGTTTATTTCGAGAAGATGGAATGATGGATGTGCCAAACGGGAGTACTTACGGAGAAATGATGAAAACCTAAGGAAATGTGAATGTTTTAGACGGGTGTAGGCCAACTGGAAACAACCCTGTGCCCTGATTTGTGTGGACCCAATGTAATTGATACTCTACAAGACATACTGGATTGAAGTAGATCCACCGCGCTGTCCCATTATGTCAGTGGCGTTTGAACGCATTCCACATTGGTGCGGCCATGCAGAGAGGAGGGGGACTTTCCACCGGAATGTTTTTTTTGGGAAATTGGACTCAAATGGCCTATATTTTAGAGGCCGTCCGGAATTATCGAACCTTTTTCAGCAAATGAATTATTATAGTTTAGGCCCAACCCCTCCCTCCCCCTCAGAATGTAAAAAAAAAGGTTGACATAATTATGTATGCATAATACAACAAAAATTGCAAGTGTGTAACTGCTCCTACGACAATGTACATGTATCAATGTTTTCTGAAACGAAATTGGTCAACCGCCCCGGCCCCCCCCCCCTCCCACCCCATAACGAAATTATTTCGTTTTGTGAAAAAAAGTTCGATATTTATGGACGACCCCTTAGTATTCCGAAAATCACAAGATTAAATTATTGTTGCGCAGGTGAAAAAAACGGCAACTAACTTCAGTACTTTCAGGCCAAGTCCTGATTGCCACGGGAAGAAAAGGATTTGGAAACGGCTAGAAAAGTCATTTGACTGACTCTCTGGCGGAGGAGTATTGAATTTATGTCACTCATCCCCATGTAGATCACAGGCAGGGCACTATCAGCTAAAAGAGTTTATCTGTGTTAGTGTTTGGTCTGACCTATTCCTGCCTGCGTGCTTCTGCTTCAGTTGGCGTTACGAACGGCATGAACAATACGCTGCAACAGGCAATACCAGTCACAGAGAACGGTGAGCCTGACATTTAGTCGTGTACCTAGGCTGCAGGTTCATGCATGCTATTGGTTCCATTCATTGCTTTCGCTTTGTATTCATTCTATTCTGAGAAAACAGCTGTCTGCACAGGATGGGCAGGGGGGGGGGGGTATTGTCACGGACAGGAGTTTCCTTGCTATGGTGTGGGCGGTTGCAGCAGCGGTGGTGTGTGCAAGATTTGTTGGTCGACCAAGAGTGTGATGTTGCGCCGGGAACTGCTTATGTTCGATTTCACTTTGTACATGACATTGTACTGATACATAGACTGAATGATATCAATATGTTCTGGGGTGTGCCATGGAAAACACTATTACCATATTTTCACATTATTAGTTCGGGGAAGGTAAAACGCGGAAATCCCCATTTTGTAGCCATTGCCTTTTGGATTCAAAGTTTTTAACTCCAACTCCACAAATGCACTGTCAGCCTACCTACCCACCCAACTTGCACATCACCAACATAGCCGAAAGACAATTCCGTTGACTCGGATATCAATATTGCCAGACTCTCCAGACAGCTGTGTCGCCGCCAACAGAGCTTGGCAGTGGGAGATGTCACGGTAGACATTGAATGAATTTTGCCATTGCGGGGTATGGGAGTGATGTTATAGAATGCAAAACTGGACCCGGTCATTGCTTGACACCAAATTCATTCAGTAGCTACAACTGGCACTGGTAAGCTCTGTTGAAGTGGAACAGCTGTTTGGAGGGTCTCACGATATCAATTTGTCAACGGATTTGTCCTCACCATAGCGGTGCCATGTAGAGTGGAGTGGATTCGCTGAACTGAGTGCATTGTGGAGCAGTGGATGGTTCGCTTATAACTACAAGTAGATAAATATAGTAATGGCCGAGTTTGCCGTAATGCCATAATTTCCGTGCTTCCAGCCCCACATGATCACATAATAATTATGTCTTTTGTTTATGTCATCTGTTTGCAGCATGTGCCACTGAGACATCTGGTGGTGATTTCAGCAGATCTGAACTTATCGCCTACTGCATCATCTGTGGCTTAGTTGGTATTGCCCTGGGAACTCTGTTTGTTGCGTTGCTATCATTCTTTGTTTCCCGCAAGTCACGACGGGCAGCAATCTCCCAAAGCTCCACGTCATCATCACAGCCACTTGAGGGAAAGAACGACTACCGGTCGATTTTGTTTTGAGTCCCAACGCAGCTTCCCACGGTACACTGAATACTAGTAGTAGATGAGAACCAGCCAGTACTCCCCGCAAGTTCCCAGTGTATGCCGAAACCTTTCCCCACGTCACCCATGCCAGTGTTCTCATGATAAGCATGACTGAAGTACATGTATGTGATCATCCCAGTGCTGTGACATGATGAGAACCCTGCTACATGTAGCATCTAGTCTAAAGTAATCGTGAGTTGGTCAAGGAATATAGATTTCTTTCTTTTACTTTAGTTTTAGTGCTGCTCGCAGCGGTACATCTTCTGAATGTCATGTTAAAAGAAGTCGTCTTTTTCTACTGTAAATGTACTAGTTAACAAGACAGTGTTGATGCCTTGATACAGCCAGGGAGCAGGGGATGAGGTGAATGTCATCGTGGTGTGTGTGTGTGTGCGCGCACGCGTGCGTGTGTCCTAGCCATGGTGTGTGTGTGTGTGTGTGTGTGTGTGTGTGTGTGTGTGTGTGTGTGTGTGTGTGTGTGTGTGTGTGTGTGTGAGAGAGAGAGAGAGAGAGAGAGAGAGAGAGAGAGAGAGAGAGAGAGAGAGAAGAAAGAGGTGTGTGTGTGTGGGGGGGGGGGGCTCTTGATCCCCCGCTTTGTTCCACTCTGGCACTGGTGGACAATCGCACACAGCACCGGTGCAGAGCAGTGCCAGTACACCACCCGGCACTACACCCCGGATATCACACTGGCAGGCATATTTGACTCATACTAACTACTTCATAAGACTTGCTGTCACTTAGTCCTATGAGTCTGACTACAAGTCATGTACAGATCAGCTAGCGCTACATAGTCATCGACTCTACAGTCATGTACGTAGCCCTAGGTCTACTACTATACTACACTCGTTGTTCAGTTGTTGTTATATTATTAGTTTGACAGCATGAAACAAGGTGGAGGACACTGTGTTCGGAAACAGTGACCTTACTACAACCATCCACGCTTGGTAGAGCCCCGGTCCGTTGGGATCATCTGAACCATAATAATGGGTGTTGAACCCGGTTCTGACCCTCATTATGCTAGGGGAGTTCTTAGACTTCTCCTAACATAGTCATTACTTTGGTTTACTAGTACATGTATCTAATATTGTACATTGTCATGTACAGTCTGTATCGGCTATAGCGTACCCTTTTGATTTCCGTGATTTTATCACTATAACCGATGCATCACTATATGCGATACGATCAATTTTTTTTCTTTTTTCGATCGACACATGAAAGGCAAGGAAATACTTCCAGCATGGCGTTTTGACAAATGAGCATGCATGCTGCACAGTTGACAGTGCCCGCATTTCCATAAAAAAATCTGTTATGTACAGTGTACATGTATCACTATAAAAATAAGCAACGTGAAGAAAGTAAAAACATAGGGCCTTTGATATTGTTGCTACATGTATTTTAAAGTTATCACTATAGCCGATAATAATATAGTGTGTTATGCATGTTTTGATTCTTTGTTGCCATCATAATATCCGATATATCATTACATCCGATAATATTGGTTATAGTGATATTTTTACTGGATAAAATACGTATTGCTTTTGATATTTCGTACCAATATCACTGTATGCATGTAGCCGATATATTCTTATATCCGGTCACTCTATAGCCGATACAGACTGTACTAGTATTGGCTGGTATTGGGTGATATAATACTACACTCGTACTGCAGCAGTACTCGGATCTGCAGCGCAGAGCATGCACACAGCGAAGCAGGGATCGGGAGTACAGCATCGATTTCATACAGGAATGCTCTTGATAATTTCGAAGGGCGGGGCAGGGGTTGGACTCCGCAATTAGTGTTGTTCTTTTCAAGCCACAAACGTGCATCATGCCTAGCTACGCAGTCAGCATGGGGTTCTAAACTAAGTCACACAGTAAGTGTCTTCTATTCGGAGTATTCCCCCTGTTGCGCGCTAGCATTATGAACTTAACTGCCAGCTGATGAAGCGCATGTCCTCTTCATGTCGTGAATTTAACTTTTGTTACTTACCGTAATTACGTAAAGCAGGGAGTAGTAATTAAATTACTACTCCCTGCTGTAAAAGACACCGAGTCCAGTCACTTTTGAAAGGTCTCTTTCTTCTTCTTTTTCTTAGGCGAGTAATGCTACTGCTAGCTAGCTGTACTCAGACAGACTTCGTCTTGACTCGGGAGTGAGACAAGGGCATGGTGGGGTTAGTTGCCATACGGAGCCCGTGTGAAACCCCGCGGGAGTGCAGCTCGCTCGATTACGATTACGACTGGACTCTCGGTAGTGCGTGACGGGAACCCGCACCTTCTCAGCTTCTGGACCTGTTCTGGTGGACTGCACTTGCAGTCAGATGAGCGACCGCGAAAAGGTCACTTTGAAATCGACCTCCCTCGATCAAATCCAAAATCATATCTTTGAGCTGTCGAAAGGACACATTTTGTCAGGCTGACTCCGCCGCAGTCAAGTTCAGTGGTGGCCGAGGGCAGCATCCGAACAGACACTTTACACTATTACAGTCCGCATACGAACAACTGAGTCTGTAAATGCAGAGACAGGTCTTTCTTCTGGGTGGCTTGGGACCTGGGAGATGACAGTCACTACAAAAGGTTGTAGAGTCAGTGCCCATTTGCCATTGCCAACTCATACGATTCGAGAAAACGAGTCAGTGTATGACAGCACGTGGAGTTGCCTCCTGTCGGAGTGTCCTCATGCCTGAATGTCATTTTCTGATCGATTGTAGCAAGAGTACATAACTACACACTGTTGACATCGCCTTCATTTCCTTTGGAGCATTCCTGGGGATTTGAAACCAGATCTGGCACTTATGCGAGTCAAAGCGACGAAACGGCATGGACCACACTCGTATTCCCTTTGGCTCATATGGCATGCTACTGTACTGTCCATCAGTGTCATCAAGGCCAGGACAAAACTTCCATCCAGAGGAAGCAGGGAGCGAGGCGAGGTGTGGGTTCAGCTTCGACAAATTTCCACAACAGCTGCCCTCATCCACAAAGCCACCAAAAAGGGCCTCAAACACATATCCACCATTACTCTTGACAAGAAGCCTTGCCACAGGAACTGGGGAACTATGGGCAGAGACTGCAACGTTAGTGGAGGAAGAGACTTCAATCCAAACTTCCTCTTTCAGCTGCAGCTCACAGCAACGAAGTTCAGCATACTCCGGACCCAACTGGTTGAGGTGACGGCGGACATCATCAACGGACACTCTGCAGGGCTCTTGGGCTTCAGTTCGTGAAGCTGAGTACGACAAAAATACCCGTTTGGGTGCAGGAACAAACTTGGAAATTCCCAAAGAAGACGCAAGGCGTTTTGGGGTTTGCTCGTTGCTCGTACTGCAAACTTGTAAACAAGAAGCCCGAGGAGAAAGAGGAGGAGAGGGAGTATTACTAGCGTCAGAAACAGGAAGAGTAGCGTCCAGTCCTGAAGCAGGAGTCTCCATTCTCCGTCACTACACTCTTCCTTCCTGAAACAGTTCTCAACAAGAAATAATAAATCAATTATTTTGCCTTTTGGACATGTTTCTTCACCACGAAGGACACGTCGCGTCACGCGTCAGTGAAAAAAGAAAGAACAGAAAAGTGGCGCAGTTTTCCACCATTTCCTTTCCACGGCTTTTTCGTGTTTGGCCGGTTTCAGTCAGTTAAAATCGAATTTCCCCATCGCGAAACTCTGCCCTCACTCTGCCGTCTTGCGCGTCTGGCGCCAGTTTGTGGGCCAAAGTGCGATCCGAAGACTGCAAAACATCGCGCACGCCGCGCACCATGCAGTTGAACTAGGAATTCCGATGAACCAGATCCCATGAGTGGAGTTGCACACTCTTGTGTAGTTATGTACTCTTGATTGTAGGCCATGGCGTTGACTCCTCAGTCTTCAAACTCTTCTCACAAGCCACGCTAGCGATATGTCTACAAGACAGAAGAAGATCAAGAGCGCCGATGGAGCAGACGAGATCGAGACCGTCGACGAAGTGAGAGAGAGTAGGCTTCAATACTATCAACAAGAGTTCATGAACTCTTGCTATCAATAGGCTGTCGTTGACTCGTTGCCCGAGTAGCCTGTATGTAGCCCGACACATACGAGTACAGCATGCCCGTGTCACATCACATGCCTGCACTTTTACGCATCATCACTGACATCAGTTCGAATGCATGAATCAGGGAGTACTACCGGTACTCCCTGGCATGAATGCACTTGACTTGCACACTTGCTGGAACTGTACGCGATCCATGTGATCTGCGCCGGCTACGGTCTGGATGAGCCCTACACATACCATACTCTGCGGCATAGATCTACACAATCAAGTCATAATGAATGTGTAGGGCTTTCTCCTGAGTCCTGGTCTGGATCATGGACTTCATTTCGCTGAACTGTCTGTTCTTCTGGAATTGTTACCATAATGATTGTTATAATCAGCAAGAAGAAAGTGGCTGAGGAACGCATTAGGGATCGTCATCATGGTCATCTGTTCGTCTATTCATTTGATTTGCCTAGTGTTTGTTAGTACTGAGCTGTGAGAGTGTGGGGAGTTCTCGGACACAACTCGGGGTTTTACCGGGGGGCCCAGTCACTCATTTCCCCATCTCTGTCGAAAGTACTTTAGAAGTAACGTTTTTGATTGAAAGAAGTGTGCCTGAAAATTTTCCGAGTCCTTTGAACTACAGTAGTAAGTCTTTACCTCGGTACTACCTGTGTTTGGTGACTTAGTGAAGAATGTTGCTGAGCTGGTGGAGCTCCAAGAAGTGACTCTTGCTTTCAAACTCTCCGCTTCTCCTCTCCTGGTCGACGACCTGTAACGTCACTTTACGTCAGACGATATGGCGTCTCCTCACGCAGAGTCCTTCTACTGCATCAGCGAGGAGAATCTCAGCCTTGACGATCGGAAGATATACACGGGAACTTGCATCGGCTGTGCAGCTATTGGGCTGGCTGGGAGCCTGACCCAGGTTATTTCCCTGCGAAATCTATGGAAATCCACCCCAGTGCCGTCCAACAGAAATCCAATCGCTCCCAATGCTGGTGTTGTATTTTTTCTGGCATTGGCTGATATGCTGGCATGCTTTGGTAAGTCACGTTTAGCCGCAATTTCTCAATACAGTAATTATTTATAGTTTCCTGTTGCTGATGATAGTCGCAGTATGACTATAATATTCTTACATACGGACCAGGGAATCGTAGCACATACCGTAGTAGCACACATATAGGCGCATGTGCCTGCATTCGGATATAAGCGCACTCTCACTTATAAGCGCATGCTCTTATAGGCGAAGCACAACCAAATTCTCACTTTGACACAATCACGGATAAAAGTCTGAAAAACAGCATACAGGAACCATGAAACTGACACTACAAGACCTAGTCAAACACAAATACTCTGGCAAACGAACTCTGATCGCACATGCGCGTTTAGGTGAAACCTTTTCATTTTCGAAAATTGGATTCGTAGCAAAAATTCACTTATAAGCGCATGTGCTTAAAAAATAGGGGCCTTCCGTAAAAACCGATATTTATTTAGAAACGAAAACTAGTTGTTTCTCTTCAACCCCCCTCCCTGAGAAACGAACACGTTCAAATGGTACATAGTATCGATATTTTTGATTTTTTTCTGGACATGCTCACGCATGCAAAATGTACATCGATATTTTTTTCAAGAAACGAACAGGCGCTCAACCCCCTCCCCCCTAAACGACTAGTTTTCGTTTCTAAATAAATATCTATATTTACAGATGGCCCCTTATAATGTGCGTTATTACGGTAGGTACACGACAAGGGCGACTGTAACGCTGAATGATGTGGCTTTTGCTCCCGGGCTGCCCATTCCAGTCACCCCTTTGGGGCAGTGCCCGTTTTCACACGCTCGAATATGGCATTGCTGATCTGGGTCGCGTTTGGGATCAGTAGGTCACGGCCGCGATCACCACCGTGAGCTTCTGCCTTCGTAGACTCACGTAGAACTTCTGAATCTGAGTCGGCAACGCACGTCTTTTCGGACACTACACGTATGGCCTTGTGTCGTCTTCCTAGATGCTACTACTCCCTAGTGCAGACAGTACTTTATATTTATTGCAAACACTTGATGCTTTGCAGGTACTGTAGTTAGTTATTGGAGCAGGGTGTGTAATTTAAGTCTTGCAAGAGTGTGTAGCCTCCCCAGAGATTGCAACTTATACTGGGTCAGCTGTTTGCACACACACCTGCTCCCACCCCTCCACACACACACACACACACACAAACTCACACAGACTCAGACCTCAGACCTGCCCATCGCAGAAGCGATGATAGCGAACAGCTATGTTAGACATAGCAACTTGTGCTGGCATTACACCATTCAACAGCTTGCAAGGCTGATGAATTGACCGCCACTAATTTTAGCCTGGTATCCATCACACAGCTGATTGAAGTGGCTTTTTCTGGCCAGTGAATCCCTATTTTTCATTTTTTTCATTTTTTTTACACCCACCACACCACATATTCCGGCATACACTGGCTGCTGGTAACCACCCAGGAGAATGAGAAAGAGAAGAAAGACGTGTGCGACCATAATCGTCGGGAATTGAACCCGCAACCTCTTGATTGGAAATCGACTGCACATACCACTGCACCATATGGGACACACAGACTCTCTCTCTCACACACACACACACACACACACACACAGATTCACACACACACACACACACACAGATGCCAGCTTGGATGCTGCACTTGGGCCGACTATGTCTCTAATGGATATATGGCTTGTGCTTTTACTTTTGTGCAGCTGTCATAACACGCTCTGTGACGCTAGCGGTAATATCACCCCCGACTAGTACGAAAGAAGGTCTCGCTCCAGCGTCACCCGTGGTTGTGAATATTGGAGCTCCTATTCAGGTTCGTGGAGACTGGTCTTTTTAGTTGGGGTTCATTGGATGGTCACTTCATTTATTTTTTAAATTTATTTTTATTGAAGTGCTCTGGTGCACCTGGTCACATGACTGAACTTGTCTCTGTAGGAATGATTCTGCTGTAGAAATAGTCGGTATTCTGCATTCAATTCACAGAGATGTGCACCCTTGAGGAGTTAGGGAGGATGGCACTATAAAGCATCTATCGGCCGAGGAGATAATTTTAGTGGGAGTTTGAGCCACCACTTCTACGAACAGCTTGCAAACAGCTCATGTCCAATAGATCTAGATTAGGCTCGGGTATCTGTCATATCTATCATTGAGTTTGGTTCTTTACTGTGTGTCTTCTCGCTATGCTGGCATGCAGTCGTTCTTGCAATTCTTCTTCTTAGCAACATACTTTTGGACGTTCTTCTTTGCCTTGGATGTATACTTGCAGCTGAGCAAGCGATCTGTGTAAGTGTTAAAACTTGAAGTTCATGCGTTGAAACCCTGCTGATACTTAACCTTCCAGCCTTTTCAGACAATGTACAGTCGTGGCGAGCGAAATCCGACACTTGCCGGCATCAAAAGTACATAACCCCCAGAGTGTGCAACTCCCACATACCCTGCTGTCCCGACAGAATTTCAAGTTGACGTCATTATTTATGACGCAATGCTCCTTGCACCATTGATTTACAACATGTGTACGGGTGTCAACGCATCACACGTTTTTCTTTGCAATAATTTGTACAGGATCGATCGGCGTCGGTCAACCACAGGTTCTGGATTCGTCTGATAATCCGTGTACAGTGCATTGCATCATCAAAATGACGTCAATTGATCAACTTGAAATTCTGTCGGGCCAGCACCCATAGTGGAGTTGCACACTCTGGGGGGTTATGTACTCTTCCCGGCATGCCATAGGGGACAGCGCCACAAATGGACATCAATGATGTAATGCACTGTACCTATTTTGTACAATAGAGCCATATGCATCCCAAACAGGTTGAAAGGTCACAGAGTAGATACATGCAGTTCACAGACATGGTACATGACCCATAAGGAGTATTGGAATCCAGTCCCCATTCATTTTTGGCATTGCCTTTGAACCTTGACTGTGATGATTACGCGTTCTGTCATGAGACAGATAACAGTTGTATGTAACACATGTAGTACGTATGCAGGGGCTGCACACTGCATGGTGCAGTCCCTTATGCCAAGTGTCGGATTTCACTTGCCACGACTGTATGTGTACTGCACACTCTACAATACTATCATACTACAGTCAGACCTCGCTTATCCGGTCCTCTTTTATCCGGATCCCTCGCCATCCGGAAGAAAATAGCTGGTTACATATTAACAGCATGCGTAATGCATCCAACATAAACGGTGTCCGGTTATCCGGTTCCCTCGCCTATCCGGATATTTTTGTGGAAAACAGATGTGTGCGGTTATGCGAGGTCTGACTGTATACAATGTACAATGTATGTGCTTTGAAGCTTCGGTAAACTCATACCTCGCCTATCCGGGCGGCCCGGAACCGGGCACTGCCCGGAACTTTGAAATGTCCTTCTTAAACTCCGAATCACATACATTTTGACGCGGAAAGGACATGCGACTTCATTATTTCCACAGTGACGAAAGAGTAGTAATATTTCCACTGAAACTCGTCCAAAGGGTGCTCGGTAGACCGAAGTGCCCGGTCTTTGGGTTCCGGATAGCCGAGGTATGAGTGTGTATAACGTATCATCAACAGCCATAAAAATACGTAATTTGTAACCGAGATCAAATGGCTGCAATAGCATATTATACTCCATGGTCCTCTGAAGTGGTACATTTATTGCACATACCAGCAGTATGTTTTATCCAGGGTACTATATTCTGAAGTTTTACTGTATTGTAATCCGCTTGCTCCAAGTCGATTGTACCAAACTTACGAATAGGAGGTTTATTATTCTGTTGAAGATTTTAAGATGTATGCTTCCACACAATTGTGTTGATTTAACTTAATGTAGTAAAGTCTTGTGTGGGTGTACATTTTGTGAACAGACACATTATGATTCGTTGCTGCCCTGTGTTGGAGTGTGGCGTATAGTTGTGTGTCAATTTGGAGATGTTTTCAGACATACTGGTTTTCAGGCAATCATTTAAGGTAAGCTGTTGTGGTCCAAATCGCCAGTTGCTCGGCCTAAACTCACTTTGTCTCTTGTGCTGTTCTTAATTTGTGTGTAATTCGCATCGTGCCCAGCTCCAACATGAGCTACCATCTGTTCACCTGGGTTGCGGCTGCTATTCTCACGGGCTTCAGTGAATTCATAGTCTTTTACGATGTTGGATTCCCGTAAGTCTTCGCCAGACACGACTGTGCTCTCCTACTCTGATGCTTGTGTAACCTTGCTCACAGCATACTTGTGTAAGGTCACTGAGATTGCTACGGTAACCAAGCCTGCCGTGCGCATATGCATTGATCCCCCAAAGTACCGTTGATGCACTCTCATACTGTGTTGCTTCCTAGCTGGTTTTTCGGCGGGGGGGGGGGATTCATTCAACGCTGCCAAGTACAGCTCAAGCGTAAGATGTACAACGATGTGAAGTGTCAGATTTGCAGTGCTAGATTGTACACAGGTCCGTGCACGGGATTACCTGCACCGGCATGTGTAGCAGCGACACAACAGCATGAATGGTGTACTGCGTGTGCATGAGTTGGTTCAACATTGTATGTTGACGTATATGCCAACGTCGCTCAGGTAGAGAATAAACAGCGGGCAGAAATCAGAGGGATGGGTTGACCAACAGTTCTCTCTCTCTCTCTCTCTCTCTCTCTCTCTCTCTCTCTCTCTCTCTCTCTCTCTCTCAGCTGAGTCTTACTTATTGTAGTCGTCATCTCTCTCTTCCTTATCAATTCTTCCAGTAATATTGTCTTCCAGCCTCCCTCGTAATCCTAATTGTGAGTGCTGGGAAGTGACTTTTAGAAGCTCAATATTGGCTTTTTGATGCCCAATATGGGGCTCAGGCCCACAGCCGCTAGATTAGGGTCTCACCTTGAACGCACTGTCTCACTGGGACCTTGAGTTTTTCAGTTTACTAGGTTGTGTGCATCGTGTTCTCATGTAGACTTTCTTTCTGGTCCGGTTCTATTTTGCATCGTGTACTTACTGCTTGCTCAGGTGTGCTGATCGGACTCGGGTGACACTTGCACACATGGCTACTTACATACCGATTGTGTTTGTGATGGTTGCCAATCCCGTCATCTACGTCATGTCCTACATGAAATGTGAGTGTTCCTGTGCCTGTGTGCTGTGTGCTGGCCATCTTGGCTTTTGATAAGTAGCTGGGCAAGGTTTTGCAAGACTCGCTCGCCATGACTGTTCTCTCTCTCTCTCTCTCTCTCTCTCTCTCTCTCTCTCTCTCTCTTTTCACACCCTGTCCTACGATCAGCTGATATGTATAGAATAAAGTGAAGTCCATGAAACAAAGGACTGGGGAGGGGTGTGATGGTGGTGGTGGTGGACTGGCCTACTTACAACTGGCAGTTGTGTGTATGTGACATACTTCAAAGTATGAGCTCTTGCCGGGTGATTTACTGACAGTTGTCACTGTTGTATGCTGGCCGCCTGAATTCCTTTGTGACCTAGACGATGATGATGTTTGCTGTATTTGGTCTGCGTCTCCTTCTTTCGCAGATAAAAAGCTGCTCCGTGGTCAAGGCTATTTCGGGCACTCGCAGTACAGGAGGATGAGACAAGTGACGCACAACTTCTCCAAATATGTCATCTTCTTCTGGATATGGTGAGTTGTGGTCTGGAAACCTATACACATGATCATATATGAGGCCCCTGTGTAGTGTGTGCAAGCCATCCATTACTCCAGTTAGGGGCCATCCGGCATTATCGATAATTTTCACGGAACGAAAAAGTTTAGTTATCACCCCCTTCAACGAAAAATATATTGACTTGACAGCTAAAATTGATTGACATTTCAGTTATCAACAATTTTCAAAACGAAACTCTCCTCAACCCACCCACCCATATACGAAACTTTTTCTCTTCGTGAAAAAGATCGTAATTATCGAAAAATTAAAAAATCCGTCCTCGTGCAAAATTGTCTCTGACCCACCCACCCACCCCCCATTTTTTCCCATTAATTTTTTGATTTTTACGGATGCCCAGCTCGAAAATAAGAACTCCTGAGTCCTGACCCCATGTTCACTGATTGCACCTACATGTACATGTGCATGTATATCAAGTACTAGTAGCTAAGTAAAGTGAGTAGGTCTCCCGACGGCCATGCACGTCCTACAACTACAAAAGAGTCATGTACCGGTATATCATACTGGTGTTTGCGATCCTACACTACGTCTACAGTGCACTACATGTCAGTGCAACAAGTGTATGGAAGTCACTGACGAAAAAAAAAAAAAAAAAAAAAAGTACGAAAAATCAAAAAAATTAAAATCCGCCAGCGCTCTTGACCACCCACCCCCTTTCTGCCTGAGGACGGATTTTTAATTTTTCGAAAAATACGGACGACCCCTTAGTGCTCTATTCTTTCTGTATATTTCTACACTGCGTTATGTATTTCATGCTATGCTTATATCGTAATGCGGATCGTCATCAACTATGTTGTGATGGTGATGCTCCATATATTGTCATCAATCGCATGCTGTGCTTTCTTGTAGTGGGTATACAGCCGTGTAGTAGGGAGCTAGGCATGAGCGTTGTCTTTGGTTTGCTTCTGCAGCTGGATTCCTAGTATTGCTACTGGTATCTACTTACAAGTCAAAGGTGTTGATGTCAAGTTTCCTTTCAGCCTATGGATGTTAACGGTGAGCTCTCTCATCTCTCTCTCCCTCTCGCACGCATACTGCTTTCCTCTTCCATAAATGTTTTCAATTTAATTTAGTTTGTTGCTCACCTGACTTGGTACTGTGATCTGTCCACCGCTGATTGCGCTATGTGGCCACAAAACAAAAGCACAAGTTCCGCGTTGCCCTCGCATAATCCTTGAAGTTGCTGATCGCAAGGCGCAGCTATTCCATGCAATCACTGGCGCTCAGCGTTTTCAGTCGAAATTCACTGAGGAAACTGTGAGTAGCAACTCGCAGGTCTACAGTGAAGGGCACAAAGATTTAACATGCTTCGCCAGGCGCTCAGCTAACGCCTCTTGCTTGCTCCTCACATAGACTATCATTGGCGCACTATTTAATATTGGCGTAACTTGAGACATTTGTCCGCACAAATCATGGGGTATAGTGTGATTGCTTGTGCGCTTTCCTGTTGCATGCAGGCTATTTTGAACCCGCTGCAAGGGTTTTTCAACTGCTTCATCTATGGCATTGGCTCGGACATGGTCACTAAGATGGAGATTGCTGAGCGACAGGTAAAGAACAGCATGAGGAATGTGCGTCGCTCATCCTCTAGCACTGGAGCTTCGCGGACACAAGCACGCTCTTACTCTTCACCGGGACCGTTGACTGCTGGCACGTTCAGTAAATCGAACAGCTCGTCTTCTAGTAGCCGCAACAGCATCTCAACAATGCCCCGTCCCCAGTCACAAGGCTCACCGGATTTGGTTTTCCAGACACGGATTGATGAAAGGAGTCCCCTTCTTGAAAATGGGAGCGCCAGCAGGCCGGGTCATTCAGCAAGTCGGGAAAGTCTGCTTAGCACAACCGGTGAGCAAGGTCAAGAATATTCAACAATCAGCTCCAGTCACTGATTTGCTTTACTTTCGTTATTGTGTGTGGAGATACTGTGGGCTATTTCGTTGTACTGGTCCACAACGGACACTGTGTTTCAGGTAGTTTGGGCACGGTGCACCCTGCCACTAACTCCGTTGTATAGACTTATCCGTATTCCACTCTGGGCTGCTCCGTAGCCTGAGAAATCCCATCCAGTTGGGTTAAACAGACACATATGCATGTGCAGTAAACGTATGCTGGAAATGCCCTTAGTCCCGTTGTATGGTGTCTGATATATTACTATCGGCACGGTGCATTGATCTCATTCTAACTTTATTCTTGTGTTTATCCAGCCTCGGCTTAAATCGCTTTTATTCCTATTTAAAAGCAGCTTACTGGTATAATATGTTTTGAGTGCTATTCTATGATTATGTGCTGCCGGTCAACGTGGCATGTTTTGCACCTGTGCTGAGCACTGTGTAGCATGTTGTTTTGTTTGTCTTACTGCTGTTCATGCTGGCCATGCAGTCACCTAGTACGCCATTCTGTACCCACCTAAATTCCCAACACTGCCGCTGCCTTGCCATTGTAATCACAATCTGAGATGTGATAACGTTACCATGATCTTAGTGTTCGTGCTTGCTATGTTTAATACTATTCCACCCCGATTCCACAACTGAGTGTTGATTCTGTTTTACAGGGGCACTTCAACGGATCTTCCGGGTCCCATATCACCATTACTGCTCTGATAATACAGTAAAACTGTTAGTAATTATTATTATTGAATTGATACAGTCCTCAAGCCAGGCCGTGGTATTTTACTATCACTCTTTAGCGTTTGTCCAACTTCCCATTAGGTTTTTTCTAGCTTTGTAGCCATAATGCTGAGCAAGGTTTCGTACTATCGGTGAATGCCACTGATTCGAAGTTACTACCAAGTGCTGAAGAGAGTGCGTGTGTTTCAAATCTTTATTCTCACGATAGACGTGTTGTTGTTGTTGTTGAATGTTGTTGTTGCCTTTGTTGCTGTTGTTGTTTGCTGTTGTCGAATAGTGTAATCCCAGCACGAGTTGCTATGATATAGATTGCCCCTCTACATGTACTGACAAAGGGCATTCAGGGAATAATGTGACTCAACAGTGCATCCGTCGTGATTCAACAGCTATTATTAAATACACACAAGTCACGATTCTGCCCATCCACACTCTTCAATAATTATCTGCTCCACTCCGAAGCTACAGCAAGGGGAATTTCTGGTACGGAGTGACGTAGAGTCGGTGCACTGCATCTGGTTTTGTGTGTGTGTGTGTGCAATTTGTTGTGCTAGCCACATGTTGGTACGTGAGGACACTCCAGGTGCAGCAGCCCTTTATGTAGTGTGAATGCTGCCTGAAGCATACTGTAAAATGAGAAACTTTCGCTAGAGATTAAATTTCGCTATTTTCGCGACCATCACACATTCGCGAATATAAATTGCCGCAAACATCTCCGTACATTGATCGTAGACAGTACAAGATCCGACTGAAGAGATAGAATCGCAAAATTTTCTCATCGTGAGCCAGCCCAATTTATGAAAAAGCTAAATTTGCGCTCCGCGGAAGTTTGTCACTTTAAAGTAATACACATACCCTGGGTGCGATTGTTATTGTGCATGTGTAATGGATGAGCGTATAGCCAATGTAGGGTGTGTGAAACCCGACCTGATGGGGCCGGGGGGGGGGGGGGGGCGGCACCTGAATACTTATCACGAGGGCGTACCACCCCACCCCTTAGGAGCTGGCTCCGGGTCTGCAGTACAGCCATGCCAAGAGTACATAAGCTCATATCTTGATCACCGTATTCACTTCATTGTAGGCTTAAATAACGGCTACCATATGTCTGACCTATATATAAGTTTGAAACTCGGGTATTGAGCCAATAATAAAAGTAGAAAGGAAAAGGACATTATGGAAACGAGTTAAGAGTAACCCTCCACCACTGTAACTAGATACTATAATACAGTCAGAAAATGCAACAACTAGGCACAAAACTGACAGAGTACTGAGACATTCGACGTCCTGACACCTAGCTTCAACACATCTCCGTAGCGCTAACCGACAGCCTTCCAACTTGGAAGGTTCAAGGTTATGGAAAGACCAAAGAGGGGAAGGCAAGCGCAACGAAAACGAGCACAAGCTACAGTCCCAACGGAACAAAGAATGTCGATTGTCACTGGACGATGACGAGACCAGTAGGCGATTTGACAAAGCGGTCTAACTACAATTCGAAGCAGCAAAGCAGCACACCACCCAACTTGGGTGGGTCAAAAATATCAAAGATAAGTTAAGAAGGGGGAAGCTTTGCGAGAACGAATTGTACAAGCCGAAATCTAAACTCCTACAGTACTCCTCATGCATGACATTGTGATGGACTAGTTGACTACAAAACAAGTTGTTTCACACGACGTACGTTTCGCCGTATGGTTCGTGACGGCTCATCAGGTGTGCAATTTGAAACTCGGGTATTGAGCCAATAATAAAAGTAGAAAGGAAAAGGACATTATGGAAACGAGTTAAGAGTAACTCTCCACCACTGTAACTAGATACTATATACAGTCAGAAAGTGCAACAACTAGGCACAAAACTGACAGAGTACTGAGACATTCGACGTCGAATGTCTCAGTACTCTGTCAGTTTTGTGCCTAGTTGTTGCACTTTCTGACTGTATATAGTATCTAGTTACAGTGGTGGAGAGTTACTCTTAACTCGTTTCCATAATGTCCTTTTCCTTTCTACTATATATAAGTCATCGACATTACGATCTTGAATAGGAATGAAGTGAGACTCTGAAAAACCTATGCGCCCCGATTTGGTGAATGGACTATAGTCACACGGCGGGTGAAGCAGTGACAGGAGAAATTTTGTGTAGCATAACTATCCCCTCATGCCACTATTAATGGGGCCGTCCGTTGATGTCACCTTTTTTCAGAAGAACGCGCATTTTGCCGCAGAGCAGTGTGAGCGCACGTGCTGGGCACCGACCTTGTAGTGTAAAAAACGTCCAAGCGCACGAGGGAAAACTTTCCGAAAGACTCGCAGCGCGTGCGTCGTCGAAAAGATTACGTCAACAAAAAATTCCGCCGTGGGCCTACCCATCCGCGAGTTGCACACTCTTGTTTATCTACTCTTGGTATCGCCTATAAGGTTGGCGGCTATAGTGATCAATTTCTCAAATTCATTTTCATTTGCCATAACTATGTATACACAGTTTTCCCACATACATGTAGTAATAATCGTCTATACTGCCTATACTGATCAAATTCCTATTTCCAAAGACCTTTATTACATTATTTTTGCATCGGCTATACTGTAAATCGTGAAATTTTCGCGGCGTTTTTAGTTCGCGTTTTCAGAATCCGGACAGGTTTGCGAGGTTTTAATTTTACGATTGCAGAATGGCATTCTTGCTAAACCTTTCATGGATCTCCTTTTCGCGCTGTCTAAATTTCGCGATTTCCACGCGGTCGCGAATTTCGCAGAAATTAGACCATGGCAATAATCATTCCCGGTTTACAGTAGTGATTGATGTAAAAATCAAAAGTGGTGTCAGAGGAGAACAGGGCGCTTACTTCTTCGTGAAGAACTTGTCCAGTGTTGTTTGGTGAGTTCTGCTTGTACAATTTGCCAAATCATGCCTCCATGATCGTGAAGAAATGCTGATGTTGTGTGTCAGGAGCTGTAGCCAGCTATGCAGTGCGTACATGTACATGTATGTGCACGAGTCGTTTGACATGTATGTACAGCTGTTTATAAGAAGATAGGAGCATTCCGCCGCTGCCGCCGTACAGTAGACCACACAACTAAGCGAATATTTTATTTATCCCTCATCCAATCCACTATTGAATACGCCAGCAACTCGTATGCTCACTGTCTTACACCATTTTTATACTCTCGCCTTGTTACTTTAAGTCATATCAGCATGAAAAAGGTTTTTGGTCTCCCTCGCCGTACCCCGACTGTCTTTGTTTTGCGGCACGCTAAGTTATACTCCCTCGAATCTCGTCTCAACTTGAGGCTTTTTATTTTTGTTTTCCGCTGTATTCATCAGCTTACAAGTCCTCTTCTTTCCTCAATGTTCACCCTCCAGTCGGCTGCTACTTGCACCGAGAGGCGCACTAGAGGGCAATCATTCTCTTCACTTTCTTTGCCCGCTGCTACCACTAGATATGGCATGTTCTCTATTTCTTTCCTTGGCGCTGATAGGTGGAATTCTCTGCCTGTCTCGTGTCGTCAGGTTGAGCATCTATCCGTTTTTGTTTCGCTCTGTAAAGAGCACTTAGGGTTCCCTGTAACAAGACGGCAACGTCTGTAGGGCCTTCCCTATCAAAATAATAAATTCTACTACTACTACTACTACTACTACACCCCACTCACATACATTGCATGCAGTATCAGTCATAGTAATATTTCGCTATTAGTGATAAAATGCTCACCCTTGAAATCAAACACCAACGCTATAGGCGATACTGACCAGGGAGTAGTAAAATTTTACTACTCCCTGATACTGACTGTACACACGTTTACACAGGGTATCGACATTTTTTAATGAAGTGTGATCTCCTCGCGAAATGTGACCAAAAGGAACTCCAAATTCACCATACACCTAGATTTACATTGCCACAGTCTCTCAACCTTGCCATGGCTGTATTTTTGGGGTTGACTTTCACTTTGTGTAGGTCATCAACTGCATGCCAGTGCCCGCCCAAAGTTAGAGATTGATATTTTTTTCAAAAGGTCGAGACGAACAGGGACCAAACCCCCTCCCCCAAACGAACGAATACATGATCTTCTCTAAAAAATATCGATATTTGTGGACGACCCCTAGGCTCACATCCTGCCTCATTAACTTGTCCCCTTCTACATAGTCATTGTAGCTCTTTTTTCTTTTTCTCTCTTCGCATCTCTTTTCTTTCTATGATTTCTTTATGGTTCCTCAGCCGTGGTTGGATTTCACTCCCTCCCCTGTGATTTGGCAACTGCATGCCGCTTTTTATGGGTAGTTTGGGATGTGAAATATTTTGTAACTTTAATACAGTCTGTATCGGCTATAGAGTGACCGGATATAAGAATATATCGGCTACAGTGATATTGGTACGAAATATCAAAAGCAAAACGTATTTTATCCAGTACAAATATCACTATAACCAATATTATCGGATGAATTGATATATCGGATATTATGATGGCAACAAAGAATCAAAACATGCATAACACACTGCATTATTATCGGCTATAGTGATAACTTTAAAATACATGTTGCAATAATATCAAAGGCCCTATTTTTCTTTCTTTCTTTCTTCACGTTCTTCACGTTGCTTATTTTGATAGTGACACATGTACATGTACTTAAGAGAATTTTTTTATGGAAATGCGGGCACTGTCAACTATGCAGCATGCTCATTTGTCAAAACGCCATGCTGGAAGTATTTCCCTGCCTTTCATGTGTTGATCGAAAAAAATCGATCGTATCGCATATAGTGATGCATCGGTTATAGTGATAAAATCACGGAAATCAAAAGGGTACGCTATAGCCGATACAGACTGTACTTTGCTTGTGTAACAATTATTTTTTTCGTCAGGTGTCCACTCAGCTGCATGCAGCCTGGTTCTCCTGCTACTGCAGTACTGGTTGTCAATCATGATTGCGGTATCCCTCATACATAATTGATCACTTTCCACTATACTAGCCAACGGATGAATGCATTCACAGTGTGATTATCATGATGGATGGTCACTCACAGAAGACTTCGCGATCCGACATATCCCAGCACATCGGATCAGATCACAAGAAAACTGTTGCTCTAGCGACCAACTGCTGCTGTCACGACAAAATACGAAAGTGAAGTCGTGAAGACTGCGCGTGCTCTTGCAGCTAGCTAGCTGGGCTAGCCGGCTTTTCGCACAGGCCTGCGTGAGACTTGACATCGACAACCAAGGTTAGGAAGCAGCCAGCCCTCAGCTCACCATCTAGGACTAATGTGAGCTGAGGGCCCCGTCCCCGTGATTCCCACTGCACTACAGCGAGTTGTCTTGCACTCAGAATGCACCGCCATAGACTGAAAGTGTCACATCGGGTGTATGTGGAGCGACGATATGGCTTGCTATGCTGTCTTTAGACTTTAGTTTAGCTAGAGTAGGAGCACTGACATCGACAGCGTAGGTCTAGACGTCTACGACTAGTCGACTCGACTACGAGCAGTGGATCGAGTCGGTCACCAGGTCACGAGCCCTGTGCTGTGGTGACCGAGATCTATTCCTACTGCAAGTCCTACTCCTACTGTAGTACTGAGACCTGCATGCGCATGTGAAGAGGAATGCAGTGTGCAGTGGCATGACATCCACTGTACTGCCACTGCCAGCCTCAACTGTGTAGTAGATCTACATCATGTCAGCCTCAGCCTCAGATGATGGTCGGCTCGCGAACAAGTCAGATCAGGCGCTCGGAAAAATAAACCGGATCGGAGGAGTACCCATGATAATGCACATGTGAACGACAAGCAACCGTGTCCCCTTCCTTCAACAAGGCCGTTCAGTTCTTTCCGTCTCCCGGCAGTATATTAGGTATTCCTCCCCGCTAGCTAGAACGAGTGGATAGGTCCTTGGCGCGGAGTCCGGAACGGGAATTCGGATAATTTCATGCTACGCTAGCAGTTTCACTAGCAATTTCTGGGGCGTGTAGGCGTGAACTGGCGCTCCGGAGTGCGCACGTCTGAACTGGCATAGCGAGGCGTGCATTTTTGCTCGAATGGCGGGCAACGGCGGCGGAATCATCACGCAGGTGAACCGCGATGGTGAGCCCGGGTCGGTAAATTCGACTAACGGAGACGCAACGATCATCCCAGTGTCGGCAGCCCCGCAGACTAAGCGGAGAGGCTTCTTGTCGTCCCTGTTGTGTTGTGTTTCTAGCACACCAACACACACGCACTCGAGCCATCAACACCCACACCAACATCAGCAGCAGCACCAGTCGGGATATGCGACGGGACCTCCGGGCCCCCAGTCGAGCAATGTATCTCCTATTCACCCTGGCAGCACACCGGCCTTGCTGCCCGAGCCACGTGCACAGGATCGGAACAGGAAGTGCTTGGTTATTGATCTGGATGAAACGCTTGTGCATAGCTCCTTCACGCCAGTGGCCAATGCTGACTTCGTTGTACCAGTGGAGATTGATGGTGTTGTCCATCAGGTGTACGTTCTGAAGAGACCGTACGTGGATCAGTTCCTCAAACGAATGGGAGAGCTATTTGAGTGTGTCCTGTTCACAGCATCACTTGCCAAGTATGCTGATCCAGTGACGGACCTGCTGGACCGTACCGACTGCTTCAGTGCACGATTGTTCCGCGAGTCGTGCGTTTTCCACCGAGGGAACTACGTCAAAGATTTAAGCAAGCTGGGCCGCGACATCAACAACACCATAATCATAGACAACTCTCCGCCAAGCTATATATTCCATCCCGACAATGCCGTGCCAGTCGGCTCCTGGTTTGACGACCCCAAGGACACCGAGCTGCTCGACCTAATACCGTTCTTTGAGGGACTGAGCCAGGTCGAGAATGCTGTCGAGGTTCTGCAACGCCAATCGTGACTATCCAATCAATGCTATCGCATCTGAAAGCACGCTCCTAGGCCCAGTCGTTATACATGCAGTTGGGCCATGACTTCCCTAACCGTGGCATGTACTAGTGTGGTGCAACATGGTGCACTGCATTCTCAAACCAGTGTCCTTTGACTGGTCGGGACGCCGGGTTGAGCCAGCGGTAGCGACCAGTCGCTGTGTCTTCCAGCGAATCACTCCGTCTTGCCTCTCGTTGAGCAAGTAATTTATAGCCAAAGTGACCAAAGTTGACCCCTGTGCGAAGCTGAACCCGCCGCTTCAGCGTGCGGCTCTCTTTCACTTGACTATCTCTACAGCAACCTGTGGCTGGTCCACAAGGTGCCTCTTGTTCTCCCCCTTTCGTCAAATATGTACAAAGTTTATTGTATTCGAACCTTGTGAACATGGTGAATGGCATTGTGAGAGATACACCCTTAGTTAACACTACACTGTCAATCAATATGGAATGGAGTTGGTACTGTGGTGTATTGTCAAGCCTCTCCTTCTCTTTATGATGAGATTCAGACCTCAAAGTCCCTGAGTCCCATCCACAATGTTTTTTGTTTCTCTTGCCTTAGTTGATGTGTTTGAGCTCCTTTTCTGTAATTTTCTTCGCATATTTTGTAAACTTTGTAGCTAGAGAGACTTCTGTAACATTATCCAAGAATGTTTGGTGCGCTGGCACCTTTCTCAGTGGACTGAGCAAGTCATCACTGGACGGTACCAGAATTTTGCTGGCTTTTCCAAACCCCTGGTACTTAAATAAGCAGGCTCTCTCAATAAAGGTATGTTATTAAGCCACTAGTGCACACATCTTCCTTTGACCTGACCGTTTTAGCTCCTGTAATATTATATTTTGTGTTCTACGTTCGTTTCCTTTCCTTGTCAAACTCTGGTTGTATATTTTATTGCACTCATGAAGAAAGTCGAAATGTACCCGACCTTTCATTCCCCTAATGGCGTTGGGAGGCTCTGGGACATGCCTGGATTTTTATTTTGTTTTCTCAGTTTGAGCAGATCTGCGGTGTAGTGCTATACATGATGTCTCGGATGCACTTTGCTTCAACCGGGACTAGCCAAGGCAAAGTATGGAGGATGGGGGGGGGGGGGGGGCATAACTTAACTGTTCAGCCGTGTCAAAAAACGGCTGAGAGCCAGATGAATGTCGGGCGCTGCGCACTTTTCAGCCATTTTCATGGTGATGGTCACTTGGACAAGAGCATTTTTTGGACTGAATGTCTGAGTCGAGCTCGGTGTGACCACGGCAAGTGTAAGACAAGCGTGTAAGTAAGTTCTGCATTCAAACACATACTTGAAGTGGTTCTGAGGGGGGTGCAAGATTTTTTTTTCTTTACATACCAACACGCACAGGCATGGTGGTGGCCTGGCACATGCGAAACTTCCTAAGCTGGTTGTGTTTCTCAACGCAATTGTATAGCCGGTGGTAACGCGGACGTGCAAACTTTACTTTTTTTTACTTACATACCAACACGGGGGGGGGGGGGGGGGTAGGCCTTCCCCTAATCGGCCATTTATTTTGGCCTATTCGGCTTTTCGATCGGCTGAAAAAATCGCCAGAATCGGCTGAAAATTTCTGTAAAAGGTGGAAATTCGGCTCTAAAGTCGCAATTGTATTTGCATGCTATTGAGGCGCTATTAAAAACATCAATTTTCGGTGAATTCAATCAGTGCGAAAATTGCGTATTTGGCTAAAAGATCGGTGATTTCTTCAAAACCACTATTTTCGGCCAATGTTTCGGCCGGCCGATTTGGGAAATGCCCACGGGCCGTGACGCAGGCGCGCATGAGCGGTCATGCCCAGTTGCCCACGACCCTGCAAAACATGTACATTAGTCCTAGGGCCCATTTGAAATTTCTCACTTTTACTTGACACATGTTTGCTAACATGGATTTTATGATCATTCCTGGATGGTTTTTGCCTCCTGAACACGATGGAATAGATTTCGATTGCCGAATTGTGTCCGAACATGGTGAAAAACATCAAAATAGAAAAAGGCCGTTATTACCATGGCAACCTAACTAAAATTGCTCCTATATCCATTTTTACTGACATGTATATGGCCAAGTAGCACCTCATTTTGCTCAGAATAAGCAGTAGATACAGTACGGCGACAAGTACTGTACTTTTACAGTGTCAAACAAAATTTCCAAAGTGCAATGAAACTTGGCTATTGGACATGTACATGTACATGTACATGATTGTACATTACATGTCGCGTCGAATGTTAGCATTGAGGTACGTGTACATGGATGTGCAGCTAGCAGGTACATGAGACTATTTACAGGCATGCATTACGATAATTATCAGACTGCATACACGAGAGAAGCGTCAGACGGTTCGGCGTTACACTTCAACTGAGAGAATGGGTATTGTAACCCAAGTACTAACAGGAGGAGGAAAAGAATGTAGGAAACTGTCAGAGTCTAAGGAAAGAAGTGCTATAGGACAGTTGCAACCTGAACTAATTTACTCGAAGTACGTGTAGATAATACGATAGATCTCGCAGCAATGTAAGAAGGACAACACTGTTTGTATGCGATGGCAGTGCTGTAACGAAAAAATGATGAAAATGAAAATACCAAAATCCTTTGCATACTAGTAGATATTAAAACAGTCCAAACATTGGCTAGCTTGTCACTATACTTAAATGCTTTGAAAAGACTTCAAGGCTGCAGTTGGACAACGCTCACAGGTGAATAGCTGCAGTTTAAAAAGCTGATCGATCCCAACATTGTGATGCGAATACTTTCGCTTCCATGTGTTTCACTTTAACTGAAGTTGTTCTTCCGTCTGAGCTTTGGAAACTCTACGCCGTACAGCTGAGCCCATCTCTACTCCGCCACCTACACCATCACTGTTGGCTCTGCAGTCAGGGACAATTCTTTAGCCACTAGTACATGAGGTATTATATGAACATGTTTTCCCTCTTCACCGCCGCTCTTGAATCGCATCAACTACGTGCCGTGATCAGTTCAGGAGAGACAAGCCATGACATTGGACATCGGACTCTTTCTTGCAGTTAGTGTTTTATAAGTATAACTGTAGTTTCACACTGCCTAGGCCCAGCCATCAAATTCTGTGACAAGGAAATGATTCTTCTACTGCTGGTGTTGCATATTGGGATAGGTTACCTCCAGGTACTCGGATTTCGTTTTTGTAACACTACACACCACATAGCTACTCCCTCCCTCTCACTGCAGCATGGCACTCCTGAGGCAGTTGTCCTAGAGCTGTTGAGCTGGCAAATAGGCTTTGTGCAAATGGTAGCTGATCACCACGGTCGGTGTGTTCAAATCATGGTACTAACACTAGCCGCTCTTGTAGATTCGAATCAAATGCTCGTCCACTGTAACACCTCCTGTGCAGCAGTACTCACAAAGTAAATGCCTTCATTCCAGCCCGATGAAGTTACCCAGGTCTGAAACTTTCCACGATTGTAGATTAGTCCTATGAATAGTTACAACTGGCTTGGCAAGCTATGATGACTTTCCCCTGCTTTCCACACATAATTGTTGTGCTGCTCCTTGTTGGAATCATGCCTACTTTTCCGGGGAGCCAAGATGACATTGTAATGAAGGTTCTGCTGAATTTAGCATCGATCCATTCGTGGACGTTCCGACAGCAAAAGCGCCAGCGAGTCAATGCAAAACTTTGAAGAAAGTGTCCAAACGAGGTAACACATTTCTGGTATGTCACAACTACACTACTTGATGCTCAATCTTTCCAACTCTCGCACAAAATCAGTGTACGCGTCGGTTCGCATCCTGTGTATGTACGGTGTTACTATAGCTCCTGGCACATAAAAGAGTAAAAACTCCCAGGTCCAGTCAATATAGTACCGAGAAAGTCTTGAAAATGCTTGAATATAGCCGATGAGAACTTAGTTTTTTCGGCAATTTTGTATTCCTATCGAGGGTGATTTCGGGACCTTTGGACGCGATTGGACACGCCATACTGGGCCAAGATACTCTTGAAGACATTATCTATCAAATAACACCGAAAAATCCTTGTTAGCCAACATGTGTCAAGGCATGTATTGTAGAGGTCGATTTTTTGAATTGGCCCCAGTACTACATGTATATTCGGCGATTTCTTGGTAAAATCTCAGAATTCGGCCAAAAGATCGGCGATTTTCTGAAAAGGCTATTTTTGGCGAATTTTTCGGCCGGCCAATTTGGGAAAGGCCTAGGGGGGGGGGGGGGGGTAGCACTGTATTTAATTTCATTATATGTTTGCACACTGTGGTAAGGTAATACTGTACAGGGTTGTAAAAAAAGGACAGGAGTTTAACTATAATGTGTACAGTCCTTACACTACAGGTCTACAGGTCTACAGGTCTACAGGTCCATTCAGATCTACAGGTCTACAGGTCCATTCAGAAAATGAAGAAGCTCGATTCTCAATTCAATTTTTCGCGAAAAGATCGTGGAGGCGGCCCTGATATCTACAATTGTTTGACAAAACTATTTAATAGTAAAGAACATAGGTTTCTTCTTATCAAAATGCTGGATTGAAAGTCATAAAGGAAAGAATATCTCGAACCAGGTTTTACCGGACCTGGATAGTCATGTTGCCTGATGTGCAGAGTAGCTGTTCCAAAAATCTCTTCGGGTCGGTTGAAAATCAGGTTTGAGTCTAAATTTGGCCAAAATCAGGTTCATGAAGTCCTGATACTTGGTTTCTGATTGGACTAAGTACGTTAGATGGATGTTGGTTCGAGCATTCGACACATGATGTAGCAAAATGTCAGGTCACATTGAACGTCACCATGAGTACCAGCTATAGCATATTCCGACTGCGCATTCTCTTGGCAAGTAAACATGTCGACAACTACTATGACTACGCCTAACAGGTACAGGTACTAGTAATCTATCCCGGGTGTTGGTCCTTTTTCATATGTTATATACCTTTCGATGTATTCCCAACAGGGTCACAGGTGACCCAGTGTTCTTTTTCCAAACGGGTCCAAGTACCCCCCAACCGGGTCGCTGACCCGGCTGACCCGGCTCTGGAGCAGACACTGGGATGCTGTCTTCCACCGTGCATGTACCAATGATAATCCTTGTTCTGGAAAGCGCTCCAAGTGCCCGTCTTGCTTTCCTCGGCAATTATTTCCTGCTCGTACAGTGAAAAGGGCATAGAAGATCGTAATCCAAACTTACCCATGCCCCCCCCCCCCCCCCCCCCACTACCCCGTCCGGGGTACAAGGCTAAAACTATATTTTAGCCTGTTCACAAAGCTCTTTCTTTCACCAGTAACTGTTATCGGTTCTCTCGAAGTGTTACCTACAGAAGCCTTGCACTGCTGCTGCGGTGCATTCCCTTCCTAGTAGTAGTATTAGTATTATAATTATGGTCTAGACCAAGAAGGCATAATCATTTTCACAACTGGTCAGTCGGCTTACTCTGAGTCTGGGTCGTAGGTCGATTTCTTGCTTCTTGGTCCCGAGTGAACGACGCACAGCGCACAGCGCGTTGCCATAACCGTAGACACCGAAAAGCCACATGTAGATATACCAGAACTCAGTCAGAGTACCAATGGCAATGATACTGTATGCGTGTAGCTCTCAAAATACGTTCAGGCAGGTCACTGCACTCTGATTAGCTTCACAATCTAGGTTCACACCTAAGCAAAGTCCTAAAAATGAGATCACTGCCGGTTGTTGGCCTGCACAAGTCTTGTGCTAGCCAATTATAGTCTACATTCATGATCATTCGACGAGCCCGGGTACGGTAGGATTCACACTGTCGCATGCAGGTGTCACCGTGTGTTCAGATTTTGCATCGTTAATTTGGTAGCGACTATTTTTCGCCTCTCCTGCTAGCTCCGCGCCGGCAGCATTTCGAGCATGCTAGCAGTGGACGTTTCGCATTCATGCAGACCTCACGGGCAAATAATTCTATAGGCCAATACTAGAGGCGAATTGGTCGTCACGTTCGACAGCGGTCAGGGCCAACACTACTCCCTATTTCAGAGAGTATCCCGCGAGCTTGAGGAAGGATGTTGTTCGAGAAACGGTGTCGAAGAGCTTTGTGGTTGTTCGCTCTTGTCAGTGCTGTGGCGGCGGCGAGTGGAAATATAAAAGCTGGTATGTGCTGGAATTATTCCTTCGTACAAATTCATCCGGACAAACACTCATGCATTTCATCTTGGCCGAGAGTCACTACTGTAGAGCGGGGGGCGGGACGGGGTACGGGTGAGGGGTGCGCCGGTGAGGGGAGAGTGTGAAGAGTGAAGCGTAAAGCGACTTGGCCTGCTAATAATAGAATGCTTGACAAAGTCTGTATTTTCTGGAGTACAGGACACGACTTGGCCTGCTAATAATAGAATGCTTGACAAAGTCTGTATTTTCTGGAGTACAGGACACACTTTTGCTTCTAACACCATTCCAAAGTGCTTCCTGCTAGTCATATTCTAGAGAATAGAACAATATCATTAGAGGGGAAGTACACCCTTAAATCAAATTTTCACCAGTTGTAGTCTTCGGGGTGCTGAGTCGAATGGTCTTGGTCCGAGGAAGCTGAGACGCTCCCTCCTTTATTCCTAATCGAACTCGCGCACTTCCACCGAAACTGGGTGACTGCGCCCTACTAGATAGGGATTTGTATGGAAAAAGTCACTAAAAACGCCATTTCGTTCCTGAAAAGCGCGGATGACCGCGATTGGTCCATATGTTGTAGTCTTTTGGTCGCTGAGTCGACTGGTTTGGGTCCGAAAAGGCTTCGATGCAGCATTCGGCCCTTATTCCCAATCGAACACGGTTGAGTAAGCGGTCACGTGCTCATTTACATGTACAGCCTGTTTGGGTCCGTTTATGTCACTCGAGTTGAACCTTTGAACCAGGGAGTCGTAAAAGCCTCTTACGACTCCCTGCTTTGAACCTTTGAGTTGAATCTTGATGTGAAAATTGTAATCTGCAGGCACGGTGACCAGGCGACTGGTGTATGCATGAGCACGTGACTGCTTACTCAACCATGTTCGATTGGGAATAAGGGCCGAACGCTGCATCGCAGCCTTTTCGGACCAAAACCAGTCGACTCAGCGTCCAAAATACTACAGCATATGGGCCAATCGCGGTCATCCGTGCTTTTATAAGAACGAAATGGCGCTTTTAGTGACATTTTGCATACAAATCCCCATCTCGTAGGGCGCAGTCACCCAGTTTCGGTGGAAGTGCGCGAGTTCGATTGGGAATAAAGGAGGAAGGGAGCGTCTCAGCCAGTTCCTCGGACCAAGACCATTCGAGTCAGCACCCCGAAGACTACAACTGGTGAAAATTTTATTTTAGGGTATACTTCCCCTTTAACGTTAGACAGTTGGTTCACAAATTGGGGGATCACATTGGTTACCACCATCGTTGTAGCTCACCGTGGCTTTCCCTGCTGACTGGCTAGACACTAGACTAACTCACACAAGAAGTCCATCGAACCTCCGACTCCATGAACTAAACCTGCAAGAAGGCACCACTCTGTAGTGTTCCGGGGCCTTTTTGAACCCGCCCCTCATCCGTTGAGCTTCAGTAGGCTGATGAGGCGTGCGCTTGGACAGCGGTTTGATGAGCTTCTTGTGTGCTCTGTCTGGATGGTTTTCACGAGTCAATCAAGTTGCAGGTCAAGGGACAGCAAAACTGCAATCTCCTATGTGGGGACTGAGCAACCAACTTTCCGCTTACTATATTAGTGCCGAAGTCATCACCACTATTGTATAGAATAGGGCTGAAACGATCACTTGGTAAATCGATCGTTAATTCCTAGCAATCAACATAAGCTCAATGCAGCATCGCTTCATCAGGTTCAGGACGCATGACTTCACCATCCTGGGCAAACTCCACTGCTCTGCTTTGAGTGTCTTATTTGCACGTTCTCATCCCTAGCCGCGCATGATGGCATCAGTGAGCCAAAGGGCTGCGGAAGACTGATGTTGGAAGACATTTTGACGGCCGACCAAGAAATCGTCAAGTTGCGCATTCTTGGTTATGTGCTCTTGATAGTGTGTATAATGTAATATCATGAGTATGAGGAGTTAGTTGCTCTTGTACTCTTTCTTCTTCTTTCCCAATTTGCAGTTCAGGCTGACGGCGGAAGATGGGCATATGCCGACGATTCGGATCCTAACACAGGCATTGCATTGACTGTGTATCCAGGTCGCACATGGAAACACAGCGGGGATGCAGAGCACGGTGTTCCCACACCTGTGAGCACTGGAGATGTGATCATGTCACGTATATCGGAGGTGAGATCTAAGCAGTCTAGTACAGACACTCCTGCTCGCACTGCTGGTGATCATGACAATGAAGTAGTACCAGGCACTCCAGTTCAACCGGACGGTCCTAGGCAACGCATGAGGTCAGCAGCTAGGCATATTCGCTCGTCAGATTCGAATGCACTGGATGAAGTAGGCTCCGGAGCCGACTTAAGAGTCTCAAAGGAGGGCAATGAGACAGAGCCCGATGGTTCTTCTGCCAACCAGTCATCTGTCAGTGGTGTGGTGTCTCATATAATATCAGCCACTACCGATATTATCACATCGAACACAACCGAGCCCGGTGGCTCTTCCATCATCCAGGCATCTGTCAGCGGTGTGATCACATCGGCGTCTGCAACTTCTCAGAATGTATCGGCCGAGAAGAGCTCAGGCGATGGGTCCAATGTGGGAGCAATAGTTGGCCCCACTGTTGCAGCTGTGTTGCTCATCAGCATCATAGCTGTGCTTGTATATGTGGTGTACATCCGCCACACCAGAATTATGAGTGGTAGTTACAAGTGTGAGCCGCTCTACGATATGCCGGGCTCCGTGGAGCTAAGGTCTTCAGAGGTATGTGGCATGCTGAAGTACTCTGATGTTTTCTATTTCATTAAATTATATCCACACTTGAACGCAGTAATGAGGTGCCAACCAAGGCTTTCTTAGATCGACATAGTCTTTGCTTTCTTTTGGGTCCAGTGGCATATACATAATGGTTATGAGATTCTGGGAAGGGTTGGTGTGGCAAGAAATGAGGCTGAACATGTTTGTCTTTCTAATAGTAATAAGAGAATACTACTACAGTTACGATGTCAGATTTCACTCGTTCCACCGCTGTAGTTTGCAGTTATGCCTCTGGTTGGATAACGTTAACGTGCAATCTGAACAAGCATAAGTCACAAGAGCAATGTCTGCAATGCGATTTTGTGCACCTGTTCTGTGCTATTGTTTCCCTTCAGGAGGTCGTACTGTAAGCCCGAAGTGTTGACTCCCTGCTTGATGCTGAACTACAGTGTTTGCACAGTACTGGTATGTGCACGTGAGTGGCGTTCTGCACACTGCGGCGGCATGCTGGAGATGCCATGCCGTGTTTTCTTGCCTTACTTGCATATCTGAGAGAACACTCCTGTGCTACTATTGTGATTCTACTAGCTTTCTGCTCTGCAGAGGTGGAATGGATGTGCGAGCATTTCTTCACTATACATAATCACACCTCAGCATTTACGTTCCACTTACATGTGAAGTATGCCGCTCACACATCCACATAAAGATGAGTGCAGAATTTCCTCTTCCTTCTTGCCACAGGATTAGAGATTTTGGGCGTGCTCATGTTGTTCCATTTCAACGTTACTTTACCGACTTTATATTGTCGCTTTGCATTCTTCAAGTCGTAATTGTCTCGGGCAGTCAGTGAATGCTGTACATAACATAATAATATTAGACCCATTCTTCATTTGTGGCTCTGCCGGGGTAGTCGTACGGGGTGTGTGTGTGTCATGTGCAGGTTGTCAGTGTACGCAAGAGACTCGGTACAGGAAGTCATGCCCTTGCCTAACTAACTGTTACTTGGTCGACCAAGGGCATGCCCATTCCTTTGAGTCAACAACTGGGTCGAATGGAAGGATTGGTTAGCTTTACTGGTTTTGGTGAAAAATGGTGGACTTGATGTAGCCGGGCGACTGCCTCCATAAGTCAAGTTTCAGTAGGTTTGAGTAGCCCCGAGATCCCTCAACTTTGATTCACCGGGATTGGAAAGCCAGTAGAGCTACCAGCTTCACTATGAACATGATAAAAACGGCCCAAGCAGTTATCTCCAGCCAAGAACATCATTAATTTCGTACTCTCCACCCTCCGAAATGAACAGAGCTTGCTACGAGTTTGCTGGACTCTTAGTAATTTTGTGTAAAGTATTGCACGATTGCACGCGCATGCATCCACACAGCCACCGGTTGTAAGTTAACAATCATCTGGATACAACCGCAAGGATTGTAGAAAAAACGACCGTGCGCTGGCCGCGGAGTGGATTCTGACGGTGAAATAGACTCAGTAGAAGACAATGAATACAATGGGAAAAAGGCAAAATGATAACGTAGATATGTGGTGTTTATGATATTGATTGGTACATAGTAGTATATTATTCTGGCATGAAATAAAAAAAAAAACACTGAAAAGGGTGAAAGCAGAGCTAGTCATCAAGTACACCCAGCGGTGACAATACATCTAATGCCTTTCAGTGGAAAGCAAACAGACATAAATTATAGTAATCGGTCGAAAAAAAAAAAACTAAGAAAGCTGTACAAAAAACCAAACAGAAATGAAATACTGTCAATGAAGGCGAGATGGCTACCACATCACAATGGGCAATGGCAGAAGGCAAGTAAAGCTCAGCAGCACTGGAAGAGGCTTAGTCAAATGGGGGGACAGCAGGGGTCAGCAACAGCAGCAGCAGCAGCAGAAGATAGCGTATAATAAAATAGAAATATCCATGGTGAAGCAATGATTCAGCATGTTAGCAGACACCCACAAACGTAAATCTCAGGCCAGCAAAAGAAAAGAAAAAGGAGAAGCCTAGGTTTCTGTTCATAACACAGAGGTGGCACGGGGCAGGGGTAATGACTACTTGAAAAAGCTAATGGTCCACAATACGTAGATTGCCCGACACTATCTTGTTCTCCAGAATAGAACCAGCGGCAATGTCAATTCTCTCGCCGTGGTGCGCAATGATAATGACCGTGCCCTTCAACAACAATCAACACAGCAGCAAGAAAAGAGACTCTTTGCTTGACAGATCAAGTCAACTGTGGCCGATGCAGCATTGGCTGGTGATTGACTACAATATACAGGTGGAATCCAGATAATTCGAACCCTAATTCGCCAAGGAAACGTTTCTAATTACGGAGGTTCAGTATCACGAATTTCGCGTTTGAGTTTCAGTCGGAAAAGCAGTCGAAACACTCAGGATAGTCATAAATTTACTATGTTGGACAACCTGTTAAGTGTTAAAGTCATGCAAGTATGAGCCAACGGGCCAACACAGCCTGCTCACGAAAACTGAATTAACCAGGACAATGTACAGTGAACTTCAAAACACGCCTTCTTAACTTAGAAGTGTGCCTTAGATCTTTGCAGGGTGGTGGCGTTCCTGCATGCTGAAAACTCAGTCTAACTGAGTCTCAAGCGAGCCGTGAATTTTTATTTAACCCCTGTAGTTTTATTTTGACAATCACACTAATACTACCGGGTGCAGTCATGGTCGATTCCTGCAGTCCCAGTAACGTTAAATGTCAAGCTTAGCACAAAGTCCAGTCAAAATCAGTCTTGCGAATACCTGTATGTACGCATGAACAGCCCTGTACCCTAGTAGATAACCCACCTTCAACGTGACACCTTTGCCAAACGACACATCCCCGGACACAGTGAGATGGTCCAACTCGAGCAGATCTGGAATAGTTGCGAATCGTTGCAGGAAATCCTTGACCTGTTATCAAAACAACACACACACACACACACATGCGCGCGCACACACACACACACACACACACACACAAGCACGCGTGCGTGCGCACGCACACACACACACATGCACGGCACACACACACACGCACGCGCACACACACATAGTGAATATCCTTGCACTCACCAATGTCGCTATCTTCTGTTCCAATATCGTATGCAGTGGGGATTGGTTATAACAACACTCTTGCGGGAGAAGAAAAAGCCACAAAGGTTCGATCTGTAACGACTCTAACGAGACGTTGTGATGCTGACACATTGCACCACAGGACACTGTTATGACGCTATGCAAGTACCTTCAAAGTAAACTCAGGATAGCTTGTTGACTACGTTTCGATACAGTTTGCGAATAGAAATGCAGACGAGGTTGAATGAAAACTTAGTGCAGCTCAGCCACCATAATCGTCAGAAGTATTGCTATATCACACCACCAACCCAGCAAACCCAACGTTATCCATTACACAGCATAAAGGTCATCATGCGCAAGCAAGGAAATGAAGTGTGTGACACTGCCCTACATACTGTGAAACGGGAAACTTTCGCGGCGCCCATATTTTGCTTTTCAAAAACTGCGCTCATTCACGATAAGAAACTTTTGCGATTTCATCTCTTCAGTTGGATTGTGTGTTGTCCCCAGTCAATGTACATAGCAGGTTGCGGTGTTATATTTTCGCGAATGTGTGATGGTCGTGGAAATCCCTCAGTAGCGAACGTTTCCCACTTTACAGTATGTGTGAGCACATACATAGATCATGCAAGTGCAACAACATACCTTCTTGAATTTATCCTGACCCAGCTTGATGAGTGGCACACCAGGGAACTGGCGCTTTTCACTCAGTGACAACGTTCCTTGATGTATGGTGTAGAGGTTGCTCATTACCAGCAGCAGATCACTAGTCAGCTTCACTGGCAGAAAGCGGCGGCGTGGCACATTGATACCTGAACACAACAAGGACATGTGCGAACATTTCTTTGAAATGCACTTAGATGCCAGGATCATATGCACTTGCAAGTACATACCAATGTGTGCAGAAAGCACAGAGGGAAAACAGAGATGATACAGGCTGTACTGCACAACTGTGGCTACATGTACATGCACTTACCCGTGGCACCATCGAAATGCTTGATGGCCGCACCAGCAGCTGTCTCGAGCTGAATAACGCGCGTGCCGCTGTCAGTTGTCTGGACAAGGATGGGGAAAGAGATTTGAAATACACCCGATATAGCACATGAATCATAGCAACACGAGTGAATGGTGACATAGGAAAGACATTGTACAGAAGGAGAAAATAAAACAGATGCACAGCAGTGGTCTGCATAACAGCAGTGAATCCGGGATGGTCGGCGAAAGCAACGAGGTACTGGTCAAAAGTCGTGCAACACAGCTGGTAGAGAATACATAGCATGGCTGTATACGATGGCTGTCTTGACAAGAAGAACACCTGAGATACTAAAACACCTTCATACCTTCTCATTGCGGATGATTTCCATATTCCATGCTTTCGCCTCTGTGAGTCTCTTGATGGCTGCTAGATTGATCCACATGTTATTCGTATTGAAAATCCTGCAACACAAAGAGAAACAGAGAAAAGGAAAATTTCCATGTGAATGTGAATCCAGTATGCTAACGGGTCGCCAAGGATAAAATTCATGAAATAACCAGCAGCATTCAAACTTCAAAGCCAATGTACAATACAACAGTGCAACTATGCATGGAAGCGGAGCGATATTGGCTATTACAAATCTCCTGCACTGGTGTGGTTGTTTCACAAGGCACCAAGCTCAAGCAGACCAGAGCTATACCAGTGTGATAATACCATGCACACGTTATAGATCATTTCAACAATGGCCGGCAATACAAGCAATGCTATGCAACAGGGGAAAGCCAGTACATGTTAAATACAAATAATTTGAAATAGTCATACAGTTGAAAGCAAGAGATGTCGACTGTTTACAAATAACAATCCAAACTTACTTGAACTTGGAAATAGATGTAAACTCATCAATCTGAGAAAGACAGTGCAAGAAATACAAGAAGAAACAGCTGTACACCCTGACCCTTGAAGATGGCAAACCCGCAGTTTCCTGCAACGGCAAGCCCTGCAAGATATCACCACTTTAAGCGCAATTCTGAAAGGCCAACTAAGCGCACAAAAAAAAAATTAGGATCTAGACTCCAACACTGCGGCAACAGTTGACCATACTCTAAGGAGAAGAAAGCGTAACAGCATGCGAATTGTATGCCTCCCTCCATGTTCACTGTGCCATGTACTGAGCGTATAGAGTTTGTTCTAATTCAAAGAAATTAGTTTGAATGAAGGAGAAGGCAATTTTAGTCTTGATCAGACGACAAACAAAAGGAAAGGACACTGTAAAAGGAAGAAGCATACCCCATATGTAATTATGTCTGCGTCCATAAGAAATAAACCGTAACATACTGTACAAGCAGAAATATTCATCGGGAATGAAGTTCGTCATTTATATCCTAAGAGTGTTCAGACTGGAGTTGGATGAAACTATTCACTGGATACATTTTCCGTTTTTACAGTAATGGTCGCACAAATTTACTGGATGCACGTGGGCGATGAGTATCTTGAACGAGTGTAAAAAACTACACAATGCAATACCTACTACATACATGATCTTTTGGCACTTGCGCAATCTCAAGCAGACGTAGCTTGCCTTGGTAGTCGATCAGCGTGCCACCCTAAATGCAAGCATGTGACAGAACAGAAGAATCAATAAGGCAAGACTACTTGTACTGACACAACATAGTAGTTAACTGCCAAATTTCTCTCTCTCTCTCTCTCTCTTACTCACACACACGCACACACATTGTGATATATTTAGAGGATGAGAAGCGTAGCGACAGACATCGTCAATGGAGATAACTGTCGGCGGTGCCAGTTCACACAGAAAACTCGGCCTTGATTGAAGAAATGGAAGTGATCAACAAAATCAAGCAGCAATTGTGCATTACAGCTGCGCTAGAAACGAACACACACCTTGATGTCGGCACGCGTCTTGTCCGTTACTTCCGTTACAAACTCGCAACGTTTTTCTGCTGGCTGGCTGAGCAAAAAGCTGAGGATGTCTGAAGGACGAGTCAAGGTAAAAGCACTCTCAAGCCTGCAGCAGGCATTGGGGACAATGTTTATGGTGTCCTAATCCAGAAGGAAAATAGTTGCATTGATTATGCATATGGGGATTACAGTGTACGTTGGCTATAGAGTTGGTGGCCATGCATACGGTTTATCAAAGCAAAGAGTATAATAGCTCTATTTTCACCAAAATCAAACGCCAACGATATTAGCTAGATGCACTGTACAGTTACCCCCCACAGTTACCCCCCCCCCCCCCCCCCACACACACACACACGCACATCTTCCAATGAGGAAGTTCCAAGATAAATGGCAGAAAGTGCATCTGATATGGACGAGAAGGATACTGATATCAACATTGGCGCCCAAGTTGTCAATGTTGGAAACGAACACAAACTCCTTTCCCTGTTCAATGAACTTTGTTAGGTAGCTGGAGTTGTAGAAGGCCTCATAGAAATCACCGTGACCGGGCGGGTACCATGCTTCCTTGCTATCTAGATTCGTGTCCATGGGCATCAACGATTCGCGATTGATACGGGGATAGCAGCTCTGCTGGAATGTGAAGATCGGCACGCCCGTCCCATGGTACTTCCACAGAATCTTCTGAGTGTCCACATGCGTGTTGAATGAGTTCATGAGCACGAGAGGTACGCTGACGTTATACTTCTTATTCAGTGCCTAGCACAAACCAACAAAAAAAAAAACAAGAGATGAGAATTACAAAGAAGGTGACTGCTCCTAACGTTGGAGATACCGTGAGTTCCACTTGGAAAACCTGCAAGAACGCACCTCTTCCTGCTCAATGCACAGCATTTGGGGGAATCACCCCTCATCAGTTGTTGAGCTTGAGCAGGGTAATGATTTTTTGCTCTAGGAGCACTGTATTATGTAGTGCTCTCAGCGTCTGTATTCACAACTCCATGCGCGAACCTGACTCTCGCTGCTGGCTGGTGCTCACAAGATGTTTGTCGCGCTGGAAATGAAGCGTCGCTGTAAGTTGGTATCCCTAGTGATGTTTGGCTCAGACAGCACTACACAATACAGTGCTCTCGGAGGAAAAGTTTCATTAGCCTACTCAACCTCAACTGATGAAGGGTGAATTCCCGAAACACGGCTATCGAGCAACGAGTGGTGCTTTCTTGCAGGATTGCCGAGTGGGGGGTCTCGTATCCATCTCCTGTGCTCCAGAAGGCAGGCAAGTGTGAGTCAGTCAGCAGGAAGCACGAGCTCCACCATTAGGAGCAGCCACCTTCATCTACAGTTACCACCACAGTCGCAACATCAGCAGTAAGCAGTACAACGCACGACAATCAATATCGGGCTGCGGTCACCATTGCTTTCCTACTAGTATACACATGCTCTATCCTTTTCCCTAGTTTTACACAACTAAAAGAAGCAAAACCCATCTGAAAGAACAGAGAAAGGGGCATCAAAACGAACAGAAATGCGTGAGTAGCAGGGTAGCAATGAGTAGTACCTCAATCTGCTGGACGGTAAGATCAAGGAAAGTGTGCTCTCCGCGGACAGCTATGAGACTCTTCGGACCTTTGCAGCCCATGCTGGTGCCCAGACCTCCGTTCAGCTTGAGAACGACTAGTTTCTCCAGGTATTTGCGTATCACGTCAATGTTCTCTGGATCAATGTCAGGCAGGTCGCTGTAGGATTGCATCTGTAATAAACACATGGGAAGCATAAGAATAGGCACATGACCAGTAGTGAATGTAAGACAATCAACACAGAGATGCACAGTCATTCGCATTTTACTCAACTAACCAGGTTACAATACCGATAAAGGCACGCAAAGAAGTTTGTGCATGGCATGTATATACGTAACTCAGCCATACAACACCAGTTCTACAGGCAGTATGTGGTCAAAGGTGCTACACAACTCAGCTCCTTCAAGGTCAACAGGTCTAGATGGAGTTAGAACACCCTTACGCTAACAGCCACAGCAGGACACATTGTATCCACACGATAGAAACTGACTGGCTTATTAACCACCCATTTCGGCAACTACACGTATGTGCTGCATGGACTAGCATTGGATGGTACAGCAGTGGCCCAAAGTATGCATAGCGTATGGTGTAAACATCATACATCAGCACAGGATATGTGAGGGTTCAAAATCATGGGCAGCCTCCCTGTAGTCACCTATTACTATTCTTTAAAGCCTGTCCCCTGCACACCTGTGGCACTTACATGTACTCATCAGCAATACTAACAGCAAGTCAGGGAATATCAGACTCAGGACATGGCGCATAAAGAACAAAACCCGCACCGTACACAAATGAACGCACGTGCGCGTACCTTTTCACCAGCTGGCTTCACGTCCTCCCAGTGTACCGATGGGCCGCTCTCGGACAAGAAGCGCTTGAATAACCGCTGGAAACCTTCAAGCTGCGTTTCCATCTCCTATCGAGCAGACACGTGACAGGAAGCGCACACAACACAGTGTGCATGCATTTCACACCAACGATTTTCTTAGTACAATCATGTAATTGACCCAAATAATAATTACAAGTAGACTTCACAATTTCAAAAATTAACAAACATAATTTTGATGAAACTACAGGCTGCTCGATCATAGGAGCAAGGTTCGATAGTGGTAGTGATAGGAAGCGTTCAGGTCAGACAATGGAGGTTATCTGAATGCCTATGCAGAGACGTCTCCTTCAGCACTGATTATGACCTCACCTTCTTTTGCTCAGCGGGACACTTTTGCTTTATCTCAGCAATTTCCCTCTCCATATCCTTTATCGCGTCCTCCTTCGCGTCTGCTCTTCCATTGAGATTCGCCATTTTCAGCAGGACGTCTCCAGCAAAAAGCGACGTGCAGACAGTGAGCAGAAATATCCAAACGAGTATCCGACTCCGGAAGGAATCTCGCACTAAAGATTGAAAACTCTCCACGGTTGAAAACGTTCTCAAGTGATTGAATTGGTGCTTCGACGGACTTTATGCTACTCCACGACGAAGAACTTGATACATGTACGGTACTGCATAACAGAAACTTGACGTTTCCTATGTTCTTTGTAGTGATCCTGACAGATCAAGTCCTCCAAAATTGGAATGCAACTTCCTGGGTTTTACTCAATGACAATAAACGCAAAGTCAAAGAGAAAAATGCAATTGTCACGATGAGGTTGTGCTGATGTGGCCTGAATGACAAGACTCAAGAGGTCTTGCGCACATGGCACGTGCAAGGATCGAGAGCTAGCGTATCTAGCTCGCCATCCAACTACAGCTGTGTGTAGCTGAACATACTCGTACTGCGCACTGGCGTTTACGAGTCTTTCCCAAGACATACACTTGCCGTCTAGCGCGCGGTCTATCTATTGATAATCATCTGACACATACCAAACACTGCAAAAAAGGACCAAACTCCAAACTGGGACCAAAGGCAAAGGTCACTTTCTCACACTTCGTCTTGGGCTGGCCTACTGCCAGTACTGGTAGCTACATCATGCATGCATGTAGCTACAAGTAGCTGGGCAGGTGCATGCAGTCGACTGACGCATGTAAAATTTTTACGACTCCCTGGACTAGACTGTAGTTTCGTTCACGCCCGCGCTCGCGCCGCTGCGCCAGGCGTCTGGCGCATGGCGTGCATATGCGCGTGCGGCTATTATATGCGAAGGACTAAAGGGACCGTCACTTAATTTTTGCCGACTACCCGCCAAAAAAATCTTTTCGTTTCACGTGTCACTGACACGTCCGCGGACCGCGAGCGCGTACGACTCGTACTCGCGCTACCTTTCACGTCAAGCAATCTGTTCACGCCACATGGCTGGATAGCGCGTACATGGAAACATGATTGAAGACTTGCAAAATCAATTTTTTTCCAAGTCCAGGCGCTAGGCGCCTAGGCCTAGGCAGTACTCATGGTACTAATGCCTAATCAATGCCCAGGCAGCTGACTTTATTTTCGGAGAAACACTACTCATTGTAGTAAAAAGTAACAATGAATAGCGACATCATCTAGGAAGGATCGCTACCCTAACGCGAAGGAAAGGCCTTGCGCGGCTGCTCTACGAAGTGTTGAAGAAAGACTCATCAAAGTTAGTTGGTGGACGAACAACTCGCTGGCGCCGGAAAACTTGGCCCCCAACGATGGTGTTTGGTGAATCATCAAGCATAATGTCTTGTAGCAGTGTTCACCGAGGAAGGAGAACGCTCTAGACTAGTCGCTGCTGTTGTCCGTTTCATCCACGTTGGGCGTTAGCTGCACCGCGCCTATTGTGTTTTAGTATTCCATGGACACACATTAGCATTCAGAGCGATTGTGGAGCCACAATTTACTTCACACAGCGTTGTATTGTCCACGAGCGCAAACTTAATTATCAGCAGTAACTGTTACCATGGTTACTCTTCATCCTACATGTAGACTTGGAGTATACACGGCCTTGTCACGACAGCGACAGCTCTACAGATCATGCAGAGTGTTCAAGTGAGAAACATTAATTTCTATTGTTGGTGGACGAATAAATGGCTGGTTCCGAAAAAACGCGGCCTGCACCGATGGTGTTTGGTGGATCATCAAACAGGGTGACCAGCAGTGTTCACCGAGGAAGGAGAATGCACTCGCCACCACTCCGATTCATCCAAGTGGGCGTTAGCTGCGCCGCGCCTATTGTGTTTTAGTATTCCATGGACGCACACTAGCGTTCTCAGCGATTGTGGAGCCACAACATATCTTCATGCGGCGTTGCACTGTCCAAGAGCAGAAACGTCAGCAGTGACCCATCATCATACATGTAGATTTGGAGTATACACACCATGCGCCAATGGGCCTCGGCACAACAGCGGCAGCTCTACGGAGTGTTCAAGTGAGAAACATTTGTTTCGACTTTTGGTGGACGAACAAATCGTCGGTGCCGAAAAACGTGGCCTGCGCCGATGGTGCTTGAAACATCAAGCATGGTATGTGGTGACTGTCAGTGTTGATCGAGGAAGGAGAACACTCAGGCCGTCGACCGTTCATCCATTTCGTTAGCTGCACCAAGCCTATTGTGTCCTTGTATTCCATGGGCACACAATCATGAAGCATGGCGTCTGAGCTGTGTTCACAGAGCGGGGAGATGCTCTTGCTGCTATCTTATCTGTCCTGTGTATTCCCAAGTGCCGAAGGCTCACAACGATGGTGTTGGACAAGTCAGATAAAATAGAGTCAACGTAAGTACGCATGTGTACTCTTACTGACTGAAACATAAGTGGGGCGTAAGAGCTAATTCAAATGGTGTCGCGACATTCTCATGTACGAGGTTAGTGTGTAGTACTTGTTACGTACTGAATTCTGCGACTTTGTTTTGTCTCCATATACTGCATGCATTCACGTTTCACAGTTATCAGTTTGACCCTGAGTTCATGTCTGTTATCCCGTGTCTCCTCTACTTCTTTTTGTTTCCACACGGTTCATGGTGCAGCGCTGCACGTGTTCCGTCAGTTTGAACTTCAGCATAAATCGCAACTACTTGTACTTTCAGACATGTCACGTGATTGTTGCCAGGGTTTGAGCCAATCAGAGCGTTTACAGGCAGGGCCTGAACCCCTGATCATGCCTTGCCTGCCAGCTCTACTACGATATTATATGTCACGTACCCGCGCGCGCGCACGGTTCTCCTGCGCTTGGGCTTGCTTTCCCTTGGTAGTTGGAAGTCAGTGGCTGTTTTAGTACTCTTAGATTATGTACAGAAAGTGGTGGACATCACGCAACTGCAGTGTAAATTAAAGGGTGGTTGTCAACTGACAACCGCATAATTTTTCGACATAATAAATAAAAGAATTTTTATCTAAAGAGTGAAAAGCAACTAAATAGAGCGATTGTCGGTTGACAACCCCCCTTTTATTTAGATTATGTATCTGAAGTAAACACAACGTAGAAATATCACAATTGTCTCTTGTGTATTATATCCGTCTGATGTCACCAGATCATCACACGGTGCTGTGACCAAGATACGGATCATGCCGAACGCTGATTCAACTGGACGAATCGCGAGGCTTTTCAGATGCAGGGACACAATGGAAACTGAATGACTTCAGAACAGCACTGAAGCGTTATGTTATCATGCAAGACGCCTTTCTGCGCCGCACAAACACAGGCGGTACTACAGCAGAAGATGTCACTCACTATTCTGCAGGTGCACTGGTGACAGGCGCGTGCAAGTTCACCAGAAGGAAGCGGTCTGATGTTAACTGGAATGCCAGCAGTATGACAGGGTGTGCATTCTGCGGCGGATCTCACCTGGACAAGAGCTGCGCGAAATACACAACAGTAGCACAGCGGAAAGAATAACTGATTGAACAGAAGCGTTGCTTTGTGTGTTTGCGCACAGGGCACCGGTCAACTCAGTGCAAGGCCACCCGCAAGTGTAATGTGTGTTCTCGCATGGGTCACCAATCAGAGTCAACATCATGTCGCGATCTGCCCTGAATCTCAACAGAAATCTGACAGCAGTACCAACATAGTAGCTGACCAGCCTGTAGCTGACGAGGTACCAGCATCTAGCGCAACAGCAGCTAGTGCAGCATCAACCAGTATCGCCATTGACCGTAAGATAGTCAGTCGTCTTGATCGGTGCAGATTTCCTCTGGGAGTCTTGACGGGGAGCACGAGAGGACTTCCGCCAGGACTACAGTTTCTGCCTACCACAGTCAGTTTTGTGGTGACTGGCCGACCACGTCACTCCAAGCACTCAGCTACGCCGATGAGCAGCCATGCCAGCTATCGTTTCTCTAACTGATGCAACTTCCGACTCCTGCACCATCCCAGATCTGTGGGACCTAGACTGTGTTGACATCTAGGATTCAGGCAATCTTACTAACAACGACCTAGCCATTAGGCAATTCATCATTGTTCTACGATTTTGCCTGCCACCAATCGTCATGACCTGCGATACTGAGAAGGCCATTTTACAAATCAGTGCCAACCCAGCATACAGAGATGCGACACGATTTCTGTGGTTCGCCAACTCCGACAGTCCATCAGTCACCCCATCCAGCCTGTTCACGCTCATAAGCAGTCCATTTCTGCTTGGCGCGTCTATACAGCATCATTTGGCACAGCAAGATGACAAAACAGCTAGCAGTGGCTATTGGTGAGAACATAGGGTCTTCTGGCATATGGTATAATTATATGAGCAGCATGAGAGTGAAGTAAAAGACTATTAGCTCAAACATTCAGTCTTTTAAGAGTAGGTGTTTCATCACGGAATAGGTTCTGCAGTTCACATACACACTGCAACAATGGACCAGCAGTGTCCAGCATACAATAGAGTCATGTGAATATGTACCGTATGCATACTCACAGCTGCAAGGCCAGCGCCCCGTGGCTGCTTGACTTCTCAATCGATATAAATTTTCACAACAGTAAGACTCTGTGATCAATCAGAGCTGTGCTTCGAAGTAGTCACAAATGCCCCATGATCAGTCACAAAACAAAACTTTGCAACCAGTCACAGCTTCCACGGTGCCCCAAGACCAGTCACCAGAAATGACCCTGGTAAATCTGCAGGGAGTTCCATAATCTGTTCATTGCACAGTTCACTATGCTATGATTCAAGAGGGGGGGGGGGGGGGGGGGGGGGTAGCGTTCCTGCGGATGCGGAAAACTTGGCTGGAACCCGAGTGTCACGTGAACCCTGATTTTTAAGACTTTTATTATTTGTTTTACGATGAGCCTATTATACGCGATACAGGCTCAGAACACACTTTTCATCTAGTTAGCATATCAGGGATATAGGGCGGAGCAGCCCATATCCCCAATTATGACACGCGAGTAATAGTGAAATACGATTGGCGTATTGTGCTGGACTGACTGCGGTAATGTAAAGCTAAAATAAAGCAGTCAGTTTGCCCTTAGCATGGCCTTGTCATGAGGGTGCCACATCCGTGGAAAGGCAACATGCCGGCTAATCTCCCTGAGAAGTTGAGTGGTTATCAGCAGGCGATGACGCTGTGTCGATGATGACCTGTTGATGCCCGACAGGAACCTTGCGAGGAGAGTTATTGGGCCTGACGGGTAGGTAAAGCCAACTTCCACATTAAGTTTGTGGATGGCCGACATGTGGACATGAACAGATCGGGGCTGAAAAGTTCTGAACAACTCGGCAGCAAAATAACACATAAAGTAAAAAGTCATCACCTGGCAATGGATTCCAGTTATGCCCTTGACAGAACTGGAAGTAACGGGTATCGGCGGAAAAATATTTCCGGCTGGTGCCAGTGCCGCTAGCTGCAGCACGGAGTCCGGCAACTGAGAATTGGCAAGACTGGCTGATCTGGCTCAGCTGCTGCTTCCGGAGCCCTCGATGGTTCAAACACCATCGGCGCAGGCCACGTTTTTCGGCACCGACGATTTGTTCGTCCACCAAAAGTCGAAACAAATGTTTCTCACTTGAACACTCCGTAGAGCTGCCGCTGTTGTGCCGAGGCCCATTGGCGCATGGTGTGTATACTCCAAATCTACATGTATGATGATGGGTCACTGCTGACGTTTCTGCTCTTGGACAGTGCAACGCCGCATGAAGATATGTTGTGGCTCCACAATCGCTGAGAACGCTAGTGTGCGTCCATGGAATACTAAAACACAATAGGCGCGGCGCAGCTAACGCCCACTTGGATGAATCGGAGTGGTGGCGAGTGCATTCTCCTTCCTCGGTGAACACTGCTGGTCACCCTGTTTGATGATCCACCAAACACCATCGGTGCAGGCCGCGTTTTTTCGGAACCAGCCATTTATTCGTCCACCAACAATAGAAATTAATGTTTCTCACTTGAACACTCTGCATGATCTGTAGAGCTGTCGCTGTCGTGACAAGGCCGTGTATACTCCAAGTCTACGTGTAGGATGAAGAGTAACCATGGTAACATCTGATAATTAAGTTTGCGCTCGTGGACAATACAACGCTGTGTGAAGTAAATTGTGGCTCCACAATCGCTCTGAATGCTAATGTGTGTCCATGGAATACTAAAACACAATAGGCGCGGTGCAGCTAACGCCCAACGTGGATGAAACGGACAACAGCAGCGACTAGTCTAGAGCGTTCTCCTTCCTCGGTGAACACTGCTACAAGACATTATGCTTGATGATTCACCAAACACCATCGTTGGGGGCCAAGTTTTCCGGCGCCAGCGAGTTGTTCGTCCACCAACTAACTTTGATGAGTCTTTCTTCAACACTTCGTAGAGCAGCCGCGCAAGGCCTTTCCTTCGCGTTAGGGTAGCGATCCTTCCTAGATGATGTCGCTATTCATTGTTACTTTTTACTACAATGAGTAGTGTTTCTCCGAAAATAAAGTCAGCTGCCTGGGCATTGATTAGGCATTAGTACTGCCTAGGCCTAGCGCCTGGACTTGGAAAAAAATTGATTTTGCAAGTCTTCAATCATGTTTCCATGTACGCGCTATCCAGCCATGTGGCGTGAACAGATTGCTTGACGTGAAAGGTAGCGCGAGTACGAGTCGTACGCGCTCGCGGTCCGCGGACGTGTCAGTGACACGTGAAACGAAAAGATTTTTTTGGCGGGTAGTCGGCAAAAATTAAGTGACGGTCCCTTTAGTCCTTCGCCTATTATATGCGCTGATATCTAGCTCATCGATAGCGCGCGCGCGACCGCGCGTGCACGCAAAACAGCCACGCCGTGTGCGCGTGCGCACCACGCAGTGGCGCGGCACGCGCACACCCCATGTTATAATCAGGGAGTCGTAAAATACCGGTATTTTACGACTCCCTGACATGCACTCCGATCAAGAGTCCATAAACATTTTAAAATATTTTATGCACTCTTGATTCCGATATCGCGATCCACTCGATCGACTCCACTTTCAAATTTCCAGAATTGTATCACTTTTCTGACTGAATTATTGCTTTTGTCCTGCGGCCGGCTTGCAAGGTTTAGTATTTTTACTCCATTGCTAGAGTCTGTAGGTTCTGCCTGCCTTGTCAATGGCTCTGCCGTTAGAAGAGAGGTGCAAGATCAGAAGGGATGCATCCTCAAGCGCAGACGGAGAGTCCATTCCAGCTCTTCATCCATCTTGGACAAGTGAGATATCATTCCTGTGTTATGAAGCACCGCCGCAGTCTCGCGGAGATGGATCGCAAGCTGCCACGGACGAGTGGCTGGAGCGTGCCGAATTCATCTTGGAAGATGTAAACTGGCTGCTGCAACAATCCCACGAGCTGTTCTGGTGTCAGGTAGGGGCAATGCAGCATGCAGTCGTGAAATAATTTAAAAAATTAATCAATAAAAATCATGATTCTACCGTAAAATCCCGCCAGAGCGCCCCTACCTCCTCGACGCTTCAGGTGGGGAGGGGCGGATGGGCGAGTCCTACTTACCGCATTCAGTACTAGATGAAAAAGTACTCGCCCTGCGAAAACTGTTCGTGCATCTCGTACACCGACCAAAGGTCAAGAGCTAGGAGTCGTACAGACCCGTCAAAACTCAGGGTTTGTGCGATCCCTGGTCAAGAGGGTGGGCACTGTTGCGTACATTTCCCAAGGGGGTCGAGCATGTGTCTGCAGTACAGTACGGCATCACAGAGTCATACGAGGATACAATCAATCACATCCCTGACACAAAGTCAGGGAGGGGCGGATAGGAGAGACGGGGCGCTCTGGCGGGATTTTACGGTACTCCCACAACCAACACTATAAAAAAAGTTTATGATTACAAATACAGTGATGTGATCAGAACAGGTCCAGGGCACCGCCTTTGCACTTCGGGTCAGATTTCACCTAGTGTAACTCGCTAACTACCACCCTCCAGGATCAAGGCACGCTACAAAACTGCGCTCACCTCTCGTATCCGGGTAGTCCGGGACCAGGTACTGCCCATAACTTAGCTACAGTCAACTTTGCGTATAACGACATTCGGCGGGACATCAGAAAAGTGTCCTTATTTGCGAAGTGTCGTTAAAGGGGAAGTTAAGGCAAAAATTAAGATTTCACCAGTTGTAGTCTTCGGGGTGCTGAGTCGAATGGTCGTGGTCCGAGGAAGCTGAGACACTCCCTTCCAACTTGAATCCCAATCGAACTCGCGCACTTCCACCGAAACTGGGTGACTGCGCCCTACTAAGTTAGATGGGGATTTGTATGCAAAATGTCACTAAAAGCGCCATTTCGTTCTTGTAAAAGCACGGATGACCGCGATTGGCCCATATGTTGTAGTCTTTTGGACGCTGAGTCGACTGGTTTTGGTCCGAAAAGGCTGCGATGCAGCGTTCCTCCTTTATTCCCAATCGAACATGGTTGAACAAGCGGTCACGTGCTTCTGCGTACGCCAGTCACCTGGTCACCGTGCCTGCAGGGTACAACTTACTAGCCTGTTTGACCTTTTTTGGGTGCAGTCCTGTCACTCGAGTTGAACCTTGGTGTGAAAGTTGTCGCCTGCTGGCTTGGTGACCAGGTGATTTGGGCACCCAGGAGCACGTGACCGCTTGTTCAACCATGTTCGATTGGGAATAAAGAAGGAACGCTGCATCGCAGCCTTTTCGGACCAAAACCAGTCGACTCAGCGTCCAAAAGACTACAACATATGGGCCAATCGCGGTCATCCGTGCTTTTATAAGAACGAAATGGCGCTTTTAGTGACATTTTGCATACAAATCCCCATCTAACGTTAGTAGGGCGCAGTCACCTGGTTTCGGTGGAAGTGCGCGAGTTCGATTGGGATTCAAGTAGGAAGGGAGCGTCTCAGCTTTCTCGGACCAAGACCATTCAACTCAGCACCCCGAACACTACAACTGGTGAAATTTTAATTTTTGCCTTAACTTCCCCTTTAACCCTTATTCGTCCGACCAGTCAAAAATCTACGACTATCCGTCGAACAGTAAATCCATCATATCTCAGTCATTTCTTGACCAAATTCCATGATTGAAGGGTCTATCGCCATTAGAAAACACCAGGCTATCGTCTCAAACAATCGCCGAAGATCTATGACGCTCCCTTGCAACGATATCGTCCGCCGAAAGCAAAATCACGGCAATTGCGAATTTTCTGCGCTCGGGAACATTTCAAAGTCAGATTTTTCTTTTTTGCATGACAGTTACGTCACCAAGCACATGCTCATGACGTAAAAACCAAATAAATGTACTGTGCACAAAAATCCAAAGTCCAGCGATGGAGGAGAGTGAAATGGCGAGACAATTTGGATTCTGCCCGCAGATCTGGCGCTGGGGCAAGTTTGGCAAGTGGCGGCCCTCGACTTGTGGCTTTATAGATGTCGAATATGGGCTCTGTGCATTCGTCGCGGAAGGACCTTTCCAGGAAGCTCAAGATCATGGAATTCGGCCAATGGAGACTAAAGTTATGATAATTTGAAGGTAAAATATGTCGTGAAATTGCAATTTTGGCCTGCTCAGCGAATTTTTCGGATGGATAAGGGTTAAACCCGAAGTCTCATATCTCAATAAACTGTTGAACGGTACCTTTCGGCTGTTGATTAATACAAGAAACTAACTCTCCTCCTCCATGCGCTCTAAAGCCGACCATTGCTACCCTCTGTAGCCATTACTCACACCAATAACTTCAAACAACGAAGGGGTCACGGGTAAAACATTTCTTTCTGACAGCTGTTTCGCCTATCAAAGGCTCGTCAGAGAAGGTGATACTGATATTGTAATTGACATGGCATACTGATAATTACACCGTATAAAATCAGTATGCCATGTCAATTACAATATCAGTATCACCTTCTCTGACGAGCCTTTGATAGGCGAAACAGCTGTCAGAAGGAAATGTTTTACCCGTGACCCCTTCGTTGTTTGAAGTTATTGGTGTGAGTAATGGCTACCGAGGGTAGCAATGGTCGGCTTTAGAGCGCATGGAGGAGGAGAGTTAGTTTCTTGTCTCATATCTCATTATATGTACAGTGGTCCCTCTATAATCCGGCACCATTTGTGCCACGGAAATCTGCTGGATTAGGGAGGGTGCTGGATTAACAAATCTCATTTTCTGCTAGAATGTGCATGAAGAGGACATTTTGGCTACTGAAAATTGTGCTGGTTTATCGAGGGTGCTGGATTAGAGAGGGACGACTGTATTACAGTTAATGGGACTTTGCTCTGGGCATGGAAATTCTGTCGTTATTCGCGAATTGTTGTTATACCCGCAGTCGTTATTAGCGAAGCTGACTGTATATCTGTAACTTTGAATCACGTACGTTTTGATGGGGAAGGGCAAAAGATCTGGTGTATGACATCACTGTTTCCGCAAAAATTTGCAAACGAGTGACTGTTTATAGTATGGTTTTAGTTGTTTGCTATTCACCTGCATGATACTCATGTTGGCATCTGTATGTATGTCTGTGTGCACGTGCGTGTGGTAGGTTGTATTTGACAAGTCCTTGCACAAGCTCCTGGACACGTTCCTGGCCAGCGCACCGCGGCCCAGCGATCCGATACAGCTGCCGAAACCAGTGTTGGACACACAAGCCAAGCTACATCAGCGTATGTTCATGGTCTTCTTGCGTATGGCCACGCACAAGGAAGGCGATGACGATTTCTTCACGCCACCTGTGTTTGGCACTATTCTCTACAACAACTACTTGTTTGATATTCCAAAGCTGGTTGACCTGTGTGCACTGTATGGAGATGAGGCATGCTTCTCTGTGGAAGAATCCGACGGTGCCAGTCACATCAGCCAGCTTCTTCAGCGCATGCTAAAGAATATATTCACTCAGAAACCAGAGTACTCGGAAGATCTGGTTGCAACTGCCAATAGTGCTGTGCTGGCTACTGAAACCATTCTGCAGACGCTGAACACCAGCAGCCTGTCCGGTGTATCGCTATTGGACTGTGTACTGTATTGCTACGATGTCTGTTCGTCATTCTCCCTATTCTGTGTCGTCTACCCGCCAGCATCTCAAGTACTGATAGATGCCGGCATGTTGGACAAGCTGTTGCAGATTGCCGCTATGCTCAAGGGTGCGCTGCATCAATTGCAAAGTGATCGCAGCGTTTCGCCAGAGTTGGCTGCTTTCCTCAGCTCTCGTCTGCCGACAATGTGTGCGCGGCTCCTCTGCTGCTTTCTGTTTCGTCCTACGGCGTCCAAGCATGATCGCAAATCCACAATGTCTGCTATCAACTCTGTGTCGTCCCATTGGCCTGAGATGCTTGCACGTATGGACGACTATGGAAGGGGTATGCAGCAGCAGCTAGAAGATCTGCGTGTCCTGGATAAATCAGACGTACACACTCTACTTGAAAAGGTGCGAGCTGCATGCAGAGCGCATCGCTCCTCTTCTGCAACTGGTACGTCATCAGCTACTGCAGAAGCAGCAGAGGCAGCTGGAGCAGCGGCAGCAGCAGGCCAAGCTTCATCTTCAGCTGCATCCTCTTCAGCTATGCCACTGTCATCATTTGGAGCTGCTGAAGCAGATCCTGTAGCTATTGCTGTCAGTCAAGTACTTGACCTGTTGCCTGATACTGATGTAGAGCTTGCTCGTTCTGCAGTCATGCAGGCCAGTGGAAGTTTTGAGAAAGCCGTTGACCTAATCCTGGAAGGCAAGGTGGCCAATCTAAGCCTTGAACCTGTCCCAGAGATGCAGCAGGAGGCTCCTCGTACAAAGGCGTCCAGTGCTCAGTCTGCTAGCTGCCGTGCAACTAGCTTTGTTCTTGATGGCAAAGGTCATGATGACTCTGTTGCTGCTGTACGGGCCACATTGGATGCACTCGAGGAACGAGAGTTCCAAGAAACAATCACAGGCTATGATCAGTATGATGATGATTATGATGACACATATGATTCTCAGCTAGCAGGGGACATGCCGGGTGCCGGTGGCGAGGACCGTGAAGAGTTTGTCATCCGGCGACTCAATCAGAAAGCGCCGCTTTTCCGCCTACACACGTCGGGTACGGAGAGCGAAAATGGCACTGAAGACGAGGATGGTGAGGATACGCATCAGCATGGTTCTAATGGTACTGGTAATGGTGTTGCCCGGTCAGGTGCTACAGGATCACAACAGCCACATCATGGCGGTGCTGGACATCGGCAGAGTGGCGGCGGTGGTGGTGCACATCGTGGTGGTGCTGCTGCAGGTGGTCGTGGCGGTGGCCGTGGGGGCCAGCGTGGAGGAGGCCGAGGTCGCGGTGGTGGCAAGCAACCTACCACCGCTGAGGAGCGCAAATCCTACGCTCGCAAAGAGCAGCACAAAAGCTCGCGCGCCAATCACAGCCGCAAGTCTGGTGCCGACTGGAAGCGGCGTGGCATGGGTGGCATTAACGCTGCTCCAACTCCGCAGCAATAGCACTCCTGCACTGTGCGCTCTGGCAGGATGTTAGCAGCAAGATTCTGAGCAAACGTTTGATGTGTCCTCTGTCTGGAGGGATTTTATGTTGCGTTTCGAGCATTCTGTTTGACCCAGGCACACATGTTTCGTTACAACACTGTTTCTGATTCACGTCTCGTTAGTTGGATGCTGTGCTGGTCAATTTATGACTGTGGTGCTGGGTCACTACTGCCTTATTCCTACAGTATACGTAATGCATGCACTTCATTTCTGGGTTTTTTCAATTCCTTCAAGACCAAGACCAGACATTGCTGCGAGAAACACCTTTACGACAGTTATTATTTTTGTTTCAATCTCATGTTCTTTGAATAGGACTGCGTATTGTTCTCATAAAATACTTTGGATCAACAAGAAAAATAGTTCATACCAATGTTGGCACGTGTTATCAACAATCTTTGAATAAAGCACTTCAAGTAGGCATGCACGCATCGCAAAGAGCCAGTTATTTCAAGCAGTGATTCTCTTGCTGTGCTATCAACATATGTCGGTGTAGTTGTGAGAAGAGGAGAGATGGATCATTTCATTTCCTTCTTGGCGGCCGTTCCGGGCTTGCTCCGGACACCATGTTTGTCAGCCGTGATGTCAGATCCTCAATTCTCAAGTCTTTGACTCGTAATAGTCCCTCCAGGCGTCGAACCTTCACTGTCATCAGCTGCAGAGACATGTTCCAAGTAGAAATCAAAGAGAAAAAGGTGACGTCACCTTTTAGGAACTGGAATGGCATAGGTTAACCTCAAGTGCTAATGCTGGATGCTGGCTGTGTGTAGTACCCGTACTTGCAGAAAAGCCTGTACCCGGATTTGGTTTGTAGTGCATCCAAGGCAAACTGATCCTTGCAATTCTCAACAATACGTTATCTAGGACTGGTGATCATTCATAATCCAGCGACTCCGCTCTTGCAGTGGAGCACAACATTGCATCGCATCGTGACCGAATGTGGAATCAACGGAACTGCTTGCATCTCGACTGATCACAAAGAGTCGCACAAAATTATCAGCTTAGTTGACGGCATTAGCACTCACCTGTACAGTCTCCTGCAGCTCGAGGATAGTTTGCTCCTTCTCCTCCAACATAATTGCAATGTCCTCCCCCGTTGGCCACACGCTGCAGGAAAGACAACACAGGCGAAGATCAGTTTCCCCCCGGCAAAATTGGCACCTCCACAAAGGGCTAGAATTTGGCTCGGTCCAGGACATGGATAGGCAGCAGTACTCTCGTACTCAGTCGCTTGACCGTGTTGTCGCCAGCACCAATTATGAGCCTGTGCGGGGTGTACTTTATCACTTTTTCATCGCAGAGAGCATTATGGGACAGCACGCTCCAATTCTCTTTCTTTTGCTCCCTCTGGGGCCCACATGACAACTATGGTAGCGACTTGACTGGACCAGACACAACAGGACCGGGTCTTAAATAGACCTAGTCTTAAAATAATAGTTCCGTTTCCACCAGCAGGGAATGTGTAAAGACATGTTTAACGCGTGGTGAACTGCGCCGACACCCATGGTCAACTGGGTACTCACAGCTCAGGATAGGATCACAAGGATGCAGTTTATGGGGCTATGGGCCGCTACACGCCCGATCGGTTGAGAAACTCACCTCCTCTCCCCTGACTGACTTGTGAGGTTTGCATTCGCCACTATGGTGTACAATAGTGGTGGCCTGCGGATGCGAAGGCTAGTTTGTGTGTTTCTGAACATTCAAACGATGTGGACGCGGATCCCGCGAATATCATTATATGTATATTATTCCACTAGATAGCTGGGGCTTCTATTAAAACATGGTAAAATGTCATGTTCTACTTGGAAAGGATTAAATTCGACGAACTATCAAACTATCTGACGGTTTCTGCTCTTCTTTTCCAAAAAAAACATCAGTACTTGAAGTACAAACATGAATCTTCCGGGAAAAAATATAAAATTCCGTTTCAAATTCAAATTCCGTCTCTGCTGAACTGTAGTACATGTACTAAGTACCAGCCAAGATCCCATTACTGTAAAAGCCATTATTCTAACGAGGCGCATAAATAACGATTTCCCAAAATCGACTGGTTTACGACTTTACGTGTACCAAAGGTAACAATTCTCACTTATTTTCAACGCTCAATAGGACAGTATATGTATCGATTTCTGTATAACGATTTCTATTTTAACGACAGATTTCTCCTCGTTAACTCGTTAGAGTTAGCACTTCGTTATTATATGAGCCAGCACACGCGAAAATCACCCTTAGTGACATATTTTCAGAAACTGAGATGACAGTGGATAAAGGCAGATGGATTTATGCAGAATTCAATGCAAAAAACGTTTGAAATTTTTGAGTAAAACTTGAGTCACGGGTCTTAGAAGATAGAGCATTTTCCCTGATATATGCACATCACACGAAAACAGAGAATGTTTGAAGTGCGTTTTCTCAGTTGAAGTGCGTGTCATTAAGGTCGATTTTCGCGTGCGCTGGCTCATATGGCTTTTACAGTACTGTAAAACGGCTAATTTCAGCGCCGGTGATATTTTAACGAACGGAGTATTTTCGCTAAAGTTTTGCCGTGCCAATCGAAATTTTGCATGTACTACATAGTCATCGCTAAACATTTTACCCGCTAAAATTAGCCGTTCTACAGTATGCTGGAAGGGACTCTTCTCTCCATCTTATCAAGCATCAGTATCTGCATTAGGGCGGCCAAGGTACACGTACATGTACTTCAAAAAGAAGTACAGTATTCGTTCAGTATCATTGGCTAACCGAGAAGCACATCACTATCATCAAGAGTACATAACCCCAAGAGTGTGCAACTGCCTGCACAACCTCTATGCTGTGCTGCGACGGCAGAACTTCACATCACGTGACATGGTTCAAAAGGTTATGCTGGCAAACAGTGCAAAGTGACCACAAGAGAGTTGTACCCAAAGCTGGGCTGCGTACAACCCAGTATCTATCATGCACAGAGTGCACGGGTTCATCACGGGTTCATCACGTGATGTGAAGTTCTGCCGTCGCAGACCCCATAGCTGGAGTTGCACACTCTTGGGGTTATGTACTCTTGCTATCATATACACGGCAATCAATAGTAAGGACCACGCATTTACATACCCATTGGAATCAAGTGCACTGCCTTTCCCCTGGCCTAGAGGAGCTGCTCTTTCACCGGCACTCGCAAGCTCAGCATATGCATCTCGATTACGTTGGTGGATCGCTCGTGCGTGCTCCGGGGGCCATGACCGCTGTGAGGGAGGTCCAGAGGCTGTATGCTGTGAAACGCCTATCGGTGGCAAGCCGCCATAGCTTTGTAGCTGCAACGAGTCAACAACAGCAGTAGTCTTAGGTTCATTCCATCAATTAAAAATTACAGCAAATGTGTTCCTCTGTGATGGATAGCAGTCGCTCATAACTATTGCTATTTACTGCTATAACGCTTCTTTGAAGAGTAAATTTATAGTGCAGACAATTTCAAGAATACTGTAAAAGCCATTATTCTAACGAGGTAACGATTCTCACTCATTCTCAACGCTCAATGGGACAGTATATGTATCAAATTCTGTGTAATGATTTCTATTTTAACGACAGATTTCTCCTCGTTAACTCGTTAGAGTTAGCACTTCGTTATATATATGGCTTTTACATAGGGGTGAAACGGTTCCATGTTTTTCATGTTCGGGTACCCGAATGCCAGCATAGTTTCCCACGGTTCGGGTATCGGTTCCATGCACTCTTTTTTCCAGACCGACCAAATGCATCCGTGACAATTATTTTCCAGTTAGAAAACATTTTTACGAGCAAGAACGAGACATCGGAGAGTCCATGTGCGAAGAAGGCACGCTCGCAGTGACCAGGATCGATAGGAGAACCCGTTGGAAGGGCGGTGATGATAAGGTAAGACATTTAAAAATCTTGAGTAGACTTGGCGTGTACATGTATTTGTACAAGAACGAGATTTTTCGAGTTTCGGTTCGAAATTTTACGGAACGGGTACCCGATTCTTTTCAGCTTGCGGTTCCGAAACCGGTTCCTTACCCGAACCGTTTCACCCCTACTTTTACAGTAGTGAGGTTCTCCACACACCAACAAGGACGCACATGATTTGAATAATTACTACAACACATTTGTTTCCCTATTTGCAATTCTCTTAAAACTGTCTATGGTGGCAGCCCCAAATGCTGGAGCATACGAGAAGCATGCCGTACCTTGCACTCGGCGGCATGCTGAAAGCACTACCTCCTGGTAGATACACAGTGACGGTTTAGGATAATTCACCCTTATTAGTTGAGCTTGAGTGGGGGTAATGAAATAAATTTGTGCGGCAGGAGTGCTCCAGCAGTACAACACAGTGAAGTGTTGCTTCTATTTTTTTTGTAGTGTGCTAAAGACGACAGCCGAGAGTTGGTCGGCAGGAAGTGTAAGCTCCAACGTTCACAGCAGCCACCTCCTGCATAGATAACCGCCAAAATTGCATCATCCCAGTTGACACTATAAAACTACATGTATGTTCCATTTACAGAAGTCGTGTATAGATGTACCTGGTGATGGTGGTGGTTGCCTTGGTGTAGACCATTGTCTTGCCTAACCAGACCTGGACAGAGAGCATGGATCATTGGCGAACACACAGCCGGATTGTCCTGTGCCTGCAAATGATGGAGCTATGCGTGTGAGTAATACCGTGCACTGGAGGTACATAAGTGACATCGCCGCCATAGTATAAATACTACGCTACAGTACTGTCGGGCGCCGAAGAACGATGCACTGGAGAACGAATAGGCTAGAATTTTACCAGGTGCTGGATACCCTTATGTACACAGTGGCTCGGCTATATAGATACGGTACTACATGAAAATTAAGAATGATGTAGGCTACAACTCTGAACCCCAGTTCTTCGGCACCAGACTTTACTGTACACTGAATGCCACAAGGTAGATTCTACCATGATGAAACTCTTCATCTTCATTCAAATAAAGGGCACATGCTTCAAAGTCAGGCACACAAAGTACATGCTTTGCACAGAACACCTATTGCATGTAGCGCCAATGCATCCCAAGTGCATGAACCTTAGTTCTGAGCAATATCTCTGTACATACCCGTGACATGCAGCACATGAAATGCAGACCCACAAGTATTGTTCCTGAATGGAAATGAACTTTGCATGCTACAAGTGAACATTGCATGTGCGAGCGATCTTACGAGTATGTGCCCTTCCAGCTGCTGCATCATAGCTACCGTACTTCAAGTCGTCTAAGTAGGAAGCGTTGCTGGAGTTCAGGGTTCTGGCCTGTGCCCTTCGGCGCTGCTCCTCCAAATGAGCAAATATCTGTAGGGAATGCGAAAACACAGTACACCACAGCCCACAGCTACTCAGTGTCACAGCAGTGATATCGAACATTCACACGATTGTTGCAAGGGATTGTGCAGGAGCAAGCAATGATCACGAGGCTTCTACTGAGATGATGAGAGATACTCCGTAGTGCACACAAACTGAATATGCTCTTGGCTCTGGTTTTCTTCCGATTGCCATGATTTCCTGCCATGGGGATGTTGCAGTACATACACAAATACAGTTCAGTGTGTTGTCACAACTATCTACCCGTGTGGTGACTCCCCCCCCCCCCCCTCCCTCCCCAGTAAATTGTTGTACTCTAGTATGATATGCGCCGATCTAATGAGAAACCAGTTAGCAAACAGCATGTAACTCGTTAGCATAGCTGGGCGCAATGGTTTAGGCCAGGAGAGAACAGGGAATACCGGACAAGCCTGGCAGTGACAATGCAACACGATAAATTACCTTGTCACGGAGCATGAGCAAGAAATCCTCGGCGGCATCGGACTTACTGCTGATCAGCTCTTGAATCATGTCCTCTGAAAGTTCTAGGTTTAGCTTTGACAGAATCTTCCCTGTGTCAAGCAGGTTCAATAAAAAGAGAAACAAAAGATGAGAGACAGCCATTTCTTACATGGTTGGTAATGATCTGACACCTTCAAATATATGCAGACCGAGGGAGACATTGACTCTTTGTTCAATCATGGGACTGCCGTCGGCTATCTGGGAGTGTGGGAGTATACACCATCGTTTGCTCGTAACATGATTTAAAGCGTATGGGATGGCAAACTGTGGCACCATAACGTGACTGCACAAGTACTGGTTTGTGGCACCATAACGTGACTGCACAAGTACTGGTTTGTGGCACCATAACGTGACTGCACAAGTACTGGTTTGCCTTAGTTCCATACAGAGCATATGCGGCGATCTCATCTGCTTCACCATAACCTCCATTTGATCTCATCTGCTTCACCATAACCTCCATTTGGTCCAAAAAGCGTATGCAAACGTGTAGTGCAGGCGCGTCGGAACGACTTTGGAAGTGGGGCGGCTACGGAAGGGGGGGGGGGGGGGCTGCGGGGGTCCTCCCCCGGGAAAAAATTTCAAAAATTAAAGCCAATTGCAAGCATTTCCGGGCATTTGGTGCCATTTCAGTGTACGGTAACTACAATGAAAGACTTTTTGATTCTGCAAAAAACCAAGAAGATGCTACGATCGGGGACAAACATTACCCTCCCCCGGGAAAAAAATCAAAAATTGAAGCCAATTGCAAGCATTCCCAGGCATTTGGTGCCATTTCAGTGTACATGGACTTTTGTAGTTTTGATTCTGCAACAAACCACGATCGGGGACAAGGATTTGCCACGTTTGCGCTGAGATCATCGCGCTTTGTTGCAGTGTGCTAAAAAATAAAAATAAAAAAATAAATAAAACGGCCGAAAAAGTGGGGCGGCCATGGCCGACCCGGCCGGTGCGGTTCCGACGCCCTTGTAGTGCGTAGTAGAACGACACAGCCTTGGTGCACGATACTTCCAGTAACAGAATCATGCAAGAACCTCTCCACCCGTGACAGCATTTTGTGTGAGCAGAATCTCCGGCTCCGACTCCCTTGGCTATATCATGACAGATCCCAAAGGTTACTAATAGTATTCAGGGCCAGCGAGTGCAAGTATCCATTGCTTTGACTCTTGGCCGAAGTTTACCATAAGACCATGCTTAGATGCAGTGTTGGTTCAGAAAATTCTCTCGTAGCTTCAATTAACTTTAAAATATCTGCGGACACAAAAAGAAAGGAAGAACACCTTACGCTTCAACGTCTTCCAGTTTGTAGTTTTCTGTTTGACGTTGTGACTCGGAACGTAGTTGTGTATTTCCACAAATTTTGGAAGATAGAATCGTATTATCTCCGCCACAATCACTGCACACAAGCATAATGAGCACACAAGTTGAAAGAAGCATGAGTAACACTCTATCATGCATCGTCATTCATCAAGACACAAATCTCCAATCAAAACCCATGTTCGGAGACAAACCGGAATGCAGTAGTTATACATCACAGATCATCACTAGTGTACACGTAGTGTGTTGGGCCTTGTGGTCCAGTGTGGAGTATGGGTCCAGTGTGGAGTATGGGTCCAGTGTGGAGTATGGGTCCAGTGTGGAGTATGGGTCCAGTGTGGAGTATGGGTCCAGTGTGGAGTATGGGTCCAGTGTGGAGTATGGGTCCAGTGTGGAGTATGGGTCCAGTGTGGAGTATGGGTCCAGGGTGGAGTATGGGTCCAGGGTGGAGTATGGGTCCAGTGTGGAGTATGGGTCCAGGGTGGAGTATGGGTCCAGTGTGGAGTATGGGTGTACAACTCGTACACTAGTAGTATAAAGCATCACTGTTTATTACTTTGCAAAAGGCTAGAGGGCCTGCGGCTGCTGCTACTCGTAGTTTAGACCTGCTCATCGGTGTGTGTGTGTGTGTGTGTGTGTGTGTGTGTGTGTGTGTGCGTGTGTTGGTTGGTTTCAGGTTTCATATACTTTCTATTTGAAGTATACATACCTGTTAACCATGGACTGCTTCTGGCTAGATTAACTCTTGTGTAATCAATGACGCCAGTGAAGCTTATATTAGATCAACTCTGATTTAGCCACCCACACTAGTAGCAAGTATTTACCTTCACTGGGGGCAGGGGTAAGTACTAACTGCAGTTGGATCCCGGGACGGATACCCTGATGCCGTCAATCCTTTTTCTGCACCTTGTCCTCATCCAGGGCCTGCTGGAGAGCCGGGTCAGCCGGGTCACGCGCCCGGCTGGGGAACTGCACGACCTGGCTGAACAGATAACGCCGGGTCCAGTCTGACCCGGCTAAAAAATGTCTCAAACTGACAATGGATTCCAAAAATACCGGGATTTTACGACTCGCGGGCCCCATCTGTTGCAAATCTAGCCCAACCGTACACACTACAGTCTACAAGCGACAGAAACTCGGCTTGGGTCAACTGGGGTCAACTGGTTCGAGCGGGATCTGGTCAGCGGCGAGCAGGAAGTCAGGACATTGAAAGTCGACGGGGCAGGCAGTCAAAAGCGTAACTTTGGATAGCTTTTGACACAGTTGCAAGTTTTGAGAAGGCTTTTTGGTTGTTTTTCTGCCGGATGATCTGACCCGGCTTGACCCGGCTGGCCTGCATGCGCCAGGTACACTCTGACTGGCTGTGTTGAATGTCTAGAGCAGGCCCTGCTCATCCACTTACTAAGGCGTGGTGAGCCCATAAGTGGGATCACTTTCAAGTCCCAGAGTTTTGGGGATTTCAGGGGGTGTCGCTGCTGGCCAATTGAGTCATCTTTCCAAGATTCCTTTTGAGTCTCTCTCCCCTCTCCTGGGGAGACCCACTGACCAGTTTTGGCAGTGAGCAACAAGTACACGTGTGTGTGTGTGTGTGTGTGTGTGTGTGTGTGTGTGTGTGTGTGGTGTGTGTGTGTGTGTGTGTGTGTGTGTGTGTGTGTGGTGTGTGTGTGTGTGTGTGTGTGTTTTGAAGGTGTGTTCTGACTGTACAACCCTTTCATCCACACATAGTTATATGAGCATAGAAGTATCTAGGCCGATGTCTATTCATATTACTCGGGAATGGGACAAGTACGCCATGTATCACTAGTATCGCTGTTGTTGTTGTTGTTGTTGTTGTTGTTGTTGTTGTTGTTGTTGTTGTTGTTGTTGTTGTTGTTGTTGTTGTTGTTGTTGCTGCTGTTGTTGTTACGATGACTTGCGTGTTCGGCCCTGCTACCATGGCTACTGGGGGTTCAGATAACCGGATTGGGAATGTAACTTCCTAACTTTCAGCTGTACAATGTCATCTACACATCTGCATGCAAATGGCTTACCAGCGTCGGCTAGGTCACGGCCAATGTGCCTCTTTGGTCTGCTCAGCGGTATGTCGTCAATCCAGCTTTTCACCATTGCTGATTTCTCGTCGCGCGATGCACTCAGCACTCGCTCCAAGCCAGACTGACGCAGACCACCGAATGCAGCCATACTTCGTAGACAGGCTCAGCCGGCTCAGGCTTGCACTTGTTGCAGGGCCACCGGTTCAGGGCCGTGACGATCACTCTCACTCTGCAGTCACCCTGGCCCTGTGTGTTGTGCTGCTGCACTGCTGTGCGACGATGGAGATCAAATGCGACAAGTGCTCCAGCTAGTACTGCCAGCCGTGGAAGGTGAACAGAGAATGACCACCATGACCATCTCGTTACAAGCGACACAGCATAGCCTGGGGAAGCTTCGGCCCTGAATCAATCACTCCTCCACACACACCTACTGCAGCGTAACAACGACGGTAGGCCAGTGTAGCGGATTGCCAACTCGTCTCTGAGTGATCGATTGAATCGTTACAGCCTAGGAGAACAAGACTCTCTCGCTGATGTCTGCTCCTCTCTAGTACCCAGAGAATATTTAGCACATTTCCAAGAGGCGCCGAAACCAGAGGTACAAGTGATATAAAACTTGACACTGCTCCTAACGAAAATGGATCAGGTCACAGTCTAGTTACTTGATAGCAATGTTCTCGGAGTTACAGTCACGACCAGATATCTTGGTACGATGCACGAGATATTCTACAAGTACAAGGACAAATCCTGCAAAACGTACTTCAAAGTTCAATGGGGATTTGCAGGTAGTTTTGCTCTCATTTCAAAGTCTTGACATGATGTGCAGCCATAAATAGAATGATGTCGATTTTGACTGTGTATTGTTGCCTTTCTTGTACTTGTAGTCATGGTAGTGCTGCACTAAGTCTTGTCTGCGGACGTAATCGTTGCGCCGATCCGAGTGTTTATGCGAAAAGCACTCCATACGTTGCCATGAGAACGGATGTCTAGTCGCTATGCAACGCAAAGAGTACATGTAGCGCATCCTACATCACTCATCAGTCATCACTCAGTCATCAGTTCAGTGCGTCGAGTAGTTCTACGAGAGTAGACCTACGTCTAGACTAGAGTCTACGACTCAGTACGAGTAGATCTACGAGTCGTACACTACAATTTTTTTTTTTTTTTTAGTACAAAAATGCCAGCGCTTATCCAGTATTTTTTTTATCATGACTAGACTGTGCATGTGCGTACGCGCGTGTGCTCCAGCTCCGACTTCCTAGGGCTAGAAATCGCCATACTGCGCACAATCGGCACGTGCTCACTGCTCAGCATTGGCCGAGCTGCGAGGCGAGTGTTGTGTTGACCATGTATTGTACTAGTAATACTAGTAATACTAATAGTAGTATTGATGTAACTGTTGACAGTGCAGTTGTGAATGTGTACTTTCTAAGCTGACGTCGCATAGCGGCATAGGAATAGCACTTCTTTACTTGTACTTGTACTTGTAGAGCATCCAGAGTCTAGAGTAAAATTTAGAAAGAGTTATAGCTGTTGTTGATCTTCAATCTCATCTGAAAACATGGTTAGTCGAAGATTAGCGATGGCCAACGCGTTCATGTACACCGTGTTCGAGCTGTTAGCGAGCATTTTCTCGTGTAAGTCATGCTAAGAGTAAGAAATCGAATGAATGTGCGTTGCGTACATGTATCTTGATGCGATCATTTGTGTGGAAGTGTATTTCTTCTATACGCGTCTTGTTTCTTTTTGCAGCTACGCCAGTGGATGGAGCCGTATCGGCCAATCCGCATGTATCGTGTGGAAGTACGATAAAACTGCTTCACGCGGGTCACGAAATTCGCTTGCACTCGCACGAAGTCAACTATGGATCCGGTAGCGGTCAGCAGGTAGGTGGGTGTGGGACTGGGAGATACGACGTATGTCTCCTGAGTACTAGTACGGCCCCAGGTCGGCTACAGGGCCTATCAGTCTCAAGTATCAGGCTCCCCCTTGCCCAATTATTTCAGTATCATATGAGGATGCATCCGTGTAGCTCTATGCTGCATCATTATCTAGTAGTAGTAGGCATGGGGGGGGGGGGGGGGGGGGGGGGTAATGCTAGCATTATGGCTGGCATTATAGTCCCTTTTTTCCAGGTGGCATAATGCTGGCATTAGAACACCATTTCGCATGCAAAATTGGCATTACAAGCCTAATTGCCGGTCGACAACGGTGGCATGCATGAAGCTGGCTAGGTCAAGTTCCGAAAATCGCGCATCTGAACCGTTGCAAATCAACCTTCCCAGTGGATTGTTTCAGACAACATGCTCACTGCTGTTTAAGTTTTTTTCTTCTACGCTTTGGCCTTGATCCAAGACGGCCTTCTTAAATCGACTTTTCCAACTTTCAAACTGGCATTATGGAGTACCGGTAGTGTGAGCACTATATCCTCATATTATGAGCATTGCCTTTAGCATTATCGCAGCAAATAGGTAGCATTACCCTCCCATGCCTATTATCTAGTTATTTCAGGCACACAGTCCGGTAGCAACAGATACAGCAAGCACAGTTATCCTCACTGGACAATACAAGAAGATTTTAGGAGGGAGAGACTCTAGTTGAGGGGGATGCGCATGATCCGTACTCACGAGTACGAGTACAGTTGAACATCGATTATCCGCACATCGACTATCCGACCATTCGATTATCCGTAACAGTTTTTTTTGGGCGCACGTGCCGTAGAGTACGCACTGTGCATGTAGTGAGCCATTCAAAAAATACGAAAATTTTGAAAAGTAAAAAGTAAAAAGGTCGTGCGGCTAGTAATAACCACTGAAAGTGTGTGAGTGACAGTTTTTTCTTATCCGGAACATTTGCCTTATCTGAACACCGCCTGACAGTTGTCTGCCCAGAGGTGATCGGATAATCGATGTTCAACTGTATGTGTGTGTGCGGGGGCAGGGGGCAAGGAAAACAATTACCCCGTATTATGAACCCGTTTTTCCATTTTCGAAATAACTGTCTTGCAATGCGAAATGCATGAAAAAACACAAACATCGGAAAATGAGTAGGGGCGGCGGCACTTTTTCACAGGGGGCGCGCAAACAGAGTAGGGGGGGGGGGGGGCACTGCCCCCCCCCCTACCCCTCATCGGCTAGAACCCTGACATGTATACCGTAAAGTCTTGTATAAAAGCCGCACTTGAATAGAATAGAAGCCGCAATTTTGGGCCCATCAAATCACACATAAGCCTGGTTTTAGTGTTGACATACATAGCGATACCTGTCTTGTATAGAAGCCTGTCTCCTATAGAAGCCCTGCAAAATTTCACCAAGAAAGTCATAGAAGCCGCGGCTTTTATACAATACTTTACGGTATCTACATCGTGTGTACTGTGTTCTGTTTGGTTGTTTCATGCACTGGCCTTCGCCTCTGAAGTCAGTGACTGGAGTAAAGGCATCTGATGACGTCAACAGCTACTGGGTAGTGTACGGTCGTTATCAGCACCCTTGCACACGCGGGTGAGTGTTCAAACACCGGCATCATGCTTGCGGCATGTACTACATGATACAGTAGACCTCCCTTATCCGGGAACCTTCCTCAGCCGGACACCTTCCAGGCAGGGTATTTGCTGTCACATCTTGAAAATTAACTGCCTCACTGCATAAAAGGTCTTAGCCTTCGAATCCTATCGAGTATTGTGGATGCCTGTGAATGGCATCCATCTTGGTTTATGGTGAGCCCGTTTGAAGAGAATGATGTGTCACATTGCATCATGGTTACAGTATTGTGCTGCTTTTATATCTGTCGTCGCTGACACAGGGAGGCAATCAAATGTGGTGATGTGATTCGTCTGCGGCACACAAAAACCCAGCACTGGTTGCATAGCCATCACTTCACATCACCATTGTCAAACAACCAGGAAATTAGCTGCTATGCTGGTAATGAAGGTTTAGGAGATTCAGGTGAGGAGCTGTAGCCGGCAGCAAATCATTTTATATTTGGCAGTCGGACAGACTACTGGTGGTTCAATATTCAACCAAGTTAATGCTGTTGTGTCCTTGAGTGGAAAGTGACTTTCCAACAATGATTGTACAGACGGCTCTAGTTTAGGTATCACGCACATGTGTAGTATTATATTTTTGTTGTTTTTGTAGCTTACTTAGAGATGGCAACTATGAGTTAAGCTTTTCCAAACTCGTGCGTAGCTGCAAAATCTGGTTTATACATACTCTTAGTCCTCAGTGCTCATTTGCCCCCATTTTAACATAGCTTTAGCATGTGAGAATCATTGTTGGTCTTCATGCTTTGAATGCAGGTGATAACTGGCTTGTGCAATGCACTGGCGGGGAGTGGATGAAAAAGAAGCTTGTGCAGTTTAAGCATGTCGACACGGGCAAGTACGTACTGAAGTATGAGCTTTCTTTTCTCTCTCTTTTATTGTACTTGTAGAATCCATTGGTTTTGCAGTGGTACACAATCATGTACTTGTATTGCAAGTTTAGCGAGTTACCGAAAGTAAATAAATGAGTGCATGTGTGTTAGGTGAATTGAGCATAGCTGGTTATGATCAAATGCTCATGCTGCTTTAACATGTCTGCTCATTTACATGTATAGCATGACTGTACTGAAGTACCTTCACATTTCAGTGGGCTCGCATTTACTTCAGAAGTAACTTTTTATCAAATGTCCACGAGTAAGAGTACGCAATTGTGATTTCTTTTCTATGGGCCAGCTGTGCTGCGGCCTATGCGGAAAATCAAAAACCACACTTTCCCTACGGTTGGAAACTAACTTTTGGATGGAACTAAAATCCGCCCACCCACAATCTTCAGGTTGTGCTGGGACTGTAATGTCATCCGTTTGCTTGCAGGAGAGATTGTGCTTTGAGTACATGTACATGAGGACAGGGCATGACCCATACAAGTTACAAAATGGAAGCAGTGTAACGTGCACTAACCCATAATCACAGACGCAGATGTACACTCTTGGTTATGGACTCTTGATTTCATGTTTGTCAAAAGCCTGCATATCTCTGGTGCACACTTGATACAGGCACTTGCATGCCTCTGGTCAGACGTTTAATCGACCAATAGCGGGCCAGTACGAGATATCCGCTTGCCAATCGTGCGGAGGTATTGACTGGAAAGCCACGGTAAGCAGCTGTAATTGGGATGGATATGTGAATGCACTGTCAAGTGCACATTCTGCTTGGTATGTGTGGTGGATGAAACGTGTAAGAGTTCTGTGTAGGCCTGTGCTTAATGATATATTTTTCCATTTAGCAATACTTGCTGGGATTTGCGATTTCGCACTGAAAACCAGTTTTAGTACTTCAAAGTAGGTTTCAATGGTTGTGCTTCGTCATACCCAGTTTGAGGTGTTCCTGTATGTTTGTCTGTATACTGTCTTGCTGTGCAGGAGGGAGTGTACTTCACAGTGAAGTCAAAGAAGGAGCTGTGAGCACGACCACCAATTTCACCAGTATGCCCCCCACAGCTCTACGCACCCAACCATGAAAATAAGCCAATAGGAAATCTGCTCAAGAATATGTTGTACTATTACTAGCAAATGATAATGTCCAAGTGGCATCCCGAAATGGCAATGCATGCATCAAGCTCCGCTCCTACAGTAGTACGACCCACACACTACGTGTACCAATCAAAATCAAGTATCAGCGCGGTTTGCCTTTTTTCCACAGCTGTGTTTATTGGCTGTACTCAGCTCTCCACTCTGATCATGCTATTACCTGATCCCAAGACAGATTGTTGTGATCTGAGCTATCACTAAATCCTAATTCGATCAGCAATCCTAGATCTAGATCATAGGTACAAGCAACTATGACTATGTGGATGACTTCATTTTTAACTTATTGTTCCAGCTTTGATCCTGTTTCTAGTGTCTGCCAGCATAATTATCTACGAGTTCCAAAGTGGTGCTGACCTGTACTATACGATTGCCTTTAGCTCAGCTTTATGCCGGGAGGTAGTTTTTTCCTTCCAATCTCATCCCAACCACCAATAAAGCCATTTACTTCATTTCAGACCACAAATGCATGTACATTACCAACTTGAAGTTTAAATTCCACATTATAACAGTGTAGAACAGTGCTCTATGTCTGGTGAACAGAGCCAACAGTACAATAATCACACAGCAATGACACACCCAAGTCTCTCTTCGCTCTTACTCCAAGTTTCGTGTTGAAAACACTTGTCAGACAGCAGGACTATTGAAGTCGATGGCCAGATATCATTGGCCATTCAGTGCATCATCTGGTTGAAGGCAGAACTGCATTGGGGCATAATGTGCCCAATTTATTTATTTCACTCAATCACTTCAAAAAGTTGAGGTTGAAGAAAACAGAACTGCATGGCTCAATGAACATGACCTGACTGTCCCAGTGGAAAATCGCGATCACACTTCCGCGCTAAAAGTACACACTTTTCACATGTTTCGTAAAACATTGCGTTTTGACCAAATTCACCGCAATATTCTTCTATGATGACTTGCCGACCATATGCCGCATCAGGGAATTACTTAATTTCTCCAGCTTCTTCACATCTTGAGACTGGTCCGTGCGGTATTTTAAGCACTGCAGGTGCACACACACACATAGAGTAGAAACAAGGGTAGTGTTGCACATCAGCACTGTATTGCTGTGCAAAGGACTATGTCCGAACTGCTTGCCATAAAATGAATAAAAAATACACATCCATGCATAGGGGATGGCTCAGAAACCACACAGTTTGACAGTTAAATTTATAATGGAGAACTACATGGATCACGTCCATGAGTGTTTGACGCCACACAGTATCACATACACACATCGTGGCGCAAGTCCGTGATAAAAAGTACAGACTCAGTATACCAGGAAGTACAAAACAGCCATTCACGGTATCCGGTGGGAAACCTTGTGCTACTGGTATAACAACAAATAATAACTATTAAATGTACATGTACCAGATGGTTGAAAAATACAAGCCCAGTCTCTAGTAGAAGCCCAGGGTCTGGACTGGTTGGAAATATATAAGCCCGGGGCCTATAATGGAGATAATACGGTATGTGTAGATGGTTGGCTCAGTTGAGAGTGTACTCCATATCACTTTAAAAAAAAATTTGGCTTTGCCTTCACACACTCTACATACTCATGCATACCCAGTTCATTTTCTGTTAGGAAAGGAGAGGAACTGCTCTAGTTTACTCTATCTGCCCGACTCTCTTTGTGCATTCTGGTTTATTCCTTTCCCTTACTGTTCGTTCGCTCTTTCTGCCATATCCGAATCTTCTCTTTACTAGTCTTTAGCGATTGAACAGTCCGTCTGCGTTGAGAGGGACGTAGTGCCGTCCATACCTATACTTACCTATACGGTGAAACCACCATTGTGTGAACCTGCTTCTTGTTACTGCTGCCTATTTTTCCATCTAAAATTGTTTTGGTTGAAGTACTGTACTGTAGTACTGAGGCGTTCAGCTCTTCATAATTCATGTTTGCTTAGCTTCCCCTCCAATCGATCTTTGAATCTTCAGAGCCACACAAGTTGTGTGGTATGTTGCTATGCGTCCTTGAATTGTGCTTTGACCGTTGTGTCTTATGGTCTTGCCAGTATCATTCTCGACATACATGTACATCCGCCAGCGTCCTTCACAGCTGAGACTTTCAGTTCGTGCTTGTCTTGGTAGCGCTCACCTTCCCCTCCTTATGTTATTTCTATAACTTAGAACCTTCCAAGCTGGAAGGCTGTTCGAGTGCGCATCCAAGATGTGCTGGAGCTGATTGCCAGTTAGGCGTAGAACGTCAGTACCGTTGGCCAGTGTCGTGCAATGTTATCGCATGAGCTGGTTGTAAAGTAACCGGTGGTGTTAGTGGATAATTATATTGTACCTTGTAGCTCTTTGGTCCTCTTTTCTTCTTATAAATCAATCCTTGGCTCTCCACCCGAGTCTAAATATTATTATTATTATTATTTTTAAAGTGCAAGCCTCTTTTACGGGCAAAAATTAACACAATGTATTAAAATGCAATACAACATACACTGGAGAAGAAATCAGGAAAATAAAATATGAGCTCAAAAATGGAACGAAAAATAGCAAATAGAATCAAAACTCACGATGGAATCAAACTCACGATGGAATCAAACTCACGATGGAATCAAACTCATGATGGAAACTACAACCCAATGAGTTGGAAAACCAACCACAGACTTAGATATTGGGAATAGAGTCAGACACAACAACAACCGAAATCAGTACACCAAAAATCTGTCCTACAAAAACAAAGGAACAAGAAAGACGAAGTACAAAGAATCCCCAAAAAAGAGGGGAGAACGGGATGAAAGAGGACCGGAGAGCGGCAAACCCCAGGAGGACTTAGCGTCACGTAGTGGCGGGAATGCGGGCCTCCACAGAAACAGCATCCACATCCGCCGCCAGACCAGGTGCACGGAATGCACGGCGACTCCCACGAACCATCAGGACGGAGTCGCGGACAAGGCTGAAAGCCAGGTCCGTCCGCAGCTTTCCCATCACGAGGGGATAAGGCTGCGAGAGCTTGGTGGAGAGCTTCGTTCCGAGCAGCTTCAGGAACCGGGTGGCCTCCTTCGCCAGGGCACCAGCAGAAGACAGGACGATCGGGGTGAACGACGCGTGCTCAACTTCCCGGATCCGGGCACCGTATGCCGACTGCTTCTGACGCTCGTGCCATTGGAACACCTCAGCCAGCGGGCGCTATTTCATTTCATTATTTCATCATGGTACAGTAGGTATCGGTTATAGCGTGGGTGTTTGAAAAACGACTTTCTATTCTTATTTCCGATATTTCTTACACACGATAAATCAAGTTTGACATATCTTGTGCATGTACGCAGAGGCAGGAAGATCATCGTACATGCAATGTAGTGTTACTGTGCATGCTGCTGGTCATAGTCACACAGGCTTACCATGTGGCTATGCAACATGAGTAGCCCTTTCCCAAAGGTGCTCTTTTGATTCGCACTTAGTGCTTTTCGCGTCCCTCAAAATATGCTGAAAAAGTGCTCTTTTTTCAGTGAAAACAGGCAAAAACTGCTCTTTTTTCAGTGAAGCATAGCCATGATACATGTTCAGATATGAACCCAAGCTGAGAAATGAATACGTACTCTTCCATTTATGGGTCCACGAAAGGCAAAACAGGAAGTAAAGTTCAAAAACCCCACTTTTTACAGCATTGTGTACACCGGACCCGGTACAAGCTTCACCAACTTGTTGCCCCCCCCCCCCCCCAAAAAAGCGGCGTGCCAAGGCTCATCGAGCACTTGGAAACCGTGATCGCATGCATGAGTAAACAGATTTTAGCACTTTTTCAGCTAAAAAAGCTCAAAAAGGGCGAAAGAAACGGGCTTTTCCAAAAAGGGCCAAAAAGGGCGAGCACCTTTGGGAAAGAGCTAAACATGAGTTACATGACCACAACAGTTGAACCTGCAGCACTACGACCCAACGTGAGTCAGGTCGGAACTGCATTGGACGGATGTTATTACTACAGGCGATATACTTTGTACTAATCTGGTATGTTTTGCTACACAAAGTCCATTCCTAGGACCGATATATTCTACTGTACGATAAAATTGCTTGTAAGAATAAATGTGCACTTGAAATCCATGTTATGAATATGAAAACATGAGAGTTCATTCTTGTAGCCAGTATATTCTTTTACACGACCACGCTATAACCGATACGCACTGTACTAGTAGTGTTTCGGTATCCATTGTTTTACTTATACATATTTCGATAATTTGAAAGACAAAAACAAAGAAAACAAAAAGCAAGCAGGACTCACAACATGAGTCCTGCATGCAGTGGAAACGAAATCAGCATATGAGCCATGTGGGGCAATGCACTCACCACAACATCATCTGTTATCTTGATAACCAGCTCTCCATCTTTATGCCGGTATTTCACTACAAAGCGTGCCTATCCAACCAACATAACACACAACATGAAGTACACATTCTGTCATGCTGCACACGATATCATCCGGAAAAATGCTGGGAATTCAAAAATCAAGGGAGGCTATAGAGATAGTACCTTTCCAGGGTTCTCGAGATACAACCGTTCCGCTTCGCGAGCAAACACCTCCCAAGAAACCAAGTACGGCATGGCGCCAACCAAACTAGCATTGGAATCACTTCGTCATTCTCCTTTTCATACTTCCAAAATAATTCCAATAATTGCACTTCTTGCTGCTTCTGATGAATCATGAATACTTGACTTGGATTATGATCAGGGAGTCGTCAACAAATAATTTGACGACTCTCTGATTGTAGACCTACGTCACCAGGTACGTCACTTGCTTGGCTCACACCAGGGAGTCGTAAAATAATATTTTACGACTCCCTGGCTCACACTTGATATATCGGCGGGGCAATGATCGCCATATTTATTCCCAGGGCAACCAGTTTTTTTTTATCGCATTTGAGTGCATTATTAGAAATTAATGATGTTTTTGTATCAGGGAGTCGTAAAATTCCTGTACTTTCATGTAGTTTGAAAGAGAAGAACTGCTATTTCACCTGTGCCTTTATCAGTGCAGTAACTCTATTTGTTTCATTGCTTTGAGGAGTGTTTGTGCACTATGATAACCCGAGTATGACGCGAACGGCAAAGACACCGAAGAAGAAGTTCTTACCTGCAACTGGCTGGTCTGAATTCAACAGTAAGTGTTTCGTTGTTGTTTTGTGTGATGTACGTACGTGTCATGTATACAGTGAAGTTGTATAATCATGAGAAAATAAACCTGTACTGCATTAAAAAAAATGGTGGGCTAGACGAGTGAATGCGCGTGGATCAATTTGTTCAGAGAAGATGAATATTAAATAAAGCAATAAGCAGCAGTATTCGGCCCTGTACTGATTTTTCATCAATCAACAAACCATAACTGCGCTCTTCAGCCGACCTCGACACGTTGCCACAGCACACCACCAGCAAAGATGAATATTGCCAGAGATAGAAAACGAGAATGAAAAAATGTCTGCTCTGTATTGGTGCCACGTTTCATTGGGTGGCATTATGCCTACAATAGCAGTGGTCATTGAGTCCAGGCTCATGAATATACCAACACTGGTTGCCCTGCCACATAGCATGTTCTCTGTAGGCCTAGTGCTCTGGCAGCATGGCACGTTGCGGCTCTACGCACGGTGAAAATCCTGTTTCAAGCGACCAGTGCTTAGTAGAGAACTGCACCGCCAGTAGTGCCGGGTTTGCACTGGAGATTCTGAAGCAACCCTGTATGACACAACGGTAGCAGTAATAGTTGGTGAGTCTTGTCACACAGAACAAAGGTCCCAGGACTCTATCCTGCTACGTGTGCAATGCTACTCCACTGTCCAAGTATTCTGTTGTCTGCCGGAGGAAATAATTGCAGTGAGTGTCCTTTTCAGGATTTCAAAACTGTGCGTGTTTCTATGTTCGTGCATGTGCTGCGGTGTGCATGGGTGCACGTGCGCGTATGTACCTGTTTCCTGTTTTCCCAGGAAACAGGGAACAGTTGTGGTAAAGCTACTGTGTGTTCCCTTTTCCAATCGCGGTTGCCCGTGGTGTTTGTAAGCTACAGTGTGTGGCTCACGGAACAACAGAGTTTGAGCCTGTTTATGATTGCCAACAGAGCTGTGGCAATGGCATCTTCAGCAGGAATGCGACGCAAAGCTGCCACGCTGACAAAGTCGTCACCGTACTTTAGCTCATCTTCGGTACATGCCAGTGGTGAACCTCCTGCAAAGAAGCCTCGGCCCCATACTGATAGTGCCAAGCAGGCATCGGAGAAACCTGTGAAAAAGACAAAGCAGCAGCTTCAAACGGCCTCTACAGCAGCTATCAGCAGCAGCACGGCCGCTGCCACCAGCAGTAGCAGCAACGGCAGTGCCAGCACTACTGATACGAACAAATGCACAAAGGCCATGTGGCAGCCGGCTCGTTTCGAGGAGCACTACGCGTTGATCAGAGAGATGAGAAAAGGACGGGATGCACCAGTGGATAGCATGGGTGCAGAATGCTGCCAGGATGAGTCAGCTTCTCCCAATGTACGCCGCTTCCAGACTCTGGTCTCCCTACTCCTCTCCAGCATGACCAAGGATGAAACAACGGCGGCTGCCATGAAGAAACTACAGGAACACGGTCTCACAGTGCCTGACATACTCGCCACCACAGAGTCTGATGTTGGCAAACTGATCTATCCTGTCGGGTTTTGGAAGACCAAAGCGGCTAACTTGAAGAAGGTGGCGGTCATTCTTCATGAGGAGTACACCGACGACATTCCTGATTCGATTGAGAAGCTTGTCATGTTGCCTGGAATCGGTCCAAAGATGGCCCACTTGTGTATGCTCATTGCATGGGATGAGGTAACTGGTATTGGTGTTGATACACATGTACACCGCATTTCTAATCGCCTTCGCTGGGTGCCGAAGAAGACCAAAACTCCTGAAGACACGCGCAAGGCATTGGAAGAGTGGCTGCCCAAAGAGTATTGGAGAACAATCAACTTGGACTTGGTTGGATTCGGGCAGACTCGGTGTCTACCTGTTCGCCCTCGCTGCGATGGCTGCCTGCTCAACGAAACGTGTCCAAAATTTGGAGTGGACAAGACAGCATCACCAGTGAAGAAGAAAAAGTAAATGGGAGGAGTAGGCAAGGAGTGCAGCAACTTGAGGTGTTTAGTCGTGTCAGCTGATGATAAGCAACAGTTGCTGCATAGTGTTTGATCTATTCCACCTGCTGGAAGTGGTACTACTGCAAGTCATGTGCTTCCCTTCAAGACTGGTACATGCTCAAGTTGTATTGTTACTACTCTATTGCGGTCCGACTGCATGTGATTGCTGTGCTGTCACAGACTGTTCCATTGCGATTATCCTGTGCATTGTGTGTTGCGTCAATGCCGCAAGCGACCAAGACTTTGAATCTTCATGGATGGCATGTGATTATGCTGAGGCACGAGCATCCATTATGTAGTCTGTTTTCTCTTGCCCTTGGCAGCATGATATGTACATGACTTGAGTTTTAGCTCCCGTTGTTGTTTTCAAGCTACCATGAACATTGTATTACCATTTGCTCTCGTGAAGTTTTGTACAAGAATGGGTGGTGTATCCCGTCTGTGTGCGTGTGTGTGTGTCTGCGTGTGTGCTGCTGCTGCTGGTGGTGTTATGTCGATATTTTGATCTCTATGGCATTATGTGTTAGGGCGATGTTCAGGATGGTTAGTCGTTTGCTTGCAGTGCATGTTGATGCACATGTGTTGAATTGTGTGCAGGAGTGGAGATGGGGGCACACTTGCAGTCTGGTGGCGTATCCAACCGGCCAGGTCGCACTTCCTGAAATAGGAATCCATCTACTCATGTGGCGATTGGGAGCGACTTTGAGTGCTGGCCTTTGACGTTTCCGCTCTATGGTGGAGAGTTATGTGACGCCTCCAGCGTGAAAGGAATGATTTCCGACGATAAGATAATGGACAGCTGCAGGAGTATGCTCTGTGGATGGCGGGCGGTGACCAAAATAGATTGTCCAGCAGGAGTAATGGAAGTACAAGTAGGAGGTTTTGTACTTACAGTACCAAGGAGTTGGCATGTCAATCGGAGTGTTTCTGGATATACGAGTCGTACTGTCAAGTATGAACAAAGTTCTTTCCAGTAGAAACGTCAAAGCTCCCCCCCCCCCCCCCTCCCCCTCTCTCTCTCTCTCTCTCTCTCTCTCTCTTTCAGTTCAATGTAAACAGTGTAGCTCATGCCAAGTATCGCTTGGTTTGTCCTTTTCTTTGCGTTTCTTTGAAGGGGGTGGAAATGAAGCGACAGGGAGCAGCCAAGGCGTGAGGAGAAAGCAGAGTGGTGAGGGCAGTGTTTCAGCTTCTCTCGAGAAGCGCCGTGAGCAGAGAAGGCTACGGCGATCAAGGAAGAAGGTAAGGCGAGATTGCTTTGTTAGGAAGCTGGAAGTCGGACTGATGCACGCAATTTTCCTGCTGAACTATGACATCGAGACTTTCTCTGAATATGCAAGAGCCTTGTATGTCATCAAGAGATTCATATAGATTCTGATGGTGGAATTCCCAAACATTGTGTATTATGTTGGGAAGTACACATATTCCATTGACATTGCTGCGTGGTTTATGTGGCTCAGCCCACTGTAGACTAGGCCATTTGTCCCGACTCTGGTAGGCAATCATGAGCTTTGTGTGGGAGAAAAGGCTAGCATCCAGTTGTGTACTTCCACAGTTATTACTGATAAGATGCACACCCTTCATGAGCTTTGTGTAAGAGAAAAGACTAGGGGTCAAACGGGTGTACCTTTAACTAACGAACGGGTAATTTTCTGAACGGGCGGGTTAACGGGTACCCTTTAGCAGCCATGTTTTAATTTTTGCGCAATTTTCATATAAACCATGATAGTAATTTATCTGTTCTCAGGTTGCATTTTGATATCACATTGTGATTCGCCAATTGATTTGAGTCTGATAGTTGCAGAGGTAGATCTACTAGGTGCGAAAATGCAACAACAATGCAGGCATGCAGCTTGGAGTTGTAAATAATTGACTCCCGCCTGGAATGCACAATCCCAGCAGTGTTGCTCCGCGTACTGACCTGATCACCGAAATCCAAACGGGTACCCTTTTACTAACGGTACCTGAGATTAACGGGCGGGTACCCGGGTACCCGGAACACCCCTTTGACCCCTAGAAAAGACTAGCATCCAGTTGTGTACTTCCACAACGACATTAGTCATATTACTACACTGGAACTGTGATAATCCGCACATCCTTGGGCAGTGGAAGAAAGTGCTTACTACCCGAGGTACTTCTTACTGAAAGTTGAGTCCCGTGGCACGACCGACACACTAAACATGTGTAGCATGTCAAAATCGACCAGATACTCTTTTTTTTGTGTGCTAGTATGTATACATGTAAACTCGGAGGGAGTTGTGGTTGCTCGTGAAAGTGCTCAATATACCAAGGTGCAGAGCCTAGCACACACACTTGAGAGGAATCAAAAGTTGCTGTCTGATGATCGGTTAAAACGGTGAAACTCAGAGTTACAGCAGAAACGCTTTTGATTCCTCTCAAGTGTGTGTATACATGTATGTGCTCGGTGATAATATTCAGTGGTTTTGTAGCATCATCCATATCAGTGTGAAAAACTGAAAATGTTGTCTGACTTCTTGAATCGTTGTCCGTGTGCTGCTTTCAGCAATGCTTTCACTGTAGGAAATTTGGTCATTCCGTGGCTGAGTGTTCCGAAGCCCAACAGCAAGGCGTAGGCCAGTGTTTCAAGTGTGGGTCTTCAGAGCACACGTCTAAGACTTGCCGAGCCAAGCTTACTGATGAGCAGGGTATGTACACACATTGTTTTCTTGACATTACAAGGACTTCTTGACTCTATATCTCTATCAAGTACTACTGTAGTGTATGGTCCATGTCACATGTGTGTATGTTACTGATCCGAATGCTCTGAAATTATGTGGTAGCTATGTTGCCGTGTATCCTACTGTAGGCAGGATTTTCAATTGGGCGTACTGGTTTCGCTGATTCACAGTCTTGCTCGTCCATATAGCGGATCCACTGAGGTTATCACATGTCAATACACACTAGTAGTACTAGTGGGTCTAGTGTTGTGAACAGGGTACATGTAGTTGCCTTCCAGCATCACATAATATATGTCTCCAGTATATGTTAGGTAGGTTCGTTACACCAATATAATGTGAGTTGCTGTTGCTAGGGTTCCCTTACTGTAGAACGGGTAATTTTAGCAACTATTAATTTTAGCGTTTTCCCATTGTCAACCGGTTAGCGACGTTTTATTTTAGCGATTTGCAGCGATTTTACTCACGAATCACCAGTGCACTACTGATTTCTCAACGGATTAGCGACTTGAAACTTTAGCGAAATGAGTCGATCGCTAAATTCGCTAGGGTTTTTACGTCGCTAAAATTACCCGTTCTACAGTATCTAGGAACTGTGAAGAACATAGTGTGCAAGGTCCACTGATTCTTATTCTGTTTTCTTTTTGTGGTGGGTGTTGTTGGACATGCTGCGGCAGGTGATTTCCCGTTCGCCAAGTGCTACATCTGTGGTGAGATGGGTCATTTGTCGAAGCAATGCTCGGAAAATCCGCGTGGTATCTACCCAATGGGTGAGTTGTGTGCAAGGTGTTTCTATTTATTACGCCAGAGAGTTGTGATGAAGTTCCGCTCGCGTTCTCTGGCTGCATGCGTTGTTAGAGCTTCAGCCTCACGTCTACGTACCTTTTCATGTTCCCTCTGCCCACTGTGTCTTTCATATCAAAAACTCCAATCTTTTAATTTTCCAGATGTTAGACCGTTCATTTCCACCCAGAAGGCTTTCCTCACAGCATCCACACCTTGGTCCCAAAAGCACATTCTGCCGCGGTTTAGACATCTGAATGATTGCATTGCATCATTGCATGATTTCTTTTCCAGTGCAGAAACCGTGAAAATGCTACACATGTAAAGTAAAAGAAAAAGGCCCAACCCTGCCCTGCCAGCTATTTGGGCCCACACCTTGGTCCCAAAAGCACATTCTGCCGCGGTTTAGACATCTGATTGCACCATTGCATGATTTCTTTTCCAGTGCAGAAACCGTGAAAATGCTACACATGTAAAGTAAAAGAAAAAAGGCCCATCCCTGCCCTGCCAGCTATTTGGGCTTACGGGGGTCGCCATGGCAAATAATTAGGGCTGAAACGATCATTCAACAACTCCTAACGATCGACCAATATCATTAACGATCGATTTATTGGTTTTATCGATTCTTGTTGTCTCTACCCTTGTACCTCGAACACCAGTTTAGGAAGAAATTCCATGATACCTTTGCTATGTTAGAGATTTGTGGCCCCACGCTGTTGATATCTGAATCTGGTCATCGCCCTCTGGCAACTGCTCTTATCTCCAACCTCTCCCAGAAATGAACCAAAAAGACACAAAGTCTTCTCTCCCGATCTCTTTCAAAGCCATAAATCAATTTTACGGCGCTTGAAAGTACATGATTGTACTCGTATTGCTATGAGGTGGAGTGCAAGGGCTCGAATGCTGTCCCTGATATGCATGCATAAAAAATCGTTAGCACTCGTTTTGAACACTAACGATTATCGACTGCACTCTTAACGATCGATATGCGAGTTATCGGTATAATTGTTTCAGCCCTACAAATAATAATATTAATGAACTAAAGACTACAAAATTAATGACGGGTGCATGATGAAATTCTTTGTTCGTGCTGTCTGAATTGGATGTTGACCTCTGCCATGCCCGCCTTGGACAAGAATACCGAACTGGAGTATCAGCTGAAGTGTTGATGATGGGCGAATCTTCCCTAACATCCAATTCACTAGGAATGGACAGCAAAACAAGAAAAAAGGAAACAAATAGGGGGAGTAGATAAGGAGCAGGTAACTGTAGCTGGAAACTCTTTCAGACTCCGAGGAGAGCACACCAATACCGTATCACTTTAAGCAAATCGCTCCATTTCGCATTATCTTAAAGGCTGTGTTTACATGAGAATTCTCAACCCGGGTTGAAAGTCTGTACGATAGACAAAATAGGTGAGAGTTTACATGAAGACAGTTGACCCGGATCAAATACTGATATGCCGCCAAAAGTCCACTTCAAGCGCAATGTGTCATGTAAACGCGCCATTCATTTTGTGTACATGGCGGGTTGAAATCTGACCCGGGTCGAACTCAACTCGGGTTGAAACGCCTCATGTAAACACCGCCTAAGCAGAAGGATCAGCCATGTTGTCAAACTCAAGATTGAGAGCCACATGGAAGCGCTGGAGCACACGTTCGAATTTGGCACCTTTCACCTATCGACATCCCACTTGACGTGAAACTTTGCATTGCATCAAATATAATGCGCATCATAACCTCCCTGAAAATAGTATTCTGAGAAACCTGAAGCAGCCCAGCAGCTATTCATTGAGTACAGGTATTTGGTGTGATGCCCATAATCACATGACCAGGCCTTTGGTATGCTTTGGACTGTTTTTAGGTATGATCTCGAATCAGTTAGGGGTGAAACGGTTACCCTTTAAGGTAACAAACGGGTGCCTGGCTCAACGGGCGGGTTATCGGGTACCCTTTAGCAAGCCATACACTTTTTACAAGAACATTGCCACTGGTTATGATCGTAAGCACAAAGCCTCTTTTACGGGCATTCTAGAAGCATTTCTAACCAGAATGAATCTTCTTCTTCATGAGAAGAGAGAGAGAGAGAGAGAGAGAGAGAGAGAGAGAGAGAGAGAGAGAGAGAGAGAGAGAGAGAGAGAGAGAGAGAGAGAGAGAGAGAGAGAGAGAGAGAGAGAGAGAGAGAGAGAGAGAGCATGAACTATCTATAGTTCAATTGGCAGTGAAGGAAGATCTGGCAGTGAAGGTTCATCATCGTCTTCGACTGCAGCCAAGACAAGTGGCATGGCCGGCTTCGGTGGCGCAGGAATTCGTACATCGATGATGTGGGCATTCTTGTGCAGAAAGACTTGTGCATCGATCATTTCTGCAGACAACTTGCTCCGGTGCTTGTCGACGATCTGCCCAGCAAAGGAAAATATGCGCTCAGATGCAACAGAAGTTGCTGGAATGCACAAGTACTTCCGTGCGAGTGGAGCCAGGCGGGGAAATCGGGCAGCATTTGTGCTCCACCACAACAGAGGGTCAACAGAGCGCTTGGCAGGCTTTTCAGTCAGATAAGCTGCTACCTCTGCTTCGATGGATCCCTCGCTATCCTCATCCTCACCGTCGTCGCAAAGCAGCTGATCCAGGAGGCATCGACGTTTTGCTGGTGGCTCGGAGCTGGAGCTTGCAGATTCCGTGCAGGGCGAGCAGCCGACACTTGCGTAGCTGATGAGCGTTTGCTGCACTTCATGTTGCTGCTCCAAGTCGAGGAACTTTAGAGCCCGAAACCGAGGGTCCAAAGCAGCAGCAAGCACTGCCTCTCCGTTGACATCTAAGCGATCCAAATGAAAGCACTTAGTGATACTATCAGCAAATGCCTGCTTCACGCATGTCACTACCAGCAGATCATCATCTTCTCCTGTCTGGCAATGGGACTTCAGTGCCGTCACTAGGGGAAGAAGCCAGGATAGGGTTGAGTACTGCTCACCGCCCAAAGATGTCGTCACCTGGTCCACCAAACTCAGGAAATTGAGGAGATGTTTAGCAGTGGCCCACTGGTCTGCATGCCCATAATCACATGACCAGGCCTTTGGTATGCTTTGGACTGTTTTTAGGTATGATCTCGAATTCTCGATCATACTCGATCATGCGCACTTGTGTTTCCTGTATAACATGTAGACTGCTGCTGCTCTGACCCCGTTTCCTGTAGGGGGCTGCTGTCATCTGTGTGGCTCCGTGGAGCACAAGCGGTCAGATTGTCCAGAGAACAAGACAGCCGGTGTACAACGCCAAGACAGTACGTTGTGTGTTGTGTGCAGGTGTAGGTGTGTATGTGCAAGGGAGAGAAGGGGGTGCAAATTATACTTTGCAGAATCCATGGTATTGTTTGTGTGAAATGTTGACATGGTGGCCTGAAAGCAGGTAGTGCTGGGGATTTGTGTGCTATGCTTTGAAATGCATAAAGCAACTGTATGAAGAGTCCATAAAGTATGCCACTGCAGCTATGAGTCAGTGCGTGGAGCGCCCTTTGATTACATAACTTGCCTGCACCATGCCCGCGTGCACTGAAATCCCCTAGCTCGCATACCGGCACGTCCAATTTTGTTTGGTTCATTCGAGTACAGACACAAACTGTAAATGCATTTTTGCAGAGAAAGTAGTTCCTTGGGTATTTTTTCAATCAAGAAAATCATTTATTTTTCTCTCCACAGAGAGTATGACGCTGAAGCAATGGACAGACCATGAGAGTGCAGATGCAGTGGTCGAAGAAGACGCAGAAGCAATGGCGCCAGTGAAGAAGCAGAAAGTAAAGGGCAAAGTTGTGCGATTCTAAGTTCTCTTGCCGTAAACAGCACATCTGCCGGTACTTCTAGCTGGTGTCATCCTACTTTCAGTGGACTGTATTGCAGTACATGTAGTTTCAAGGGCCACTTGGAAATAGAACTTGAAGCACGAGGCATAAAGCACAACGTTTTTAATATTTTTCTCATGTCTGCTTGGACTCATACCTATAATATACATACACACTTCATAAAAGTTTCATGAGACTGCAAACTCTCTAACTCATCCTAAAAACGTTTTATATAATTGTTATCTTAAAATGTACAAACTGTAAATATTTTATCAACTTGTATATAGCATTCTGGACGTTTGATGGCTGGATTATGGTTTCATGCTGCACTGGAACAGAGCTACTACAACATATGTACAGACTAAAGCCTATTCTCAGTTCTCCAGTGTTCCATGATAGAAATTAGAAAAGCAACATTATGTAAGCCATTACACTGTACACTACAACATATGTACAGACTACACTATGCGTGCCATGTGTGAGTTGTGCAGCATATATTATATGGCACTACTGGGTTCTTCATGTTTATGATGGTTGATATCCTGGATACTGGCCAGTCGCTGCAGGTGGTGGCGGCATGTCTGTTGCTTGCATGTATGATGGTGGAGGTGAAGCACCAACTTGATCTAGAAGCAACACGAAATGAGCAAGAGGAGAACAAAGAAGTGCTGTGAATGCTGCCTTTCCACTACAATCAGGCATTTATATAACACAATACTAATTATGGTCTCGCGTCCTCTTGCTCCCGTATTGGCGGTAGTTCTCCTAGTTCAAGTACAATACTTGGCAGTCCAATCCAGGCTCGTGAAAAGAATAGGCATGTGCACCTGCAATTTGCAACTGTGTATACACGTTCCGTAGTTGCACAAGACATACATCATGTAATCCCATTGAGGCGGAGTACTTGTCGGGCCCTGCCTGGTACTTGGCGATCAAGAACATACTGACACTATGGCATAGACTTGCTAGGGAGGATAGTAAAGGATGGAACTTACGAAGCGCTGGCGCTGTTGGTACAGTCGGTTGATGTTGCGTGTAGTCTCCAGGCTGCCAGCCCTGTGTGGGCGCTGTGAACGCAGGTGCATGGGCATTCGGATGCTGGCAAGCCTCTTGTTGCTGCTGTGCATCACGCAAGCAGAAGATGATGGACACGATAAACGAGGAGTGAATTTACTTTTACTTCGAAAAGTATCTATGGTCATTTGATAGATGTGAAACCCCTCTATTTGCCCATGGTCAACCTCTCACCTTATGAAAAGGGACGCAATTCTGAAAATGAACCCAGTCAGCCAACCATCGGAAGTTGCACACTCTGGGAGCTATGCACTATAGTCTACATGAGCAACCAGTGCAAAGTGATCACCAGAGTTGTACCCAAAGCAGGGTTTGCATACACCTCTGTAGCCATTATGCACAATGTGCTGGCAGTGTGTACATTCTGGTCGCGCCCTACAAAAGAAATCCTGCTGTCACATACCCTATAGGCATGGGTTGTATATTCTTGGTGATAACATACTCCTGTCAGTAGTCATTAATTTTGTCATTTGCACAGAGGAAGACAGCAACAGCAACAAGAGAACTCACTGCAGCTGTCCAATTAGGATTGTATGACGGTGGCTGTGCGTATTGCAGCGCTGGTTGTAGTTGAGCCTGTGGATGCGGCTGATAATGTGGCTGTCCTGGTTGGGCTGGTGGAGCCTGTGGATGTGGCTGATAATGTGGCTGTCCTACCTGGGCTGGAGCCTGTGGATGCGGCTGATAATGTGGCTGTCCTTGCTGGGCTGGTGGAGCCTGTGGATGCGGCTGATAATGTGGCTGTCCTAGCTGGGCTGGTGGAGCCTGTGCGTGACCATAGTGTTGTTGCTGAGGAGCTATGTGTGACTGCTGTGGATGTGGCTGTTGTGGATGTACCTGATGCTGCACCGCCGTTGTGGGGTGATGTGCTTGAGACGAAGGTGATACCTTTGATGCCCACAAAATATATCAAACAAACAGCAGCACAACAGCACAGGGTATTTCAAAAACATATAATGACCCTTGCTTAGCAGGATTTAACTTCAGGAAATCACAGTGCACTCTCCAAGTGATTTAGCAAGCTGCTCGCTCTCATACACAACAGATTCACATTGCTAGTTGCTACGTACCTGTTGCTTATTACTACGGTCAATTGTAACAATGTGATCTGAACAACTTCCATGCACTTGGGCCTCTTTTGACTCAAGGGCGAGCTGTAGAACAGCGCACAGAGTTTTGAGAATAACACACACACAGTACTAGTCAGTAGGTCAACCAATAAAGCACATTCTTTCAGAAAAGAATCAGTGCAATTCATCGAATGTCCACAACACGTTGAGCAGTTGCCTTAGCAGCGATGCGGGTGCCAAACGTCAACATGGAAAGCACAGGGAAGAGGATCCTAGGAAGTGTCAGCATTGCTGAGCCTGCCTATTCGAGCAAAGGTGTATGTGCTGCCAGCAACATCGACTTACTGAAAGCAGTGAAACATTTGGACCAGTTATGGATATGTCTCTGTATAGGTGTCACAATGATCGAGAATGGCGAAAGCCTCAGTTCACACAGTTCAAGGCATTACAAATTGCCACACACTCACAGTACTTCCTTCAGAAGCTTCTACCTGCGGCTAGCGTTCCTTTCTTTGACTTGTATTTAGTTCCTGATTTCCAGATACATGTAGGACTTATGCTAATCGACATATTTTAACCCAAGTTGGACAATATGTGACGTCCGGCTAACAAATCGACAAAATATGGCCACGCAAACACTATGTGCGTTGAGAAAGCAAAAACAATTTTTTTAAAGGCCTAAGGGCATGAGGTCACACACAGCAATCCATCCAGGCAGTGGTGGGTCAGAGATCACAAAGAACAGAACTCTGCCTCGTACCTTCACAGATCTCCTTGTCGGCCCAGCGTTCAGTGCTTCCAACCACACATCCATGTCAGCCTAATATCAAGAGACAATGAAGCAAGAGAAAAAATACACACTCGTCCAAAGTATATTAACATAAAGGAGCACCCACAAGGGACTCATTGATAAGACAAACATGTCTACTATCCAAAATGTGCGTGTGTGTGTGGGGGGGGGGGGGGGCAGGCATTGCCACAGGGCTCAATGGAGGGCTGTACACGTCGTGCACACTAAACCCATCTGTTCACCAAGTGGGCCCTGCTTACTTGGTTATTCGCTCGGAAGTACCATGTTGTGCCGTCTCGCTGTGTTACTTCAAATGAAAACGGATACGTGGTCCAACCAGGCTGTGTTGGTGCTGCTCGCATGATGTCACCACGAATGGCAGATGCCACGGGACTGGACTCCTGGAATCACAGGTACACATGGACAGAACATGATTAGTATTGATTGCGTACAGTGTTGTTCAATGTTGTGCATAGCCAACACTACCTACACATTCGGTGGTAAAATAGAATGGAAACACTGGAAATGAGCTACAAAACTACTTTATGTCGACAGCACAGCTACAGTGCATCAGCAGGTCAGTTCATTGTGCAACATTGTATGCACTGTAATCAAAACCATCAAAATGTAACAAAATAGTTTTAAAAGTTAGCGTACATGTAACTTAGTATAGAAGCCTTGCTTGATAGTTTAACATGTTTTCGATTTCGACAGCATGTTACAAAGCGAGGGAGGACACATAGTGCTCCTGACTACAACCATAACCCGGTTCAAATGGTCGCAAGACCGGGACTCTGCCAACCGGGTTGTGGTTGTAGTCAGGAGCACTATGCATCCTCGCCTCGTAACATGCTGTCGAAATAGAAAACATGATGTAACTTAGTGTAGTGCAGCAGGGCGTATCAAAACTTGTCTCTTCATTCATTACAACTGTTATTCAGGTCACTACTCCTAGGCTACATTTTAACTAACTTTCAGTCATAATCAATCATACATACCGTAATCATCGGGAATCGTGGATCTCTAGACTAATTCTCAAGACAACTTGGCAGTATCAAATGTTAGCGGGCATTGAGACTCCAATGTAGCCACTTCATATTGCATGACACACCACGCATTCCTGGAGAGGTGTTTGGCCGGAAGAATTCCGTACTAGCACTAGTAATAATTATAGTTATAGTAGTAAATATAATCTACACACCTCACTGGTGGTGTGAGACTGGAACTGGGCTGTTATCACTGCTGTAGCGCAGTATCTACTTTCCTCGCCGTTTGTGCTTGTGTTGTCATGTATATGTAGTAATGCACACCCGCCATGACGTGCTTTGCACTTCCCTACGCGCGCTGTCACTATGTACCGCGCTTTGCTTGCTTGCCTCCTTCTTTTATACTGCTGTTCTTTCCATGTCCACTTCATTCCTGTTGATGGTGATAAAGACCGAAACGTTGTAACGATACCAATGGATTTGTGTGAAATGCAGTGCTCTCTTGAGTGTAGGCAGGTTGCCTGCAAACAATTCAAGTATAATGAAGCTGCGTGAAGCGTCCTTCAAAATTTTGAAATAATTACAAGTATAGTATTTTATTTATTCATATTTCTCTAGGGCAGTCCCCACAGACCTATGGTCTCCTTACGGGGTACCCTAGCCAATCTAGGATTGCGATACGAAATTGACTTGGTGAAGCAGCAAGTACATGTACTACATTGCTGTACTAGTAATGATGTAGCACTTTTATTTTTATAATTATTTGTAACCGATACAGGAGACTGCTGCAGGTGCTGTGGGTGGTGGTGTGCAGGAAAGCAGCATTATGCCAATACCAGCAATCACAGTCTCGCAACTCAACCACAGTCTGCATGTATATTAACTTACAAATTTAGTTGTGTAGTAATGGAGATAGTTGCGATCGAGCTTGCAGTACCGTTTGGCCCAACCTGATAACATATTGCGATACTTCCATAGCTCACCTTCTTTCTGTTGCAAACAATGTAGAAAACAACGAACCCCATCCGTTTCACCGTGAACAAATCACATTGAGTAGAGACATGGTATCGTAGGAGTTTTTGGCTAGTTCACTTCATATAAACGCTACATGAGATGCAGCTAGTACTTACTGTCACAACAGACATCGTAGCAAGTCAAGTCGTTTTCAAAATGATTCGAAAAGAACAGAACGGCAAGCATGTAGCACTTCTTGCGCCGAGAGCGAGAAATGGCAGTCTCGCCCCTGAAAGAGAGGACGGCTAATGAGCGAGATTGTGTTTACTCTAACTAGAGACTTCAGACTATCATCAAGTGCACCGAAAAGTAACTTAGTTAGGCAATGGTTCTTCCTCCTCGTGATTATCGTTCACTCCTTTTCAATATTCTCTGTGTGTGCCAGGCACAAGATTTGACTTCATGCTCCACGCGAGTTTACGTCATTTTTCGAGACTAACAAGCGTTTCCACCCGGAGACACGGCCTTCGCGGCGTCCAGGGGAGGCCCCGATCAGAATCCCTTCATTCACTCGCACAGCTACAGATCAGACTCGAGGATCAGATGCACAACCAAGGCTACACCATGCATGTACCAGACCGTGTGAAAGTGTGATGAGTGAATTCGAAGACAAGAAAGGCCTGGTGAAGTGGATCGGAAATGGAAGCACAATGACTTTTTACGTGCAAGCTCAACACTTGTCATGTGTGGACACCCCGGAGAAGTTTATCCGGGGCAAGCCAGTGGTTTCAACCTGCATGTCGTGAAGCATCATTTTTGCAACAGTTACGGTTTTCTTGATCTGCTTGCAGTACTCAAACAGCACAGCGTAGGTCAGTGCAGTGAGTTGACGGAGCTCGCGTTGTGCTTCTAAAACCCGCCACTAGCACTGTTACAAAAAATATGTGGCACTCCAAACAGAAGTTCGGCAGTAGCAGCTACCCTTGCTAGGATTCTTGAGGCAGTCAGGCAGCCAAGTGTCGAAAAGAGTAACTGATAACCGTCGTTGTCGACACCCTCTCAGTTTTTAATTGCCGAAGTATGAGGCTGAGAACTGGAAACGTCTTCTGCGTGGTGTTTGCAACTGTAAATGTTGCAGTGAGCACGTTTCCACCGGCCAGCATCCCGGATAAGTCCGAGGCTGAAAATGCGGCTACCGACAAGAGCAAAACTCGTGGTCCACGCGGTCCACGCGGAGATCTGTCCTACCTTTCAGAACATGAGCCAACAAAAGAGCATCAACGTCGACTAGAGAAGTCGAAAATGGTGAAGGGAGACCTGGGCGCGATACATTTGTCCAACATCACAACCGTTCATCCGATCCGGATTGCGAAGCAGGAAATCGTCAGTTCAGAAGCTGTTGTCCTGCCGACGACCCAACCTCCCTTTACGCAGCAACACAAGTTTCTTGAGAATGAGCATGCTGCTATTAGCTGTAGTCCGGGTGAATTTATATCACGGCTTCATCTCTCTTATACTTCTGAGCCGTTGAGGAGTACTTATTTCACGTACAGTTTTCGTTTCCGCCGTCAGCCCATTGTCTTGCCTAGCTACGGAAGCAGCAATGTTGTCCACAACTCATGTCACGGACTGAAATTCTGCGTTGGTCACCGAGCATGCTTGTTTCAGGTCACCGATAGGCTTTGCTTGCACAACCCAATGCCACAGAGAAGAAAGGTACACACCGGTGTGTGTGTGTGTGTGTGTGTGTGTGTGTGTGTGCGTGCGTGTGCGTGCATGTGTGTGTGTGCGTGTGTGTGTGTGTGTGTGTGTGTGTGTGTGTGTGTGTGCATGGATGTGTGTGTGTGTGTGTGGGGGGGGGGGGGGGGGGGGGGTAAGGGTGCGCGGATTATGCTCGCACGCACCCGATATTATGCTTTCGGGTATTTCCCGCGGAACTTCGAAAGTATTCTCCCAAAACATCGAAAACATTCTCCAGAATTACCCCCCCAAAAAAAGAACCCCAGCACGAACCGTGCCTTGCGCATGCTCTTTAGTATGCAAAATGGACGGTCAGGCACGTGATCACTGCATGCAGGATGTACACTACATCATACTAGATCTACATGACTGTCCGGGTGTTGCTGTATGTACATGTACGTGCGTCCATGGATGCACGCTTGTTCTCTGGCAGGTCAAAATTGACAGAACTCCCCCAAAACTCTTCTGAAGGTCAATGGATCTGGCAAAAGATCGATAGAATTCCCCTAAAATTCCCAAAATTTTCTCAACGATAGTATTCCCAAATTATTCCGGGAATAATCCGCGCACCCCTAGTGGGGGGGGGGGGGGGGGGGGGCATGTGCGTGGATGTACATGCGCGTGCAGGGGCGTAGGAACCGGTGCGGCCAAAGCCGCACCAATAATTGCGAGTTTTGAAGCAATAAAATATGAACTATTTGGGCCCAATTTTCCAATTTATTCCCGGGGAGGCGCCCGCTACCGATGCCCCACCTCTTCATGGCCGCACCAATGTCGAATACGTTCCAACACCCCACATCTTGTCTTTCTAGTCTTTGTGGTGTTACCTGTGCTGTGTGAATGACATTTACGGCTTCACGTTGTTAGCACGCGAAGCACAGACGCCACATAGTTTCGACTAGGCCTTTCGTACCATTACTTTGACCGCCAAAGTGCCGGTTATAAGGACTTTCTTGCTGCCGTGTTAATCACCATTGTATTCGACTTGAAAAGTAATGGTACGAAAAGGCCTAGTCGAAACTATATGGCGTCTGTTCTTCGTGTGCTGATTTGTTTCCCTGCAACCAAGAATCTGTTCACGTTGTTCATACTGCTGTATGTCAGTGTCAGCCTGAATGCGCCCTTACCATGGTTAGAGGTAGAATGCTGTAGAGCAGTTGCCAAGGCTATCTATGGGGCCCATGCTGAGGATATACTTATCCCTTGCCTTTTTATTTTCGTGTTGGGCAGATGCTGATCATTCGTGTAGCCTGCGAGCTGACCAGCTCCTTCCCAGCCGATAATGCAAGATCACCGTTGCTCAAACAACTTGCCTTTACTGTTGTATTGGTTTCGGAAAGATATCACCT